GTCCCCAGGGGTAGTGATGTGTATCTTGCAGGCTGTCCCCAGTGGTTGTGATGTGTATCTTGCAGGCTGTCCCCAGGGGTTGTGATGTGTATCTTGCAGGCTGTCCCCAGGAGTTGTGATGTGTATCTTGCAGGCTGTCCCCAGTGGTTGTGATGAGTATCTTGCAGGCTGTCCCCAGTGGTTGTGATGTGTATCTTGCAGGCTGTCCCCAGGGGTTGTGATGTGTATCTTGCAGCCTGTCCCCAGGGGTTGTGATGTGTATCTTGCAGGCTGTCCCCAGTGGTTGTGATGAGTATCTTGCAGGCTGTCCCCAGGGGTTGTGATGAGTATCTTGCAGGCTGTCCCCAGGAGTTGTGATGTGTATGTTGCAGGCTGTCCCCAGTGGTTGTGATGTGTATCTTGCAGGCTGTCCCCAGGAGTTGTGATGTGTATCTTTCAGGCTGTCCCCAGTGGTTGTGATGAGTATCTTGCAGGCTGTCCCCAGTGGTTGTGATGTGTATGTTGCAGGCTGTCCCCAGGGGTTGTGATGTGTATCTTGCAGGCTGTCCCCAGGGGTTGTGATGTGCATGTTGCAGGCTGTCCCCAGGGGTAGTGATGTGTATGTTGCAGGCTGTCCCCAGGAGTTGTGATGTGTATCTTGCAGGCTGTCCCCAGGAGTTGTGATGTGTATCTTGCAGGCTGTCCCCAGGGGTTGTGATGTGTATCTTGCAGGCTGTCCCCAGGGGTAGTGATGTGCATGTTGCAGGCTGTCCTCAGTGGTAGTGATGTGCATGTTGCAGGCTGTCCCCAGGAGTTGTGATGTGTATCTTGCAGGCTGTCCCCAGGGGTTGTGATGTGTATCTTGCAGGCTGTCCCCAGGGGTAGTGATGTGCATGTTGCAGGCTGTCCCCAGGAGTTGTGATGTGTATCTTGCAGGCTGTCCCCAGGGGTAGTGATGTGTATGTTGCAGGCTGTCCCCAGGGGTAGTGATGTGTATCTTGCAGGCTGTCCCCAGGGGTAGTGATGTGTATGTTGCAGGCTGTCCCCAGGGGTTGTGATGTGTATCTTGCAGGCTGTCCCCAGGGGTAGTGATGTGTATCTTGCAGGCTGTCCCCAGGGGTTGTGATGTGTATCTTGCAGGCTGTCCCCAGGGGTAGTGATGTGTATATTGCAGGCTGTCCCCAGGGGTTGTGATGTGTATCTTGCAGGCTGTCCCCAGTGGTTGTGATGTGTATCTTGCAGGCTGTCCCCAGTGGTTGTGATGTGTATCTTGCAGGCTGTCCCCAGTGGTTGTGATGTGTATCTTGCAGGCTGTCCCCAGTGGTTGTGATGTGTATCTTGCAGGCTGTCCCCAGGGGTAGTGATGTGTATGTTGCAGGCTGTCCCCAGGGGTTGTGATGTGTATCTTGCAGGCTGTCCCCAGTGGTTGTGATGTGTATGTTGCAGGCTGTCCCCAGTGGTTGTGATGTGTATGTTGCAGGCTGTCCCCAGTGGTTGTGATGTGTATGTTGCAGGCTGTCCCCAGGGGTAGTGATGTGTATCTTGCAGGCTGTCCCCAGGGGTAGTGATGTGTATGTTGCAGGCTGTCCCCAGGGGTTGTGATGTGTATGTTGCAGGCTGTCCCCAGTGGTTGTGATGTGTATGTTGCAGGCTGTCCCCAGTGGTTGTGATGTGTATGTTGCAGGCTGTCCCCAGGGGTTGTGATGTGTATCTTGCAGGCTGTCCCCAGTGGTTGTGATGTGTATGTTGCAGGCTGTCCCCAGTAGTTGTGATGTGTATGTTGCAGGCTGTCCCCAGTGGTTGTGATGTGTATGTTGCAGGCTGTCCCCAGGGGTAGTGATGTGTATGTTGCAGGCTGTCCCCAGTGGTTGTGATGTGTATCTTGCAGGCTGTCCCCAGGGGTTGTGATGTGTATCTTGCAGGCTGTCCCCAGTGGTTGTGATGTGTATCTTGCAGGCTGTCCCCAGTGGTTGTGATGTGTATGTTGCAGGCTGTCCCCAGTGGTTGTGATGTGTATGTTGCAGGCTGTCCCCAGTGGTTGTGATGTGTATGTTGCAGGCTGTCCCCAGTGGTTGTGATGTGTATGTTGCAGGCTGTCCCCAGGGGTTGTGATGTGTATCTTGCAGGCTGTCCCCAGTGGTTGTGATGTGTATCTTGCAGGCTGTCCCCAGTGGTTGTGATGTGTATGTTGCAGGCTGTCCCCAGTGGTTGTGATGTGTATCTTGCAGGCTGTCCCCAGTGGTTGTGATGTGTATGTTGCAGGCTGTCCCCAGTGGTTGTGATGTGTATGTTGCAGGCTGTCCCCAGTGGTTGTGATGTGTATGTTGCAGGCTGTCCCCAGTGGTTGTGATGTGTATGTTGCAGGCTGTCCCCAGTGGTTGTGATGTGTATGTTGCAGGCTGTCCCCAGTGGTTGTGATGTGTATGTTGCAGGCTGTCCCCAGGGGTTGTGATGTGTATCTTGCAGGCTGTCCCCAGTGGTTGTGATGTGTATGTTGCAGGCTGTCCCCAGTGGTTGTGATGTGTATGTTGCAGGCTGTCCCCAGTGGTTGTGATGTGTATCTTGCAGGCTGTCCCCAGTGGTTGTGATGTGTATGTTGCAGGCTGTCCCCAGGGGTTGTGATGTGTATCTTGCAGGCTGTCCCCAGTGGTTGTGATGTGTATCTTGCAGGCTGTCCCCAGTGGTTGTGATGTGTATGTTGCAGGCTGTCCCCAGTGGTTGTGATGTGTATGTTGCAGGCTGTCCCCAGGGGTTGTGATGTGTATCTTGCAGGCTGTCCCCAGTGGTTGTGATGTGTATGTTGCAGGCTGTCCCCAGTGGTTGTGATGTGTATGTTGCAGGCTGTCCCCAGTGGTTGTGATGTGTATCTTGCAGGCTGTCCCCAGTGGTTGTGATGTGTATCTTGCAGGCTGTCCCCAGTGGTTGTGATGTGTATGTTGCAGGCTGTCCCCAGTGGTTGTGATGTGTATCTTGCAGGCTGTCCCCAGGGGTTGTGATGTGTATCTTGCAGGCTGTCCCCAGTGGTTGTGATGTGTATGTTGCAGGCTGTCCCCAGGGGTTGTGATGTGTATCTTGCAGGCTGTCCCCAGTGGTTGTGATGTGTATCTTGCAGGCTGTCCCCAGTGGTTGTGATGTGTATGTTGCAGGCTGTCCCCAGTGGTTGTGATGTGTATCTTGCAGGCTGTCCCCAGTGGTTGTGATGTGTATGTTGCAGGCTGTCCCCAGGGGTTGTGATGTGTATCTTGCAGGCTGTCCCCAGTGGTTGTGATGTGTATCTTGCAGGCTGTCCCCAGTGGTTGTGATGTGTATGTTGCAGGCTGTCCCCAGTGGTTGTGATGTGTATGTTGCAGGCTGTCCCCAGGGGTTGTGATGTGTATCTTGCAGGCTGTCCCCAGTGGTTGTGATGTGTATGTTGCAGGCTGTCCCCAGTGGTTGTGATGTGTATGTTGCAGGCTGTCCCCAGTGGTTGTGATGTGTATCTTGCAGGCTGTCCCCAGTGGTTGTGATGTGTATCTTGCAGGCTGTCCCCAGTGGTTGTGATGTGTATGTTGCAGGCTGTCCCCAGTGGTTGTGATGTGTATCTTGCAGGCTGTCCCCAGGGGTTGTGATGTGTATCTTGCAGGCTGTCCCCAGTGGTTGTGATGTGTATGTTGCAGGCTGTCCCCAGGGGTTGTGATGTGTATCTTGCAGGCTGTCCCCAGTGGTTGTGATGTGTATCTTGCAGGCTGTCCCCAGTGGTTGTGATGTGTATGTTGCAGGCTGTCCCCAGTGGTTGTGATGAGTATCTTGCAGGCTGTCCCCAGTGGTTGTGATGTGTATGTTGCAGGCTGTCCCCAGTGGTTGTGATGTGTATCTTGCAGGCTGTCCCCAGTGGTTGTGATGTGTATCTTGCAGGCTGTCCCCAGTGGTTGTGATGTGTATGTTGCAGGCTGTCCCCAGTGGTTGTGATGTGTATGTTGCAGGCTGTCCCCAGGGGTTGTGATGTGTATCTTGCAGGCTGTCCCCAGTGGTTGTGATGTGTATCTTGCAGGCTGTCCCCAGTGGTTGTGATGTGTATGTTGCAGGCTGTCCCCAGTGGTTGTGATGTGTATCTTGCAGGCTGTCCCCAGTGGTTGTGATGTGTATCTTGCAGGCTGTCCCCAGTGGTTGTGATGTGTATCTTGCAGGCTGTCCCCAGTGGTTGTGATGTGTATCTTGCAGGCTGTCCCCAGTGGTTGTGATGTGTATGTTGCAGGCTGTCCCCAGTGGTTGTGATGTGTATGTTGCAGGCTGTCCCCAGTGGTTGTGATGTGTATCTTGCAGGCTGTCCCCAGGGGTTGTGATGTGTATGTTGCAGGCTGTCCCCAGTGGTTGTGATGTGTATGTTGCAGGCTGTCCCCAGTGGTTGTGATGTGTATCTTGCAGGCTGTCCCCAGGGGTTGTGATGTGTATGTTGCAGGCTGTCCCCAGGAGTTGTGATGTGTATGTTGCAGGCTGTTGCCAGGGGTTGTGATGTGTATGTTGCAGGCTGTCCCCAGGGGTTGTGATGTGTATGTTGCAGGCTGTCCCCAGGGGTTGTGATGTGTATCTTGCAGGCTGTCCCCAGGAGTTGTGATGTGTATGTTGCAGGCTGTTGCCAGGGGTAGTGATGTGTATGTTGCAGGCTGTCCCCAGTGGTAGTGATGTGTATGTTGCAGGCTGTCCCCAGGGGTTGTATTGTGTATGTTGCAGGCTGTCCCCAGGGGTTGTGATGTGTATCTTGCAGGCTGTCCCCAGTGGTTGTGATGAGTATCTTGCAGGCTGTCCCCAGGAGTTGTGATGTGTATCTTGCAGGCTGTCCCCAGGGGTTGTGATGTGTATCTTGCAGGCTGTCCCCAGGGGTTGTGATGTGTATCTTGCAGGCTGTCCCCAGGGGTTGTGATGTGTATCTTGCAGGCTGTCCCCAGGGGTTGTGATGTGTATCTTGCAGGCTGTCCCCAGGGGTTGCGACGTGTGTCTGTTTTAGGCTACTCCAGGGGTTGTAACTTGTGTTTTTGTTGTAGGCTACCCCAGGGGTTGTGACATGCCTAGACAACCAGATGCATGGCCTTGAGTCTGATGCCACAGTGACTTTCAAGGAGGTCAGAGGGATGACCTCACTCAATGGTCAGCTTTGCCAGATCAAAGGTAAACTTCACCCTCAAACTGAAATAAAACAATGAAAGTTGAATTGGGACTTTTCTTGTTGATTTCTTGAAGTTGAAATGACTTTTTGTTGTACTCCAACATATAAATACAGTGCGCTCTTCAATATAGCACTAACTTGGTTTTAGTGCGCAGTAAAGCATGGCTCCCAAAATTTACTAACATTTTTAATAAACATTGATCACCGCGATCACGTAACCCCCGGAAATACCAGTCAACAAATCCGAACTGAAGTATGCAATTTAATCCTATTATTATAATATCTGGTTAAAAAAAAATTGTTCATTGTTTATCTGGACTAATGTTTGCAATATATTTTATTAATTATATACAAAATTTCATTCAAAAATTAGAATAATGTTTACAATAATTTCGGCGAAATCATATGCGAAGTGATTGGTAGATCGCACAACTCACCGTTATTTACAGCAACCATGGTCAGATTACTTCTATTGACGCCTTGAAACGAACGGATACACATATCATAAATGCTGTACCATAACTCGCTAAAAGTCATATTTGAGGCAGTTTGACTATTAAATGTCAACATAATGTTTTCGCAATTGAAAAACATGTAGGGCTGGAAGTCTCTACGGTGACTGGTCAAATTGTTCCATACGTAAAATAATACCCTGCATACCATCTGTACCAAAGTGCTACGCTTATGGTTTTTATAATTTTAAGTATATACAGTGGAAGCTACATCTAAAATAACACGATATTGGAATATATTATTCCGGATAAAATAATAAATTCAGATACAATTTCTTCCGACCATTGCATCAAAATTCTTTGAAATTGTATCATTGGGTACTTTTTAACTGAATCTCCAGTCGATTGGGAGGAAACGTGTACACAGCTGATTGCTATTTCTGGCTTAGTTTACAAAAAATACACACGGTAATCTTTAGCTCTGCATATAAAACAATGCCTTGGAGAGAAAGAAATAATTTTAAATGGTAAATCATCATGTCTCATGATGTTTTATATCAAATTTCATACTTTTATTGACCAAGTCTGTTATACATGTTTATTCACCTGAATTCGCTAAAGGGATACAAATTGTTTTTTTGAAAGTGCATATAAATACTCGATAAGTCTTTTTTGACACTTTAAATCACAAACAACTTCTATTCTCATCTTTCTTTTTTTAAACTCTTAAACTTGCAACCTAGATCGTTCTAGGAAGGCAGAGCATGTGTACTGATTTGTTGGTCATCTACCTCCTACGACTTTACCTCGGTTAAACCGCTGATCACCTATAATGCTCACCAATTATTTGGACCCCGAAGGTAGCGTCGTAGCGAGGGATCACTGTATGGCCACCTTGAAATACTGTCAAAAACAGCATTAAAACCCTTTCTTAATCACTGACTCTAGATTGCCACTATTATATAAGGGTAACACTATTATTCAGGGCATTATAATAATAATCTGAGGGCTTCTGCAAATGATAATGCCCTGAAAAATAGGGTTACCGTTATTATAGCTAAAATGGATAGAATTTGTTATCAAATAAAAATAAATAACAATATCGGTTTTGAAACATTTACTGCAATCAACACACAACGAATGTCACTGACCCACTTTTACGAATATGGAAACGTCATAGATCAAACCAGATGACGTCACTATTGAACATCAATATGACGTCACCTACCAACGGGAGTGATAATGGCCCATCGTCAAGCAATATGAAGGCATTATCAAGTTACAGTGGCCCGCTCATTTCTGATAACATGCGGGCGGTTTAATGATAATTCTTTCCATTTTAGACCCGTGAAGATTCCGGGGTAGAATAGGTCTTCAGCAACCCATGCTTGCCGTAATAGGTGACTATGCTTGTCGTAAAAGGCGACTAACAGGATCGGGTGGTCAGGCTCGCTGACTTGGTTGATGCATGTCATTGATCCCAATTCCGCGAATCGATGCTCATGATATAAATCACTGGATTTGTCTGGTCACTTGATTAATTACAGACCGCCGTCATATAGCTTGAATATTGCTGAGTGCGGCGTTAAACAACAAACCAAAATCTATCCATTTTAGCTATAATGATTGTTTTAATCAAAACATCTTATTTCAAATTTCATTATCTTTAAATTCCCAAACTGGTTAATATTTGACCACTGCAGCAATATTGGCAGCATTGTTAGTGTGCCAGATGACATTATTCACTTTTGTGTTCCAGTATTAACCCCATACACATTCAGCATCTGTGACACGGCAGGGGAGGAACACAAGCCGTACGAGAGCGGAGGGATCATCGTTCCTGTGAAACTGCCAAAGAAAGTCCACTTTGTAAGTTGTTTGTTATGAACCACGTTACACAGTGTCACTAAACCTGACATCTAATGCCACTGCATGGCCATTCTGGAGCCACCAACCACTGACAACTCACTTTAAGTACTACAAGGCCCCAAATAGGTTAAACGTGCACAGACATCTATTAACTCAGGGCTTGGGTGGCCCAGTCCTCCAAGAGTTGCACCCATTGGGCATGCCAGCATCCCTGTGATCATTGCTTTGAATCCTTTTGCCCTTATTTATATTCTTAGTGTGACACCACCACACCTGTACTTACAAACTGACAACTTTCCTCCATGATAAGCTGACACACCATGACAGAACTGAAATATTGTTTAAGTGGCCTTAAACCCAGCTCAGTATTGGAAAGCCCTTAACTGATTTACCTCAGAAAACTTTCAAAAACTAAGCACGTTTCCTCAGTGACTCAGTGACCGAGAGATCTACAGTTGAGCCCAATGAACAGAGTAAGGCCTGCCCAAAACAAATTCAACCACTGAAAGTTTTTATGGATCCCAAAACAAATTCTGATGAAGGCCAAGACTCAGTGAATGGTTGGGTCATGTTGTGAGAGGTTGGTTGGTTGGTTTGTTGTTTAACGCCGCACTCAGCAATATTCCAGCTTTATGACGGCGGTCTGTAAATAATTGAGTCTAGACAAGACATCCAGTGATTAACATCATGAGCATTGATCCACACAATGGTGATACGATGACATGCATCAAGCAAGTCAGCGAGACTGGCCACCAGATCCCGTTAGTTGCCTCTCACGACAAGAATAGTCGCCTTTTACGGCAAGCATGGGTTGCTGAAGACCTATTGTGACCTGTTGTGAGAGGAGTCTAGCTGCCCATACATCAGATACCATTATCTTATGAGTTGTTTCAAAAGGTATTTAATGAGCGAAAGCAAGTTAGATATGCTTTGAAATAACAAGTTGTAAGATAAATGGTATATGACAGGCACAAGGGCAGTTATCTGTTTCTTACACACCCTAAAATCTCACCATTTTAAAATCGAATCCAAGCTTATTTTGTCTATTCTCATGATCACCGTGGCGCATTAATGCATAACACAAAGATCATTTGTGACATCATCCGGCCTTCTGCTTACTAACCATACATTGTGTGACCCTCCACAATAAAAGTTTCTGCCATATCTGTAGATTATCAAGGCAATGATGATTATGCAAACAAGACAAGACCCAACATAAGATTCAACACAGATGTAGGTGAATTTGACCTAAGCATGAGTAACTTATCAATAAATTACAATCAAGAAAGTAGTCTGTCATAATTTGACCTCAGGTCATCTCCATGGAGTAGACAATCACCCACCTGGAATTCGATTAAACACATGTTTGATACCAGTTATCTCTGATGGGTTTCTCACCCACGGGTATGTAAGAAATAGCCACCCACACTAACTGGATTTTGCCATTTTGACCACCATTTAGTTGTTCAAAGAGGACATACTCATGAGAGGGTTAATATATATGGCTGAGAAGGTGCTGACAAGAAGCCTACCACTCAGCAATTAATGGGTTCAAATAATTAAGTTTGTACAATAATTGAATTGTTAGCAATAAGGGGCTTTTGAAGTATGTTATTAATTGTATTTGGCCAACAGTAAATCTCTTTAAGGATGTCCAAAGAGATTTTTGACCCAGACCAAGCTGTGACAAGGCACAATTATCAACCGTTTGTCAGAAAGCATTCTCAAGTCTTATTTCTGAGGCACTGACTATTGAAAAAAATTGCATGTTGCGTGGAAATATCCATGTCATAAATTTTACTCCAGTAATGAAGAAATGAATCACTTCATCCCTAACTGTTAGACACAGAGTTATGACAATGGTATTTGACAACACATCAAACCAGTCTGGTTTACTTGTTTTATTTCTTTCTGACAAAATAATTTTCAACAAACTAATTTCTGGTTGCCTATGTTTTGAAACTCTTTCGACAGTGTTGTGCAGGAAGCTTTAAGTTGAAGTAGACATCAATTTCTTACAATGCAAGTCTTTTTACAACCGGTTGAAATGTTACAGAATTTATCTGGACATTCCACGACGTCAATAATAGTGAGTTAGTCATATTTTGCTGAAGTGACTAACACTATTTTTATGCCATTGCCTGAATATTTGACAGCCAGCTGTCACCTTTTGCTCTAAGTGTAGCTGTTACATCATGTACAGTGGCAGTTGCCGATGGCCTCCAACACGGATAATGGGACAGGAACGTGTGAATGGTAGCTGGCATTGTTGTCCCACTTTGACATAGACGTGCTGCTTCAAGGATGTCATTAGTTTGATACGTACATCTCTGTAGTGTCCTTCACATACTCAGGAGTGTTTGTTCACAAGGGTCACATTGACATGGACGCAGTTACCTGTTAATGCAGGTCCAGATCAACAAGGATGGTTAGCTCGAGCTCATCAGACCATACTTGATAATAAACAAACAGCAGAATACTTACTGACAATTCTGTAATTTCAGAAATGTTATAAAGTTTTCTTACAGATTTGTTTTCTTGTATCCTTATCAGCACTGTGATGTGACCCAGACTATGGATGACTAAACATGCATGATGGTCTCCAATCTTGTATGATATATTTATCCACATAGCTTTCCTTTTAAAGAGATTGTTTTCAAAACTTGTGTCACTGCCCCTGTCTGTGGTGTGCTAAACTGCCTCCTGCCCCTGTCTGTGGTGTGCTACAATGTGTCCTGCCCCTGTCTGTGGTGTGCTACACTGTGTCCTGCCCCTGTCTGTGGTGTGCTACACTGTGTCCTGCCCCTGTCTGTGGTGTGCTACACTGTGTCCTGCCCCTGTCTGTGGTGAGCTACAATGTGTCCAGCCCCTGTCAGTGGTGTGCTACACTGTCTCCTGCCCCTGTCTGTGGTGTGCTACAATGTGTCCTGCCCCTGTCTGTGGTGTGCTACACTGTCGCCCGCCCGTCTGTGGTGTGCTACACTGTGCCCTGCCCCTGTGTGTGGTGTGCCCTGTCCCTGTCTGTGGTGTGCCCTGCCCCTGTCTGTGGTGTGTCCAGCCCCTGTCTGTGGTGTGTCCAGCCCCTGTCTGTGGTATGTCCAGCCCCTGTCTGTGGTGTGCCCTGCCCCTGTCTGTGGTGTGCCCTGCCCCTGTCTGTGGTGTGTCCAGCCCATGACTCAGGTGTGCTACACTGTCTCCTGCCCCTGTCTGTGGTATGCTACACTGTGTCCAGCCCCTGTCTCTAGTGTGCTACAATATTTCCTGCCCCTGTCTGTGGTGTGCTACACTGTGTCCAGCCCCTGTCTGTGGTGTGCTACACTGTGTCCTGCCCTGTCTGTGGTGTATCCAGTCCCTGTCTGTGGTGTGCCCTGCCCCTGTCTGTGGTGTGTCCTGCCCCTGTCTGTGGTGTATCCAGTCCCTGTCTGTGGTGTGCCCTGCCCCTGTCTGTGGTGTGCTACACTGTATCCTGCCCCTGTCTGTGGTGAGCTACAATATGTCCAGCCCCTGTCTGTTGTGTGTCCAGCCCCTGTCTCTAGTGTGCTACAATGTGTGCTGCCCCTGTCTGTGGTGTGCTACACTGTCTCCTGCCCCAGTCTGTGGTGTGCTACAAAGTGTCCTGCCCCTGTCTGTGCTGTGCTACACTGTGTCCTGCCCCTGTCAGTGGTGTGCTACACTGTCTCCTGCCCCTGTCTGTGGTGTGCTACAATGTGTCCTGCCCCTGTCTGTGGTGTGCTACACTGTGTCCTGCCCGTCTGTGGTGTGTCCAGCCCCTGTCTCTAGTGTGCTACACTGTGTCCTGCCCCGGTCTGTGGTGTGCTACACTGTGTCCTGCCCCAGTCTGTTGTGTGCTACACTGTGTCCTGCCAGTCTGTGGTGTGCTACACTGTGTTCTGCCCCTGTGTGTGGTGTTCCCTGCCCCTGTCCGTGTTGTGTCCTGCCCCTGTCTGTGGTGTGCTACACTGTGTCCAGCCCCTGTCTGTGGTGTGCTACACTGTGTCCGGTCCTTGTCTGTTGTGTGCTACACAGTGTCCAGCCCCTGTCTATGGTGTGCTACACTGTGTCCTGCCCCTGTGTATGGTGTGCTACACTGTGTCCTGCCCCAGTCTGAGGTGTGCTACACTGTGTCCTGCCAGTCTGTGGTGTGCTACACTGTGCCCTGCCCCTGTGTGTGGTGTGCTACACTGTGTCCTGCCCCTGTTTGTGGTGTGCTACACTGTGCCCTGCCCCTGTGTGTGGTGTGCTACACTGTGTCCTGCCCCTGTGTGTGGTGTGCTACACTGTGTCCTGCCCCTGTGTATGGTGTGCTACACGGTGTCCTGCCCCAGTCTGTGGTGTGCTACACTGTGTCCTGCCAGTCTGTGGTGTGCTACACTGTGTTCTGCCCCTGTGTGTGGTGTTCCCTACCCCTGTCCGTGTTGTGTCCTGCCCCAGTCTGTTGTGTGCTACACTGTGTCCTGCCAGTCTGTGGTGTGCTACACTGTGTTCTGCCCCTGTGTGTGGTGTTCCCTACCCCTGTCCGTGTTGTGTCCTGCCCCAGTCTGTGGTGTGCTACACTGTGTCCTGCCAGTCTGTGGTGTGCTACACTGTGTTCTGCCCCTGTGTGTGGTGTTCCCTACCCCTGTCCGTGTTGTGTCCTGCCCCAGTCTGTGGTGTGCTACACTGTGTCCTGCCAGTCTGTGGTGTGCTACACTGTGTTCTGCCCCTGTGTGTGGTGTTCCCTACCCCTGTCCGTGTTGTGTCCTGCCCCAGTCTGTTGTGTGCTACACTGTGTCCAGTCTTTGTCTGTTGTGTGCTACACTGTGTCCAGCCCCTGTCTGTGGTGTGCTACACTGTGTCCAGTCCGTGTCTGTTGTGAGCTACACTGTGTCCTGCCCCTGTCTGTGGTGTGCTACAATGTGTCCTGCCCCTGTGTGTGGTGTGCTACACTGTGTCCTGCCCCAGTCTGTGGTGTGCTACACTCTGTCCTGCCCCAGTCTGTGGTGTGCTACACTGTGTCCAGTCCTTGTCTGTTGTGTGCTCCTGTAGAGGTGGCAGCAAGGTTGCACTCTAATCCTCCCTCATACTGTGTATTGATCCAGTGACATATGCTCCAAGCAAGTGTTCTGATTACTTATATTTACAAGTCTGTGGTTGCATAAGGCTATTTAAGTGTACATTAACCTAACAACAAAATTGTGGAGTGGATCACACCCGGAGATGATAATTGGTGGCCGACAAAATAGTTCTTGAATACAAAGTCACTATAGGGCAAGCGAGATGTCTACAGCATCAATCAATAATCTGCCCTGGAAAACAGCAGTCTTATATAAAAATGCTAAATATGAATAATTTGTATGTACATTGAATACCACAAATGTCCTCTATCTACCAATGAATTAGAGTGACACTTATAATCAATGAAAAATAAAGAAATGAATTTAAAAAATAGCATATTAGTGTTCATGGGTATCTGTCTTTTATCAATCACCAATGATCATTCCAAAATGTCGTCGATATCCCTAGAATCATTTTGAATGTTTGAATGCCGAAGTCAACTTTCTGCCATATTGGAAAGTGTTTACAAAATCATGTTTCACGTATACCGGTTTTGAGATGCCTGTAACATCACTTCCATTCATCCTTGAATTCCTCATACATTTTAGAATCAAATGACAAATGGCCTTTGTCACCAATACAAAGTATCTCAATCAAGCCAAAGAAATTTGGTGTAAAAACGAACAATGTGCTCAAAAAACTGCACTTGTTTGAAATGTAAACAAAGCAAAATTCAGTTTTTACACAGTGCAGCATTTTCTCCTGTTTTGAGCTATGCAATCGTCTATTCATTGCATACAATGGCTCAACATTTTAAGAAGATGCATGGTAAGGGATTCTCTTCCTATGCGTTCACTTCGGCGTTCCTGTTTGCGTATTTTCCAAAACATTCTAAACGATTCTAGGGTTATCGTTGATGTTTTGGAATGTTGATTTGATAAGTGACAGATACCCTGTGATCACTAATATGCTATTTTTGAAATTCATTTCTCTGAGTAAAGATCCGAAATTTAGATTTCAAAACATGCTGTTAATAACGCTGTGAGTGGTGATTTAGGAATGTGTTTAAAAAATGCAACATTTACGATGTACCTAATTTTTAGAGGTCATTTTCAGTAATTTTGCTTTTCCTAAAATGCCAGTGGATGATACCACAAAACATGTGAAAGTGTCAAAACTGTGAAGTGTATCTGTGTGCGTGATGTATGTTAAATTTTATTCGACTTCAACGTAAGGGTTGAAGAGGAGGGACATATATGTCCCTCTGGCATCCAGGGGGTTAAACCACAGATACCACTATTACATCAATGTCATGGCAGCCTGTATAATCAAATCTGACCCAGACAAACCAATGACTGAAACAAGAGCTGTGATCCAAGCCATAAGTGTACCAGGACGTGCAACCAGCCAAGTCACCAGCATGTCTCCACAGTCCTCCTTAGTGGGCTAAATGAGACGGAATACCCAAGAGGTGTTACCTGTGTAATATTTGCTCCGGGTTGGGGCTAAGTTGTTATTTGTATCCAGTCAAAAACATCTGTCTGTTTTCCAGAAATCCTTAGAGAGCCAGCTCACATGTCCAAGCCTGACCATTCCAGATCTGTCCAAGTTCCAGGTAAGTTCATTACTTCGAAGACTGCCTGCATGGTCTGGTAGGTAGAGCGTCTGCCCGGAGAGCAGAAGGTCAGCTGTTCCATCCCCAAGCCAAGGCATGATAAAAATATGTTAAAGGAAGGTACTTATTGTAACCTTGTCACGCGCTCAGTACTAAGGTGTTAACACAAGGACTGGTTGACGAGCACTATAAAACCAACAAAAAGTCTGGACCAGTAGAAGTAGCAACACACGCACGAGCACTATAAAACCAACAAAAAGTCTGGACCAGTAGAAGTAGCAACACACGCACATTAATTCATGTCACAATATAAGTGCAATAATCTTGAACTGACATAAAACCCCATGTCACCTCACCTCTTTGCTTAGATACACCCCGTTGCTGTTCACCCGACAGACCACCTCTAGGGGTCAGATCCTCAGGTCCTTCTTTTCAGCTATTGATCTCATCAAAAGTAATTATTTGTATAATATTTGCCATCAACATGATCAAAATTAACTTTTGAAGTGTGTTGCTGTAAAGTTTGGGTCAATTTGATGAGTTTTGATACTGGGTGATATGTTACACTCAGGATTGTATCTTGAATGAGGTGTAACTTGGTGGTTGTGAATACTGACATTGTCATTGGTGTCAGTGGTATCAAATTCTTTCTGTAACATGTCTGTCTCACAGTTTATTGCCAATCACAATAAGTGCTTCGTGATCAGTGAATGCAAGTGGGGTTCTCCTGGACCAGCAAGGCTGACCAGTGACTGTTGCCATCAAGTGAACAATTTGAGTTTCATTGGTTGTTAATGTTATTTATTGTTTGCTATAGATCAAAAGGAATCAGTAATAGATCATGAATATAATACCTGGTTAGGTATTAGGCACTTCAGCACCATCAATATGTGTGTGACTGAGACGAGTCAGGTCAGGTGCAGATACAAGAACTGACATGAAGCCAAGCTGGTATATTGTAACTGTTCCTTTTTGCCCCTGATGTGGAACTCTTCTTTCTGTCTTAGAGCACAGCCACATGCATGAGTTCCATGAAGGGAACTCTCTTTTCTTTCAACCCAGTGCCCATGAACACTAAGCCAAGATTGTTGGACACTGTTCCATAAAGCATTCCGCTCTGTTGTATGTCTGTTAAAGTATGGGAGTTACGATCGCTTTGTGGAACAGGGCCCTGGAAATCTTATGGAACATACAGCTTGATCGACTCTGTTCCGAGTGTAATGTGTTTTTTGCTGACTTGTCTTAAATAATCTTATCTTATTTCATTATATGCAGAGTCAGAAACATTATTGCAATATGTGAAAAGGGGATATGTAGTGTTTGAAATGAAAATTGTTGTCTAGCTGCCATCTGGACTCACATATTTGAGAAGCTGCAGGCCATGACCAAACTCTTCAGGCCCAAAATACTGCAGCTGACTTATTGCGACAAATAAATCAACACAAATTTACTGTAGGCCATGAGGGATCATACAAATTTGAAACTACAGGCCCTACACAAGATGTACCTGCCACAGACCTACTAGCAGTCACTTGTTTCTAACACTGGATATATATATATGAAAACATACTTTTGTCTTGGCAAATATTGCAAAATGTAAGTGAGGTTATAATTATTTGGGTAAAATCCTCATCATTCTTTCAAGGAAATTTCAAAGTTTAAGTTGGCAAGCTTGGATATATGTCCACTGTTGTGGTTGTCATGTTTTGTGATCTATTAGCACCATACCTTACTGCATGGTTTTCACATGAGGGGGTGGAGGGGAACGGATGACCCAGCACACCAATTTGTTTGCAGAGTTGCATCCCTTAGATGTGCCAGAACCCTATCATCATGGGTTCCAATCCCAGATTTGCCCCGATTATGCTTCTAGATTTGTCAGGTTTGTCTGTGCAAGTGAGTTTCACCAAACTGATAAATGTCTAAGATCTATGTAACTTTGATCTTTCCTCCCACATGAACCTCCCATATTACTGGAATACTATTGAAAGTGGCGTAAAACACAACTCTACAACTCATATGAGTATTGAATGTCTGTGGCCTTTTCTCACACATTAAAGCCCCAGCCGGACTATAAATAGCCTGCAAGGTGGCTGTGTTTCAGTTTCGAACAATGACTGACAATGTAAACACAACCGAGTGTCGGGAGAAGTTTTTTGAAAGACATACGGGAACGATAACACCATTGACCATCACACTTCGTATCAACTTGAATAACAAACCATGGATACAACAAATGGCTCCATATCAAGATATAAGTCAATAAATTTTCTGTAGTTTTATCATAAAAAATCGAATCAATCGTGTTTGGTGTCTGCATCAATCACAGTGGGGGGAGCTTATTTACGGTGCCAATCAACAGGGATCTGGGTCACTGGGACCCGCCAAATTTCACAGATTGAGTTACTTCGGCATGAGGAGCTTCATTGGACAAGTGAGACTTTGCCAAAATACATTGCTACTGGACAATGAAAAAACAACAAGAAACTACTTTGATCACTTGAAAATATTTTTGACCATTATCAGGCTTTTTACACGATCGATGTCATCCAGATTCCAGATGAGGCAAGACGAACACAACGAAGAAAAACATTGTTGAAATCACCTATTGCCGTATATATTGTGAGAAATGCTATTTATAAACTGCAGATATACTGTACACCACAGGATAACGATTGGTGCCCCAACACATATTATGTTTCTTGTTCATTTACATTGCTCATATGCATCACGACAAACGTATTTCGTTCTAGTCCAGAGATCTAGAACTATAAATTGTGTGTTGGATAAATCGTGGACATTCCACGGTATCATTTTATGAAGATGTGAAGACGACATGGCAGGTAGGTTTTGAAACCAAAGATGTACGCGTTTGTTGAAAAGTCTTGGAATCGTTTGGTAGATATTTATATTACCATTAAAACTTACGTCCTTGTTGTCAAACAGCCCATGTGGGTGGGTGTTTACATGACGTCACCCGTTTACGCATTAACCAATGAAATGTATGTGTTATCATGACATCATATTGACCTGTCAGATCAATTGTATAAGCTCCGCCCACTAGAGTGCGGTAGTTACTACCGCAGATGGGGCTTTAAACACACTCACTTCTGCATGAGCTGAAAGACATTAATGACACATCTTTTCAACTGAGTAATGAGTATATTTTTATACCTGTATATAATAGTCAGGATCAGTCCCTTTCCTTGATGAAGGGGAGTTATACATCTGAGTTCAACAAAAATCCTGAATACTCCAGTCAATATATATTTGTCTGTGAGATGATGGGCTATAAAAACAACATAACTGATAGGTAATCACATCTTGGGGTCATAAGGAAGGCTTTGGAGTAGACTAGCAGCACTAGATGCATGGTGAATACGGGATGATTAATGGAAATTGAGCCAGTGAGATTTCACTTCCAATGTCACTCCATGTAGTGGTGCATGGACAGTCGTATTTCACAGGAAATCAATGGCTGGGGTCAGTCTGACCTGATGCTAATACCACTTCCAGGAAAATTGTTGAAGTTTGGGATGTCTGAATGATGATATATGTTTCTTGATCGATAGCGCTGAAGCTGGAATCAGTGCACAACTCACTGTATTCAATGCATCAACTCAGTATGTTCAGTGCTTTGCTTTGTTTTATGGATCGAGACTGGCAAAATATTTCCATAATCCAAAATATTGTCAATAAGTAGATTTGCTTTCTGTTATCAAAATGCTGAATGAAGCATCAGTGGTCTCTAAAAATGATGGATCATGTGTGGCCCAGTCATCTAAGATGTCTCAAGCTTGCCAGAAACATTTAATCGTGGATTCTAATCGTGGTTCCCCATGATTATGTTTCTTGGTTTGTCAGCACCATGTATGTGCTCTAGGTAACCAAAGTGGTAAATGTGTAAGACCAGCTTCAGTTGGTGCTTTCCTCCCATATTATACTGACATGACTGAAATGCTGTTCAATTCAGCATAAAATGAAACTCACTCACTGTAAAAATGAACAAGTTTTGTGTCATTGTCGTTTCATCCTGGATGTGAGACTTTTTGTCACATAAAGGCATATTATGAACAGGTGGAATTATGTCTCGCATGTACCAATACAACATTTTAGTGACTTCACATGGTCTGATTTCACTCCAAAATGAGGGATTGAATGTTGTTTTATGGCACTGTTGGCAATATTCCAGCTATTCCACAGCAGCCTGTAAAAGTATTGGCACCTGGCAAACTAGAGATTGGAGCTAGGCACAATAAAGGTACTTGATTCAACTTGCACCAGGTGCATGTTAACAAGAAAACTTAGTTGCACTGGACAAAACCAGGTTGCACCCTGGTCCCACAAATTTATCAAATTCGAAACAGATGCGTGAAGTAGTCTAAATAAATAAGATCTCTTTTCAACAAAAGGTTGCATAAAGCTAAATCAAGCCCTGTTGGAGCAATGGTTTCAACCTGTGAAATAGTGTTGGTCTTCTTTCAACATAGCACTGAAACAGCATGACATACGTCTAACTGCTTCTGTGCCAATAGTATTCTGGACAATAGTAACCTCTCTTCATTATCGTAAAATCTAGCATTGTATCCCTGGACAGTAAACAAATCTAGCATTGTATCCCTGGACACTAAACGAATCTAGCATTGTATCCCTGGACAGTAAACGAATCTAGCATTTTATCCCTGGACAGTAAAAAAATCTAGCATTGTATCCCTGGACAGTAAAAAAATCTAGCATTGTATCCCTGGACAGTAAACGAATTTAGCATTGTATCCCTGGACAGTAAATGAATCTAGTATTGTATCCCTGGACAGTAAACGAATCTAGTATTGTAACTCTGGACAGTGAACGAATCTATTTCTGTATCCCTGGACAGTAAACAAATCTAGCATTGTATCCCTGACAGTAAACAAATCTAGCATTGTATCCCTGACAGTAAACAAATCTAGCATTGTATCCCTGGACAGGAAACGAATCTAGTATTGTATCCCTGGACAGGAAACGAATCTAGTATTGTATCCCTCGACAGTAAAAGAATCTAGTATTGTATCCCTGGACAGTAAATGAATCTATTTCTGTATCCCTGGACAGGAAACGAATCTAGTATTGTATCCCTGGACAGTAAACGAATCTAGTATTGTAACCCTGGACAGTGAACGAATCTATTTCTGTATCCCTGGACAGTAAACAAATCTAGCATTGTATCCCTGGACAGTAAACAAATCTAGCATTGTATCCCTGGACAGTAAACAAATATAGCATTGTATCCCTGGACAGTAAACAAATCTAATATTGTATCCTTGGACAGTAAATGAATCTAGTATTGTATCCCTGGACAGTAAATGAATCTAGTATTGCATCCCTGGACAGTAAACGAATCTAGTATTGTAACCCTGGATAGTGAACGAATCTATTTCTGTATCCCTGGACAGTAAACAAATCTAGCATTGTATCCCTGACAGTAAACGAATCTAGCATTGTATCCCTGACAGTAAGCAAATCTAGCATTGTATCCCTGGACAGTAAACTAATCTAGCATTGTATTCCTGACAGTTAACAAATCTAGTATTGTATCCCTGGAGAGTAAACAAATCTAGCATTGTATCCCTTACAGTAAACGAATCTAGCATTGTATCCCTGGACAGTAAACAAATCTAGCATTGTATCCCTGGACAGTAAACAAATCTAGCATTGTATCCCTGGACAGTAAACAAATCTATTTCTGTATCCCTGGACAGTAAACAAATCGAGTACTGTATCCCTGGACAGTAAACAAATCTAGCATTGTATCCCCGACAGTAACGAATCTAGCATTGTATCCCTGGACAGTAAACTAATCTAGCATTGTATCCCTGACAGTAAACAAATCTAGTATTGTATCCCTGACAGTTAACGAATCTAGCATTGTATCCCTCGACAGTAAACAAATCTAGCATTGTATCCCTGACAGTAAACAAATCTAGCATTGTATCCCTGGACAGTAAACAAATCTAGCATTGTATCCCTGACAATAAATGAATCTAGCATTGTATCCCTGGACAGTAAACAAATCTAGCATTGTATCCCTGGACAGTAAACAAATCTAGCATTGTATCCCTGACAGTAAACAAATCTAGCATTGTATCCCTGACAATAAATGAATCTAGCATTGTATCCCTGGACAGTAAACGAATCTAGTATTGTATCCCTGGACAGTAAACAAATCTAGTATTGTATCCCTGACAGTAAACAAATCTAGTATTGCATCCCTGACAGTAAACGAATCTAGTATTGTATCACTGGACAGTAAACAAATCTAGCATTGTATCCCTGACAATAAATGAATCTAGCATTGTATCCCTGGACAGTAAACAAATCTAGTATTGTATCCCTGAGAGTAAACAAATGTAGTATTGTATCCCTGGACAGTAAACAAATCTAGCATTGTATCCCTGGACAGTAAACAAATATAGCATTGTATCCCTGGATAGTAAACAAATCTATTTCTGTATCCCTGGACAGTAAACAAATCGAGTATTGTATCCCTGACAGTAAACAAATCGAGTATTGTATCCCTGGACAGTAAACTCATTAAAGTTTGGCTCTGATATTTCACACATTTCAAAACCCTTGTGTTTTTCTTGTTTTGCCTGTACATATCTTGTTGTTAACTTGGAAGTTTAATCTTGTAATTTAAACTCTGAGAAATTGTTTTCTCCAAAGTTGCAACCAACACCAAGAACCATTCATAACATAGATAATGAGTTGAAGTACTAGCTTCTGATTTGTGATCAGCTTCGTCAAATGAAGTTAATGGCAAGGTTTCAGAATAAATCAAATGGATGACTTTCACTGATTGATGCGATGCTGTGACACTGAGTAACCTTACTTCATACTTTGGCAGTGAGTTTCTGTCCACATAGAATTGGTTTTGAATGATTTTGTGAAATACAAATATATAACCGAGAACAAAAAACACAACCATCTCCAAGTTGTTCTTTCAGGAACTGATTATGAAGCACACATGGAGAAGATGCATGCTGTTAAACTGTTACTTTTATTGACAGACTTGTATCTGAGTATCAGTGAGTTATGTCAGCATGATCCACTTGGTTAAAAGTGTCGAAATGAATTCAATTACAAACAAAGGTTGTCTTTTTTCTTCCTTTTCAAAGTTCTTTGAAGTTGGAACCTGCTAGTGGAATAATTCGCCCCAGTCTTGCGTTGTGAAACAAATCAGTTACACGGACAGTGCATGTTTTGTGTTTTCAGATCAAGCTGACATATTGTCATAATTAATCCCGGCAATATCAAATTGTATTAGCCCAAATAACTGATTAATCTGTAATTGGTGCAATTTTTGCAGCTGTACAAATATCTTTTGCCACTACAAAAGTCCATGGAAATCGATTCTTAATGTCGAGATGACTTTAGTGCACCGTTTAATCTGTAGCTCACCTGAGCGGAGTTCTATGCGAGATATCAGTATGTGGTGTCATGCTACTTCCCTTGCCCGAGGGCCAGTAGGTTGGCCATATATGGGATCCCTAGTCATGCCAGTAAATGTCAGATGTTAATTTACAGCAGTAGTTCTTGCATTACCTGATGCATCTCTTGTGTCAAGTAAATTGCTTTGTGCAAGGGGGAGTTGTTTCTATTAGGGCTGGGACGGGTAACTCGGGTACCCAGGTTGGATGGGGACTGAGTAGGATCCAGCTATCCACAGGACGATCTGGACCCGTGGTAAGTCACGTGATATGTTGTTTAATAACCGAAATTATCTAGAACTCTATGGTTACACTACAAGTCACTAATGTTCACATTTCTTTCTGACTATGCACCCATTCCTTCTGACTTTTCATATGGTTGAAAGAGATATAACTTAAGTCAACTTCAGTGTACGCATGGCCAGATTGTTTAATACATGTAACTAAATACGTTTTATAGGGCTATGGTAAAAAAATTCACAATGAGACATTTTGTACCTATCTCTTGAGACCTACAGTGGCTACCTGGGTGGAGTCGGGTGATAGCGGGGTGGGTACCTGGGTAGTAAATTTGAAGTCGTCTCAGCTCTAGTTTCTACAGCATTTATCACTTTGGTGGAATGTATCAGGAAATTTGTTTCCGAAAATTTATTTGGATTTTGTCCATTTTGTATTTTTAAAAATTCAATGAAACCTTTCAGGAAGTTAACAGGTTTATAGAGTGTCAAGAACTGAACTGTTATAATTAAACAGCTGGACTCAGTCAATGATACCTAAAGTGTGAATACATTAAGTTTATGTGTTTCTTTTTTTATGGCCTGGAAAATGTTTCATATCATATATATATATATATTTGTGAGTTATAAATACTCACAAATATATCAGCTCACAAATGCTTTCCCGGTATTCATATATATTTGTATTTGTGAAAAGTTTTTCCAATAAAAAGGAAGTGTTGATTCCCAATTCTTGTATTGTTAGATCATCTAGATCTAAACCAGCTTTGTATTTACAAACCACTCCAATGTTATGCACCTGTATTAGTGTTATAGTTTGAAATCTCATGGGGAGTGAGTAAATGTAATTTTCCTGGCCAGGCAAACCAGTGGTTGATAGCATGAGCATGCATGTTGTTAGGATATGTGAGGGTAGGATGACACACACTCGTGCATCAGCCAGGTCCGACACTGTATCTCCACTGTAACCCTCGGGCCCCATCACTCAGTGTCACAGAGATGATTAAGTTGTCTTGTAGTCTCTGAAAGTACAACATTCTTCAGTTCAGTTGTTAGTTTGGATGTTGATAAAGAGTTTCTTCAGATTTGATGAAGAGATGAATGACATCTGGAACGTATAAAGTCATATTGCTCCAGACACGCAAATCATTTTTCAGATGGATTTTTGTGAGACTTGTGACAAGATTATTGATGTTGACAGACATGCAAATTATTGTTACTTCTCCATTTTCCAGGCTCCTCCCAATCTCCATCTTGCATTCCTGGCTCTGGACAAGTTCCTGCAGATCAACAAACGGCTGCCGCATATCTGGTGAGTTGAAGCCACCCTTACATGTAAAGCAATAAGCGACATTTTCATAAAGCAAATCCATTACATGCTTCATAGCTGGTCAGTTGAGCTACCAACATCCATGTTGCCTGGACTGACAGAGCTGTTTTCAAAGTGAAATGAAATTTGTGTTGTGGGGCCTAAGGATGCCTGTGTGTTGCAATACCCTCCAGCCATGAAAAATTAAGTATAGTCATATGACAAAATTGGGTGTTCTTTAACCACTTTTATGTTGCTTATATACTAGTTTATTTGTGATATTGTAAATTTTTACCTTTATTAAGCTTTGCACTTTGACCATGCTCCAAAAGTCTCTCTAAATTCATTTCCTGAAACTCCTTTTCCAACCAATATGACATCTGAATTTGTTCAAGAGGTTCGATTCTGATTCAGCCACTTTGTCAAGTCTGATTGAGCCTGTTTAATGCAGTGTTCTGATTGTAGGTGTGCTAATGATGCCTGTCAAATCATCTCCATGGCAACTGACCTCAACAAGCAATTGGAATCAAAGGTAGTATTTCCTTGGGATAATGTCTAAAAGACAAATACCATCAGGTGAACCATGGTAAACATTGCACAGAATATTTTAAAGTAAATATCAGAAGTGGAATTTTAAGCAGCCACATGAGGGTGTTTTAAGGTTTTGTCAGAATTTGACCACTCCAACAGCCACGCTTTAACTTGCATGGACAACGCAGGGTTATGTGAAGGGTATCTCCATTATAGCACATTCTTTTGAGAAATTGATCAGTCATGTCATGGGTCAAGGTCATCCTCAAGGTCACAAACTGAAGACGTAAGCTCCGCTGTATGTCTATAAGTTTGATCTAAATATTGCAGGTCGCAGTCCAGGATGAAGTTCTCTTCTGTATGAGTACCCTCTATAAGTTTGACCTAAATATTGCAGGTTGCGGTCCTGGATGAAGATATCCTTCGATGCATGTCCTTCACCTCTAGAGGTTGCCTAGCGCTGCTGTGTGCCACCATGGGAGGATTCGTGGCCCAGGAGGGTCTCAAGGCCTTGACGGGGAAGTTCACTCCCCTTAATCAGATGGTGTGTTGACAGGCACTAACACAGGGCTCGATTTAGGGAACTTCATTTAACTTTCACCAGGTGCATGTTGACATGAAAACCTAGTTGCACCAGACAAGATGGGTTTGCACTCATGTCCCATAAATTTATCAAAGATGAAACAGAGATACAGAAACTGAATAAGTTCACCAACATTTTAATGATGTCAAGCCCAAGAAAGGATGTCAAATTACATATAATGCAGGAACTAATGATATAGTATGGTACACAAAGCATATGGATATTCTTTGTGTTAAAAAATTGTTGTGTGGAAAAATAAGGGTTAAACACAGATCAGTGCATGTAGAAATAAATATTAGGTTGCACTAAGATTGTTGTGACTAAGATTCTTGCAAGAAACTTAAGTATTGAAAAGATCAGTGCTATCATTGTGTGTTGCAGCTTTATCTTGATGCCATGGAGATCCTGCCTGGCCTCGACGCCGACAAGCAGCAGTTCCAGACCAGGTACATCACATTGTGGCAGATATACTGCACAACTCCATACAGTGTCTACATCACGTACAGCTATACTGCACAACCCCATACAGTGTCTACATCACGTAGCAGATATACTGCACAACCCCAAACAGTGTCTACATCACGTAGCAGCTATACTGCACAACCCCATACAGTGTCTACATCACGTAGCAGCTATACTGCACAACCCCATACAGTGTCTACATCACGTAGCAGCTATATTGCACAGCCCCATTCAGTGTCTACATCATGTAGCAGCTATACTGCACAACCCCATACAGTGTCTACATCACGTAGAAGATATACTGCACAACCCCATACAGTGTCTACATCGCGTAGCAGATATACTGCACAACCCCATACAGTGTCTACATCACGTAGCAGCTATACTGCACAACCCCATACAGTGTCTACATCACGTAGCAGCTATATTGCACAACCCCATTCAGTGTCTACATCATGTAGCAGCTATACTGCACAACCCCATACAGTGTCTACATCACGTAGCAGATATACTGCACAACCCCATACAGTGTCTACATCGCGTAGCAGCTATACTGCACAACCCCATACAGTGTCTACATCACGTAGCAGATATACTGCACAACCCCATACAGTGTCTACATCGCGTAGCAGATATACTGCACAACCCCATACAGTGTCTACATCACGTAGCAGCTATACTGCACAACCCCATACAGTGTCTACATCACGTAGCAGATATACTGCACAACCCCATACAGTGTCTACATCACGTAGCAGATATACTGCACAACTCCATACAGTGTCTACATCACGTAGCAGCTATACTGCACAACCCCATACAGTGTCTACATCACGTAGCAGATATACTGCACAACCCCATACAGTGTCTACATCACGTAGCAGCTATACTGCACAACCCCATACAGTGTCTACATCACGTAGCAGATATACTGCACAACCCCATACAGTGTCTACATCACGTAGCAGATATACTGTACAACTCCATACAGTGTCTACATCACGTAGCAGATATACTGCACAACCCCATACAGTGTCTACATCACGTAGCAGATATACTGCACAACCCCATACAGTGTCTACATCACGTAGAAGATATACTGCACAACTCCATACAGTGTCTACATCACGTAGCAGATATACTGCACAACCCCATACAGTGTCTACATCACGTAGCAGATATACTGTACAACTCCATACAGTGTCTACATCACGTAGCAGATATACTGCACAACTCCATACAGTGTCTACATCACGTAGCAGCTATACTGAACAACCCCATACAGTGTCTACATCACGTAGCAGCTATACTGCACAACCCCATACAGTGTCTACATCACGTAGCAGATATACTGCACAACCCCATACAGTGTCTACATCACGTAGCAGATATACTGCACAACCCCATACAGTGTCTACATCACGTAGCAGATATACTGCACAACCCCATACAGTGTCTACATCACGTAGCAGATATACTGCACAACTCCATACAGTGTCTACATCACGTAGCAGATATACTGCACAACCCCATACAGTGTCTACATCACGTAGCAGATATACTGCACAACTCCATACAGTGTCTACATCACGTAGCAGATATACTGCACAACCCCATACAGTGTCTACATCACGTAGCAGATATACTGCACAACCCCATACAGTGTCTACATCACGTAGCAGATATACTGCACAACTCCATACAGTGTCTACATCACGTAGCAGATATACTGCACAACTCCATACAGTGTCTACATCACGTAGCAGCTATACTGAACAACCCCATACAGTGTCTACATCACGTAGCAGATATACTGTACAACTCCATACAGTGTCTACATCACGTAGCAGATATACTGCACAACTCCATACAGTGTCTACATCACGTAGCAGCTATACTGAACAACCCCATACAGTGTCTACATCACGTAGCAGCTATACTGCACAACCCCATACAGTGTCTACATCACGTAGCAGATATACTGCACAACCCCATACAGTGTCTACATCACGTAGCAGATATACTGCACAACCCCATACAGTGTCTACATCACGTAGCAGATATACTGCACAACCCCATACAGTGTCTACATCACGTAGCAGATATACTGCACAACTCCATACAGTGTCTACATCACGTAGCAGATATACTGCACAACCCCATACAGTGTCTACATCACGTAGCAGATATACTGCACAACTCCATACAGTGTCTACATCACGTAGCAGATATACTGCACAACCCCATACAGTGTCTACATCACGTAGCAGATATACTGCACAACCCCATACAGTGTCTACATCACGTAGCAGATATACTGCACAACTCCATACAGTGTCTACATCACGTAGCAGATATACTGCACAACTCCATACAGTGTCTACATCACGTAGCAGCTATACTGAACAACCCCATACAGTGTCTACATCACGTAGCAGATATACTGCACAACCCCATACAATGTCTACATCACGTAGCAGCTATACTGCACAACCCCATACAGTGTCTACATCATGTAGCAGCTATACTGCACAACCCCATACAGTGTCTACATCACGTAGCAGCTATACTGCACAACCCCATACAGTGTCTACATCACGTAGCAGATATACTGCACAACTCCATACAGTGTCTACATCACGTAGCAGATATACTGCACAACCCCATACAGTGTCTACATCGCGTAGCAGATATACTGCACAACCCCATACAGTGTCTACATCACGTAGCAGATATACTTCACAACTCCATACAGTGTCTACATCACGTAGCAGATATACTGCACAACCCCATACAGTGTCTACATCGCGTAGCAGATATACTGCACAACCCCATACAGTGTCTACATCACGTAGCAGATATACTGCACAACCCCATACAGTGTCTACATCACGTAGCAACTATACTGCACAACTCCATACAGTGTCTACATCATGTAGCAGATATACTGCACAACTCCATACAGTGTCTACATCACGTAGCAGCTATACTGCACAACTCTATACAGTGTCTACATCACGTAGCAGCTATACTGCACAGCCCCATTCAGTGTCTACATCACGTAGCAGCTATACTGAACAACCCCATACAGTGTCTACATCACGTAGCAGATATACTGCACAACCCCATACAGTGTCTACATCGCGTAGCAGATATACTGCACAACCCCATACAGTGTCTACATCACGTAGCAGATATACTGCACAACTCCATACAGTGTCTACATCACGTAGCAGATATACTGCACAACTCCATACAGTGTCTACATCACGTAGCAGCTATACTGAACAACCCCATACAGTGTCTACATCACGTAGCAGATATACTGTACAACTCCATACAGTGTCTACATCACGTAGCAGATATACTGCACAACTCCATACAGTGTCTACATCACGTAGCAGCTATACTGAACAACCCCATACAGTGTCTACATCACGTAGCAGCTATACTGCACAACCCCATACAGTGTCTACATCACGTAGCAGATATACTGCACAACCCCATACAGTGTCTACATCACGTAGCAGATATACTGCACAACCCCATACAGTGTCTACATCACGTAGCAGATATACTGCACAACCCCATACAGTGTCTACATCACGTAGCAGATATACTGCACAACTCCATACAGTGTCTACATCACGTAGCAGATATACTGCACAACCCCATACAGTGTCTACATCACGTAGCAGATATACTGCACAACTCCATACAGTGTCTACATCACGTAGCAGATATACTGCACAACCCCATACAGTGTCTACATCACGTAGCAGATATACTGCACAACCCCATACAGTGTCTACATCACGTAGCAGATATACTGCACAACTCCATACAGTGTCTACATCACGTAGCAGATATACTGCACAACTCCATACAGTGTCTACATCACGTAGCAGCTATACTGAACAACCCCATACAGTGTCTACATCACGTAGCAGATATACTGCACAACCCCATACAATGTCTACATCACGTAGCAGCTATACTGCACAACCCCATACAGTGTCTACATCATGTAGCAGCTATACTGCACAACCCCATACAGTGTCTACATCACGTAGCAGCTATACTGCACAACCCCATACAGTGTCTACATCACGTAGCAGATATACTGCACAACTCCATACAGTGTCTACATCACGTAGCAGATATACTGCACAACCCCATACAGTGTCTACATCGCGTAGCAGATATACTGCACAACCCCATACAGTGTCTACATCACGTAGCAGATATACTTCACAACTCCATACAGTGTCTACATCACGTAGCAGATATACTGCACAACCCCATACAGTGTCTACATCGCGTAGCAGATATACTGCACAACCCCATACAGTGTCTACATCACGTAGCAGATATACTGCACAACCCCATACAGTGTCTACATCACGTAGCAACTATACTGCACAACTCCATACAGTGTCTACATCATGTAGCAGATATACTGCACAACTCCATACAGTGTCTACATCACGTAGCAGCTATACTGCACAACTCTATACAGTGTCTACATCACGTAGCAGCTATACTGCACAGCCCCATTCAGTGTCTACATCACGTAGCAGCTATACTGAACAACCCCATACAGTGTCTACATCACGTAGCAGATATACTGCACAACCCCATACAGTGTCTACATCGCGTAGCAGATATACTGCACAACCCCATACAGTGTCTACATCACGTAGCAGATATACTGCACAACCCCATACAGTGTCTACATCACGTAGCAACTATACTGCACAACTCCATACAGTGTCTACATCATGTAGCAGATATACTGCACAACTCCATACAGTGTCTACATCACGTAGCAGCTATACTGCACAACTCTATACAGTGTCTACATCACGTAGCAGCTATACTGCACAGCCCCATTCAGTGTCTACATCACGTAGCAGCTATACTGAACAACCCCATACAGTGTCTACATCACGTAGCAGATATACTGCACAACCCCATACAGTGTCTACATCACGTAGCAGATATACTGCACAACCCCATACAATATCTACAAGTTCATGTGTCGCTATTCTCTCTCCACAACATCATACAGTGTCTTCTTCATTGTGTAGCAGATACACTGTCTCACTTATACTGTGTCCTTGTCACGTAGCAGCTATACTGCCTGAACCCCTCATTGTGATTGTGTGTACATACTGTATGGTTGTATCTGTTGTACCAGGGGAGACCGCTATGACCTGCTGAGGGCCTGTGTGGGGGACGATACATGTCAGAAATTGGCCAACATCAAACTATTCATGGTGAGAGACACCCTGTTGAGAAGGAACTTTCATGTCATTTGTGTAGAATAGCTTTACATGCCTTTGCAACAGCAGCCTTTCTCACCTTGTGGATTATGTCAGAATAATATCAGTGCTAACTAATTCAATCTTCAGGCAAACCCATTGGAATAATGTCGGTAGAACCATATCCAAGATATTTATTTGAAATGATGTATGACTCCAAATCCAGTAGGAATGGAAGTCATAGAAAGATAGGGAATAGGAAATCTTAATTGTTTCTTGTCTTGTGACAATGCATTACATTGCAATTTCCTTCTTCACTTCGATCATGTAACACAGAACCCAAAACATGCCTCTTCTACATGTGGGGCAGGTGCCCCTTGCCCTTGGCTACCAATCTGAGTTATCTGTCCTTGATCTGTCTCTATCCTTTTCATGTGCTTTGTGTTTGGGGATTTATATCCTTTAACATCAGTTTTAATATTCATTCTTCATGAACAAAGTAACAACCATGATTTCTGCTGTCCAGCCCAGAAGTCACCACCCTCCACGAACACCACTAATTTAAAAATCCCAGTTCAATGGTATTGTTTTGATAGCTCAATAACTACTCTTGTATACGGTCAGACATTAGATAGAAATTATCTCATGAAGTTGGACTTAAATTAACAGTCAGATAATTTGTTCTTCAAATTAGTGGGGGCAGGGGGGATTTGTCATCTTCTGATGACTCTTGTTCTAGAGGCGACTCCAGTGCCAACACCGTTATCTACACCAGTCACACTTTCTATCAAGGTATCTGATATGCCACTCAGTTCCCCTGTTGGGTCCATATTGGTGGATGAATCAGAAGAGAAAAAGGACCTTGAACTTCTTGATTGCGTGGATCATCTTATGTTGGTGACGGACGTCCTCGGGCTGGAGCCACCTAGCCTGAAGACTTTTTAAACAACCTATTACTGTGTAGTTCTTGGCCATCCTACCACCTTTTGATCTGTGATCCAACTGTTAGCCAATCAAAAGATGGTGGTGTCTCTCCTATGGCTAGCAGCATAACTATTCTTGGCCACCTAACCTTAGGGCTGCTTTGGTTATTTTTACCAGTCACTACAGGTTCATCCACACTGTGCCTGCGTAAACATAGATGTCTTTTGCAGATGCCTGCATCAACAAAGACGTCTTTTGCGGTGGTCCCTTCTCCATCCGCAGCTTCTCCTCTTGCAGTGGTTAGGTAGTGACTGCTATTGGGATACATGACGACTCTGAGGCACTGCTTCAACTAGTGATGATGTCACAAGGCTGGGGATACATTCCCAAGACATCTATACTGACATTTAAGTGTTCTTATGACTATCTCTGTGGAGGATGTACCAGTTGGGACCAATTGGATTGGCACAGTAGTTGACTGTTCCACATCATGTATCGCAGATGTACTCAATCTATGTGTCATTGGGTGAGTAAGGATTTCTCAACAAAATCATGACCGATTGTTGAGATCTGGTTGATATTACATATGGCTTCAGACTGGCACCACAATACTCATCATTGCTTCTGCATGAAAGTATTCTGAGTGTCATCACAAGCTACTAGATATTTCACTTAAGTCACATAGTGTGAAAGAAATATTCTGAGGGGTTGTTGGGCTCTTTGTTGCTATTAGCTACCACAAGAAGTTCCCATTCTCCAGGCATCACAGATTGGAAGGCATCACAGATTGAAAGGCGTCACAGATTGGAAGGCATCACAGATTGGAAGACATCACAGATTGGAAGGCATCACAGATTGGAAGACATCACAGATTGGAAGGCGTCACAGATTGGAAGGCATCACAGATTGGAAGGCATCACAGATTGGAAGGCGTCACAGATTGGAAGGCATCACAGATTGGAAGGCATCACAGATTGGAAGGCATCACAGATTGGAAGACATCACAGATTGGAAGGCGTCACAGATTGGAAGGCGTCACAGATTAGAAGACATCACAAATTGGAAGGCGTCGCAGATTGGAAGGCGTCACAGATTGGAAGGCGTCACAGATTGGAAGGCGTCACAGATTGGAAGGCGTCACAGATTGGAAGACATCGCAGATTGGAAGGCGTCGCAGATTGGAAGGCGTCGCATATTGAAAGGCGTCACACATTGGAAGGCGTCGCATTTTGGAAGGCTTGGCATATTAGAAGGCATCGCATATTGGAAGGTGTCGAGTATTGGAGGGGGTCGCAGATTCGAAGGCGTCACATATTAGAAGGCGCACAGATTCTCGACAATGAAGCATAGCTTTGCATGTTAGACTGAGGATTGCTATGGAATTACTGAAGACGTATGCTGTCCACTAAGCATAGACTAATCCAGACGTTATCAGGCGCTGGTTTCCAATAACGCTAGCTTCAGACCCCCCCCCCCCCCCCCCCCAACTGTGGGATAACATTGGAATGTTCTTGTGATGACGCAAGTCTCAGTCCAGCCCGCTCGTCTGTGCCCTGTTCGGATATCAAGCCTCTTGCTGTAGGTTGAAGAGGCATGTTTTGGGTAGCTGTGTTATATGACCAAAGTGAATAAGGAACTTGCAATGTCAGGATAATGTACGAATATCATGTAATTCATGTAATGTTCCTACACACATGAACAGTCATAACATGGCTTGATCCCTTTCCCCTAAGAGATCTTAATTAGCACTGTTACTGTGTCTTATCCAAAGACGTATATACAATATTGTAGATCTATATACATCTTTGGTCTTATCTAAAGTATGGGAGTTAAAAATCGCGTTGCAATAAGATTACTTTTTTTATATGTCCATATTTCTTAGCTAAAACATTCACACAAACTTCCAAACTTAGATTAGTGTCAAATTAAAGTTGTCTCTAAAGTTGAGTTTCTGCAACTTATTTGAAAACAAACATTAAGAACATGGACAGTTTATCTTTTAGCCTAAGCAATGATCTATCTATTGTCATGTCCTGAAATATACATTCCATGATGCAATGCTACATCAGGGATGACTAATTATATTTTCATAGTAAACCACCTGAACAAGTCAGGCAAGTGCGATCAACTGATCGTTCATTCCAGGTCGCTTTGTTGACGTTTTGCAATCGCTACTTAAAGTGTTGCCCTTGATATTTGAATATCACACTTTTAAAAATGAAGTACAGTTTAATTGTAAAGGTACCCATATCTATGTTGTAATATCACTGATTAGGCTATATGCACGCAGTTCAGAAAAGCGGCGGGGCGATGAGGTACGCGAAATGTGAAGGCCTTATGCAAAGTGAATGTTGTGAATTTTCACATCAACACAAGTATTTATCAGGTATATAACTGAGAGAGGTGAGACTTCTTTTTCAAGAAATTGTAAAAGGAACAGGCACTGAAAATTATCATCAACTGCATATAATAAAATGTTCAAAATAAAAGAAATGGAAAACACAGAAATCCATTTTGATATTTGAAAGGGTTAATTGGTGCATGGTGGTTAAAAGGATTTTATGGATGAGAAGTGGCTGTTTGTTCAACCTTGATAACATTCAATTATGATGATTAAAAAAGATAGATATTATTATTAAAGACAATATATTTATAATACTTTTCAATCTCTATAGTGATGATTGTAATAACATTGCAGTGTCTACATCCAATTTGCTTTGACATGATGAGATGATTCTTAATTTCATTAGACCTTTTTATGTTTTCTTAAACTGATGTTTAAAACTCCAACACAAATAAAGTTTTTCTTTTTTTCTATCAATAGATATCTGAATTGGACAATGTTATAAGTTTATATATCTGTATACTTGTGCATGTGTACTAGTATTAGATTACACATGCATCAGAATTTTGTAAGAAATGATCGATCAGTGAATTAACAATACCTGTGAAGACTAAGTATAAATGATTGGACACATTATGCAAGGGGCAGTATAATATGGGTAAATCTTTTACTCGAACTATGATGACAGGTGTGTATATTTGCAACTGAGTAACTGATTGTTTTTTGGATGCATGGTAGATTTTTCATTTGGTATATTTCTCAAAAATATTTTCAGAATAAAAAAAACCCCTTAAAATCAGATGTATGTGGTAATGTTGATATAAAAGTAACATTTAAAATCGTTTGTTTTATTCTGAACATTATTTATTCTTCAATTAAGGCACAGATGTATAGTAATTGTACATGTATAAATCCGTGATAAAGGCCTGTCAAAGATGTCCGTGTATCTCCAAGTTTGTTATATTGAAGTCCATGGTAGTATGAAAGTATCTGTTATCTGTTTGAATGCTGCAATAAACTTGTGGGAAATAACACAGGGGTTGATAATTAAATGAGTTTGCATTATTTCATTGATGCAATGTTACCCCAGACTGACAGAATGCCTTGCTGTTTTCTAACGTAGAAAATACAGTGGCAGTATACCGTTTTTCATGGCTGTCTTCCATCGTGTCAATTTGTGTATTTGTTGAAGACTGAACAAATGTTGATATTCTAAACTAATAATCACTGCAAAGTATGTGCTAGTTAAACATATTCAGTAGTTAATGACCATTTTTGATGATGGTGCAGTAGGGTAACATTTTAGCTTGGCTCCGTCTCTACATGTCACTAGTTGTTACAGAGCACATTGATCTGGGAACCAGACCAGCAGCAACAGGTTGGACCGTCACTTATATCATTTCAAAAGGAGAGTTATTGCCCTTTGGTACAAAAAGATCGCCCATTAGGAGTTACTTGTCCCAAGTGCATGAAAAATGTTGGTGCCGGGCCTTCAGCTAGGGACTTGCAGATAACCCATATTCTGTATATTTCTCATTGTCCTTTTAGGAAAGATGATTAAGAAAAACATATGAAATGTGAACTCCATTGAAGTCACCCTATTGTTCAGATGCCATAATGTTATTAATTTGTGAAGTATAGACAATAGATGATGTGACATTGAAGCAATATGACCAAGCAGCATTGAGAATCGCTAAGATGCACATTAACCTTTTAACACCTGATGATGATCACTCTTGTTTGAGCAATATTATGCTGAGGATATAATGTAATACCTAAAGACTGAATGGTGTCAAATATGAGATATGACACTTATTTGAAGCTGAGATACGTAGGGAGGATATATAAGCTGTGAGAAAGCAGCAGGGGACCATGCTCCCATCACATTCAGGCCAGGTTGGCAAAGGGAGATAACACATGCTAGAACACTGGGCCAGGAATGCTAACTAGGACCTATAGGTTACACACAATCAAATGTTTCCCATAGACTTACCCGGTACTTCTATGGTAACTTTATATATTTTTTTAAATAACTAAGCATTCAACAGCTATTACATGTTTATGTTCGCCCAGTCTTGCCATAAAGCAGCAATAAAAACGAAAAATTGGCTAGCTTAGCCAGTTACTTTAGGAAATACAGAAAGCTCAACACACCACCCACAGTTTCGCACCAAATGTTACTTGCTAGAAAATATCTGTGGTCACATTCAGCATAGGTCATCATGTTAAAAAAGACAGCGTTAAATATAGAAAACATGGTCAGATTTAATTTCTGGATGGATGTACATATAAAAAACATAAAAATCTTACCCGAAATCATCCAGTCACAGCTGCCAGATGATTCCATCTGCACTACAGCTCTCTACGAAAACTGCTGGTTGAACGACTGATTGTGATTAAGTGTAGTAAATGGGGGTCTTTAAACTGTCTGTTGACCAAATATTATTAATGTTACATTATACATGCATGTATGTCCCTGAATGTCTTGCCTGTCACTGTTGCCAGATTGGGTGTGGAGCTATTGGCTGTGAGATGCTCAAAAACTATGCCCTGTTGGGGATCGGTTCTGGAGATAAAGGCAAGGTAGGTCAGCACACTTTGGTAACTTTTCTCCGGTCTGGGCTTTCATCCCACAATTATATAGAGGCTCCCAATTCATGTAAAATTGTTTTGTCATTTGTTATTATTATACCTCTATTAAAATTCTTGAAATTCCATTGGTTTATCCTTCTATGTGATAAAACAATATATTTCAATGCTGAGCCCCAAATCACGTGACTGACACAGACCTCGAATATTGACTCGAACATGATCAGTATTGACCTGTCACATGATGAATATTTACTCTTTTGCTGGAAAACAAGATGGCGTCTGGTAGTAACTTTTCATGGTTTTCAGATTACTGTATTAAAACAGATTTTGGGTATAACAAAACAAGTGATTACCCTTGATGAGGTCAGTATGTAAAAACAAGGACCCTCTGACCCGACCCCTTTGGCAGTCCTCGGGTCCTTTTCTCACATATTGACCTCAAGAGCATTTATTTATATATTGCTGTTATATCCACTGGTTAATTTTTACAACTGATGGTATATTAGTAATTATGCACAATGTGGGCAATGAAGATTTCTATTATGAATAACATTAATTTGAATCTTTCTGCTACAGTTTATGGTCATGTACGATATGGAAAGAATTGTTCTTCTCATGTAAGGAAGGAGTAAAACCATATTTCTATTTCCAGATAACAATCACTGACAATGATCTGATAGAGAAGTCAAATCTCAACAGACAGTTCCTGTTCAGACCTCATCACATCAGGGTAGGTGACAGTGTTCTCTCAGGAAGTCAGGCCCAGCTGGTCCAACCGACCTCATCACACCAGGGTAGGTGACAGTGTTCTCTCAGGAAGTCAGGCCCAGCTGGTCCAACCGACCTCATGACATCAGGGTAGGTGACAGTGTTCTCTCAGGAAGTCTGGCCCTGCTGGTCCAACCGACCTCATCACACCAGGGTAGGTGGCAGTGTTCTCTCAGGAAGTCAGGCCCAGCTGGTCCAACCGACCTCATGACATCAGGGTAGGTGACAGTGTTCTATCAGGAAGTCTGGCCCTGCTGGTCCAACCGACCTCATCACACCAGGGTAGGTGGCAGTGTTCTCTCAGGAAGTCAGGCCCAGCTGGTCCAACCGACCTCATCACACCAGGGTAGGTGACAGTTTTCTCTCAGTGACATCTGGCTCTGCTGGTCCAACAGACCTCATCACATCAGGGTAGGTGACAGTGTTCTCTCAGGAAGTCTGGCCCTGCTGGTCCAACCGACCTCATGACACCAGGGTAGGTGACAGTTTTCTCTCAGTGACATCTGGCTCTGCTGGTCCAACCGACCTCATCACATCAGGGTAGGTGACAGTGTTCTCTCAGGAAGTCTGGCCCTGCTGGTCCAACAGACCTCATCACACCAGGGTAGGTGGCAGTGTTCTCTCAGTGTGGTCAGACTAGGTCCAAATATATCCTGCTCTTTTAGTTTTACTTCTTTTCTCTGATACATATGTGTGATGTGTCTGAGTGTGTTACAGTCTGTGTCTTAGTGTGTTACAGCCTGTGTCTGAGTGTGTTACAGCCTGTGTCTGTTGTGTCTGAGTGTGTTACAGCCTGTGTCTGATGTGTGTTACAGCCTGTGTTTGATGTATCTGAGTGTGTTACAGCCTGTGTCTGAGTGTGTTACAGCCTGTGTCTGATGTGTCTGAGTGTGTTACAGCCTGTGTCTGATGTGTCTGAGTGTGTTTCAGAAACCCAAGTCTACAACAGCAGCACAGTCTGTCCTGGACATTAATCCAGGTAGGTAGAAACTAGGGACATTCTTATATGGTAAAGATTTGTTTTAGGGTTTTTCACATAACCATCAGCTCAGACAGCCAACTAGAGTTGCAAATGTCCTGCACATTACATTTCAGCCGAGCAGTGAGAGACAGGAGATGTCATCCTCATCTCTGGCATGCTCATTGTGAAATACACTACTGTCGCCACTGTAGTTTGGTTTACCTAACAGCTCAAGCAGCAAGGACTTCCATGGAGGTCAAACTTTAAGATGAAAAGAAAAGAAACTAATTATACTGACTGCATATTATATCTGTAATTGTTACACTAATTTGACGTGGACAATGTTGATGGCATTGTTGTCAGTGGAATCATGGTGTCAGTGAATTAAATAATCATGTTCCTTTTTCTTCAGCGCTGAAGATAGAAGCACAGCAACAAAAAGGTACTTTGTATCAATGCTGGTGTATAGGACATTTGCGTAAACTTGAACTACCCGTGCTTGAGATTTTTATAATAGTGTTAAAGTAAACGTCAATGACCTGCATCATTTTTGCTTACCTCCCCAGCAGGGCGTTGACATGCTATGATGTAACTGAAATAATGTTCATAGTGATGTAAAACTCACTCCCATGACACAATAGTATCTTTTGTTTACTATCATGAATAGTACATGCACAGTAAATCTTAACCATCCCCCAAAACTATTTCATTTCTCAGTCCTCCCATTTAGCATCTCCAACACACCTGGCCTCATAATAAATGCCAGTTTCTGATAGACTACTTTGTGTGTCCCTAGTGTGCCCCCAGACGGAGGAGAGGCTGTACAATGATGCCTTCTTGGAGAGTCAGGACATTGTGGTGAACGCCCTGGACAACGTGGAGGCTCGGCGCTACGTGGACAGGTGGGACCTTGCACTGCCATACACGTCTCCACAGTGTGACGTAGTTACAAACGTGGACCTTGCACTGCCATACACGTCTCCACAGTGTGACGTAGTTACAAACGTGGACCTTGCACTGCCATACACGTCTCCACAGTGTGACGTAGTTACAAACGTGGACCTTGCACTGCCATACACGTCTCCACAGTGTGACGTAGTTACAAACGTGGACCTTGCACTGCCATACACGTCTCCACAGTGTCACGTAGTTACAAACGTTGACCTTGCACTGCCATACACGTCTCCACAGTGTGACGTAGTTACAAACCTGGACCTTGCACTGCCATACACGTCTCCACAGTGTCACGTAGTTACAAACGTGGACCTTGCACTGCCATACACGTCTCCACAGTGTCACGTAGTTACAAACGTTGACCTTGCACTGCCATACACGTCTCCACAGTGTGACGTAGTTACAAACGTGGACCTTGCACTGCCATACACGTCTCCACAGTGTCACGTAGTTACAAACGTGGACCTTGCACTGCCATACACGTCTCCACAGTGTCACGTAGTTACAAACGTGGACCTTGCACTGCCATACACGTCTCCACAGTGTCACGTAGTTACAAACGTGGACCTTGCACTGCCATACACGTCTCCACAGTGTGACGTAGTTACAAACGTGGACCTTGCACTGCCATACACGTCTCCACAGTGTCACGTAGTTACAAACGTGGACCTTGCACTGCCATACACGTCTCCACAGTGTCACGTAGTTACAAACGTGGACCTTGCACTGCCATACACGTCTCCACAGTGTGACGTAGTTACAAACGTGGACCTTGCACTGCCATACACGTCTCCACAGTGTCACGTAGTTACAAACGTGGACCTTGCACTGCCATACACGTCTCCACAGTGTGACGATGTAACAAACGTGGACCTTGCACTGCCATACACGTCTCCACAGTGTGACGTAGTTACAAACGTTGACCTTGCACTGCCATACACGTCTCCACAGTGTCACGTAGTTACAAACGTGGACCTTGCACTGCCATACACGTCTCCACAGTGTGACGATGTTACAAACTTGGACCTTGCACTGCCATACACGTCTCCACAGTGTCACGTAGTTACAAACGTGGACCTGGCACTGCCATACACGTCTCCACAGTGTCACGTAGTTACAAACGTGGACCTTGCACTGCCATACACGTCTCCACAGTGTCACGTAGTTACAAACGTGGACCTTGCACTGCCATACACGTCTCCACAGTGTGACGTAGTTACAAACGTGGACCTTGCACTGCCATACACGTCTCCACAGTGTGACGTAGTTACAAACGTGGACCTTGCACTGCCATACACGTCTCCACAGTGTCACGTAGTTACAAACGTGGACCTTGCACTGCCATACACGTCTCCACAGTGTCACGTAGTTACAAACGTGGACCTTGCACTGCCATACACGTCTCCACAGTGTGACGTAGTTACAAACGTGGACCTTGCACTGCCATACACGTCTCCACAGTGTCACGTAGTTACAAACGTGGACCTTGCACTGCCATACACGTCTCCACAGTGTCACGTAGTTACAAACGTGGACCTTGCACTGCCATACACGTCTCCACAGTGTGACGTAGTTACAAACGTGGACCTTGCACTGCCATACACGTCTCCACAGTGTCACGTAGTTACAAACGTGGCCTACATTTGGTACATCACAGACCATGATACATCTACAGCAGCCACAAATGTCCATATTTATCAATATAATGTCCGATAGTGTTTATGTTGCGTAAACAAACTTGATAACCATTTCTGCAAGATTGTATCCATATGTATTGAAATGGATCAAATGAATTCGCAAGGATTGAAGAATGATTATATCTTTACCTTCCTATGACAGACATTGCCATTGTACCACATGTCATGTTTTCCGTGTTCATATGACATATGTCATGGTGCCCAGATGTTGACGTTAACAAAGGCAAACCCACAACCAATTTCTGATGTTGATAATGATGGTATGGTTGTTGTTTGTCAGTCATACTTGTAAATGTAGCTTGCAAAGTTCGATTCCTCCAAGAATTCTCCTTCATTGCTTAAATTAATGTTTTAGAGGCATGCACATTCAGTGTAGTTTTCTCTTGAAAACGTTTGCAGCTATGACATATTTTCAAAAGACAGTCATCGTCTGATTTTATATTTTTAAAAACACCATTGCTTTTCATGCCTGACCTTATATGATGACCTCCTCTGTTTATATGACATCATGAAACTTTGCGTATCAGGTTCAGACAACCTTCCGTCTCAGGTATACAGACTTGGGATTCTGGGAGTGGAAGGAAATGTGTTTATGTATACCATGGAGCACAGCAGATTTGATTGGCAATGTACCGTTATACACACAATCTTTCATATTTCATTTCAGTCGTTGTGTGACAACACAGAGACCTCTCTTAGAGTCAGGTACCATGGGGACCAAGGGTCATGTACAGGTCATTGTACCTCACCTCACCGAATCCTATGGCAGTCAGGTGAGTGGTTTCACTGATATATCTAGTTTCACTACCGATTGAGAGCACAGGTCATTGTACCTCACCTCACCGAATCCTATGGCAGTCAGGTGAGTGGTTTCACTGATATATCTAGTTTCACTACCGATTGAGAGCACAGGTCATTGTACCTCACCTCACCAAATCCTATGGCAGTCAAGTGAGTGGTTTGTCTGATATCATATCTAGTTTCACTCCTGAGAGCACAGGTCATTTTACCTCACCTCACCAAATCCTATGGCAGTCAAGTGAGTGGTTTGTCTGATATCATGTCTAGTTTCACTCCTGAGAGCACAGGTCATTGTACCTCACCTCACCGAATCCTATGGCAGTCAGGTGAGTGAATTGTCGTATATAGCTGTAGTTTCACTACCGAGAACACAGGTACCTCACCTGACATGGAGCCCCACAGTCAGATGAGTGAATGTTGTATAACACCATATTCAGCAATATTCCAGCATTATCAAGGTGAGTCTGTAAATCAATTGATGCAGGGAAACCAGTGTCAGAAAGGGTGTATGACTGTGTGTAATGTTTCACTGCTGCGAGCACAAGTCATCTTTACTCACCTCTCACCTCAACAAGGCCTGCATCAGCTACCCTTTCACTGCTAGACACTTGAGTGAGTGTTAAAACTTGCCATGTAAGAAACAAGATATCTTGTAATGATGGTCATGTGATTCACTTGTACATTACAGAGGGACCCACCTGATGAGGATTACCCCTACTGTACCGTCAAGTCATTCCCTGCCACCATAGAACACTGTATACAGTGGTCCAGAGATAAGGTATCTATTGTGTTGACAGGGGGTAGTGACCAGTTACATGTATATAGTGGTCCAGAGATAAGGTATCTATATTGGCGACTGAGGGGTAGTGACCAGTTACATGTATATAGTGGTCCAGAGATAAGGTATCTATTGTGTTGACAGGGGGGTAGTGACCAGTTTCATGTATACAGTGGTCCAGAGATAAGGTATCTATTGTGTTGACGGATGGGTAGTGACCAGTTACATGTATATAGTGGTCCAGAGATAAGGTATCTATTGTGTTGACAGGGGGGTAGTGACCAGTTTCATGTATATAGTGGTCCAGAGATAAGGTATCTATTGTGTTGACAGAGGGGTAGTGACCAGCTACATGTATATAGTGGTCCAGAGATAAGGTATCTATTGTGTTGACAGGGGGGTAGTGACCAGTTACATGTATATAGTGGTCCAGAGATAAGGTATCTATATTGGCGACTGAGGGGTAGTGACCAGTTACATGTATATAGTGGTCCAGAGATAAGGTATCTATTGTGTTGACAGGGGGGTAGTGACCAGTTGCATGTATACAGTGGTCCAGAGATAAGGTATCCATTGTGTTGACAGATGGGTAGTGACCAGTTACATGTATATAGTGGTCCAGAGATAAGGTATCTATTGTGTTGACAGGGGGGTAGTGACCAGTTACATGTATACAGTGGTCCAGAGATAAGGTATCTATTGTGTTGACAGGGGGGTAGTGACCAGTTACATGTATATAGTGGTCCAGAGATAAGGTATCTATTGTGTTGACAGAGGGGTAGTGACCAGTTTCATGTATACAGTGGTCCAGAGATAAGGTATCTATTGTGTTGACAGATGGGTAGTGACCAGTTACATGTATACAGTGGTCCAGAGATAAGGTATCTATTGTGTTGACAGATGGGTAGTGACCAGTTTCATGTATACAGTGGTCAAGAGATAAGGTATCTATTATGTTGACAGAGGGGTAGTGACCAGTTACATGTATACAGTGGTCCAGAGATAAGGTATCTATTGTGTTGACAGGGGGGTAGTGACCAGTTACATGTATATAGTGGTCCAGAGATAAGGTATCTATTGTGTTGACAGAGGGGTAGTGACCAGTTACATGTATACAGTGGTCCAGAGATAAGGTATCTATTGTGTTGACGGATGGGTAGTGACCAGTTACATGTATACAGTGGTCCAGAGATAAGGTATCTATTGTGTTGACGGATGGGTAGTGACCAGTTACATGTATACAGTGGTCAAGAGATAAGGTATCTATTGTGTTGATGGATGGGTAGTGACCAGTTACATGTATATAGTGGTCCAGAGATAAGGTATCTATTGTGTTGACAGAAGGGTAGTGACCAGTTACATGTATATAGTGGTCGAGAGATAAGGTATCCATTGTGTTGACAGAAGGGTAGTGACCAGTTACATGTATACAGTGGTCCAGAGATAAGGTATCTATTGTGTTGACAGGGGGGTAGTGACCAGTTACATGTATATAGTGGTCCAGAGATAAGGTATCTATTGTGTTGACTGAGGGGAAGTGACCAGTTACGTGTATATAGTGGTCCAGAGATAAGGTATCTATAGTGGCGACTGAGGGGAAGTGACCAGTTACATGTATATAGTGGTCCAGAGATAAGGTATCTATAGTGGCGACTGAGGGGAAGTGACCAGTTTCATGTATACAGTAGTCAGAGATACTTTTTTCGTAAAACCCATAATGAACTATAACACTGGCTTCTTGTGTTGTCAACTCGCCCATCTACCTAGTCTTACACAGATACCGGTACTTCAGACTCATTAACAATAAGCAAGTGCATCACGCTGTCACGTGTCGTTCCATTATATAACCCTTATTGTTGTTGTCTTTCCTTTCAGTTTGAACAACTATTTGTACAGAAACCCAACATATTTAATAAATTTTGGTCCATGAACAAGAATGTTGAGGAAGTTGTGGAGGTGAGTCAGCCGCTACTGCAGGAATTAGACAGTATTGTGACACTCATGTAGGATGTGTATGCCTTAGTGTTTCCGCAATGCAGATTCCTTGGTTTGAATTCTGACTTCCCCCCCAAAAATATATAATTGAAAGGATTGAGCGGCCAAATCTACATATATAACTTTTGGAGGGGGGCGGGGGCGGGGTACATGCGTAATTTTTTCCGATTTCTTCTTATTTAATAGGTTCCTGGTTATGTTGGTTAGAGGCAAGGTACTTTTACCTCGTAGGAGGTTGTAGTAGGCATGAGGGATCATTCTCAGCCAGCTCAAAATCGGTCCAGTGCATCTCAAAGTCAGCGGAGTGTACCAGGCTGTCAACTAACATTTCTACAGCCTGATTGGCTATAGTCTGTTTCATGTAGTGTCTATGAGGTGACCATTTGCCAACTAAGATTAATTAGCAGGAAGATATAATATAATACAAAAGGACATTTTGAAATTATATTTTATGTCATCATAATTTTTATAACAATCAGCATCTTCACACATAATTTACAAAGTGAACACAGTTCAAGACGACAGTAAGTATCAAAATCAGAGAATTAGACTATAGGTGAACACATTTCAAGACTATAGACTGTGAGCTACTGGATAACAGTCTATAATCCCCCAGCCCTATTCTCCTAATCCCTTTGTCCGTGACCTGAATTTCAATTTTGAGCTGGATGAGAACACCCCGGCATGAGTTCACCTGACTGAAAGTAATGGTATTACATGCGGAGGCATGTAATGAATGCTGGCTTTCTGGATTTGGTTGTAAAGAGGCTGCTTCTGTTTATGCAGTACTTGCAAACACTTTGATGACCAAGCCTAATAACACCATCTTCCCGAGGCAAGGGAGTTAATTGATTATAAAAGTCCAGTTTCCACCCTTGCCAAACTAGGCTGGAATTTCAGGGCTCAGTCGTAGCACCTCAAGTGGGTATTATTAGTTATGCCCGTTTTATGGCCTTCCTATTGACCCATCAGATTCCCCCTCCCATATCACTTGCATTTGTTTCAAACAAAATGGCGGTGCCCAGTCAAGACGATCTGATCAATAATCAAAATCTATATTGTGATAAAACGGGTCTTACTTCGCAAAGTGCATCAATTCAGCTGAGCACGTTGATAAAAAAAATGAAAAGATTTGGAAAATTTCTTTTGACGCCGAGTTGGCGGTACACATGCATTGCAAATCCTGCAATAGACTGTAATCTGCACAGCAGTTTACGAACCTTTAGCTCACCTGACTGAATGTCAAGTAAGCTTATGGTATGGCCTGTTTGTCCTTCGTCAGTCATCTATCGTGAATCGGAAACATCTTTTCCACAGAAACTACTGACCCAGTGAAGCTGAAATTTCACATACTTGATCCCACCTAAGATGTCACCCCAATTGGCCATGACAGTCATATCGAAAATCCTAATGAATCTTCTTGTATATAGTGCGCACTTTTTAAAAACAAAATACAGCTTTGTAGAGGGGTGTGTGCATAATACATGCATACAGTGAGTTTTGATTATTTTTTGTCCAACACAGATAATCCTGTTATTACACTAACTGGTACTACAAGTTTCATTGTATAACATGACTTTTATATCTGTTTGTAATGTACTTTGTAATTTTTTTCTAAATTTCATTCAATATTGTCCTCATTAATTTCAGCAAAGTCGTGTGAAAACATGACTGGCAGATCTCACCAACTCACCATTATTCATTATTATATTATACATCTATATACTGCAGGTATCCAGGTACTAGTATCTGCTCAAATGCAGTTTTATTTGTTCCCTATCCAAAGGATTCGTTTGCATTCAAGTTATCATTCTCAACTCCCTTGGGAGTATACAACCCAAGCTGCCTTCCAGCGCTTGAGGGTTTTTCACATCCACCTCGCATATCGGGTACCCATTCCCTACTGGGTGAACAGAGGCACATTTGAACTAAGTCACTTGCCCAGGGTGACACCACACTTGTGTTTCAGGTGTATGTACGTATTCGTGTTTCCACCATCTGGTCATCTGCCATCGGATGACTACGTTCTTTTGAGTTCACAGGGTGAATGTACTGTACACAAGGGGTAGTGACAACACTGTAAAGACCTGTAAACATTGTTGGTCCCAAGGCTGAATAACACCCTGGTCACTTACGCGATACAATCTCAGCACCTGGCGCTTGCTAGCCTGGCACTTTTTTCACCGCTTGTTCATTACCACTCACAGCAACCATGATCTTATTACTGCTATTGATGCCTTCAAACAAACCTTAGGGGACAGAGAATGAAGAAATGCCATATTTTGACTGGTTAAAAAGTTGCATTTGTTGCAGTTTGACATATTATATGTCAACATTTGTCACCACTGAAATACGATTAGGAAGACCGCAGGAATCCTTGAACGTCAAACTGTTCCATACGTAAAGAGTATCCGGCGATATACCAAAGTGCTATGCTTATGGTTATTATTATTATTGTAAATATACTGAGTAAAAGATGAAACTAAAATAACAAAGTAGTTGAATATGTAAGTCATGGTAAAATAGTAGTTCCAGATACAATTTTCTTCTGATCATTGCATCAAAATTCTTTAAATATTAGGTCTGTTTTTTAACACAATGATGCTTTGAAACATACTGCTATACTGGTAATATACTTTGTTTGTTTTTTAACTGAATCACCTGTAGATCATGAAATTGTAAATCATCATGTCTAGTGATGTTTTATCGCAAAGATCGCATTTTCATTGACCATTGTTTTTCACCTGAAGCAATCAATACAATGTAGGATGTTTCTGTTTTTCATTGCATACCATACAAGTAGTAGCAATTGTCCTTAAAGTTGTACCCAAGAATGGTGGAAGTGCATTATGCTCAAGTGCGCACTATATACAAGAAAACACAGTATTTATTTATATCCATCAGTTTGTACAAAATGTTGTGAAATTGAGTACGTGTGTTGGCTCAACATATATGTGTTTCATTTTGTGCCACAATTTCTATTGTACCTGGCAATATGGAAAGGTGAAACTTCTTCCACAGCCCTTTCCACACTTCTTTCCACAGCCCTTTCCTCGGCCCTTTCAACAGCCCTTTCCATAGTCCTTTCCTCAGCCCTTTCCAGCTCTTTCCTCGGCCCTTTCCACAACCCTTTCCTCAGCCCTTTCCACAGCCCTTGCCTCGGCCCTTTCCAAAGTCCTTTCCTCTGCCCTTTCAACAGCCCTTTCCTCAGCCCTTTCCACAGCCCTTTCCACAGCCCTTTCCTCAGCCCTTTCCACAGCCCTTGCCACAGCCCTTGCCTCGGCCCTTTCCTCAGCCCTTTCAACAGCCCTTTCCACAGCCCTTTCCACAGCCCTTTCCATAGTCCTTTCTACAGCCCTTTCCTCAGCCCTTTCCACAGCCCTTGCCTCGGCCCTTTCCTCAGCCGTTTCCTCTGCCCTTTCCACAGCCCTTTCCAAAGTCCTTTCCTCTGCCCTTTCCTCAGCCCTTTCAACAGCCCTTTTCTCGGCCCTTTCCACAGCCCTTTCCTCGGCCCTTTCCAAAGTCCTTTCCTCTGCCCTTTCCTCAGCCCTTTCAACAGCCCTTTCCACAGCTCTTTCCTTGACCCTTTCCTCGGCCCTTTCCACATCCCTTTCCTCAGCCCTTCCCACCGCCCTTTCCACGGCCCTTTCCAGTCCTTTCCACAGCCCTTCCCACAGCCCTTTCCATGGCCCTTTCCACGGCCCTTTCCAGTCCTTTCCACAGCCCTTTCCTCAGCCCTTTCCATGGCCCTTTCCTCAGCCCTTTCCACAGCCCTTTCCTGACCTTCAGTATTGAAAAAGCTATTTATGATTATTACTCTTCCATGTTTATACAAAATGTAGTCAAATTTGGTATTTGTTTAGTTTTAGTGGAATTCCTGACATTGTTTAAATATTTGAATATCAAGACTGATAGCAACTTATGTTAAAGAGGCTGTCTGTGCTAACATTTTAGACTGTAGTCTACAGTGTCGTGGCAGTTTTAAAAAGAGTCTTTGATAGTGTTGAGTGGCATCAGTTAACTGTTGGCGTATAGCCATCAGGCCATGGACAAGTGTTACACGTCCTACTTTGCACCTGACTTGAATATCATGTAATGATGCATTCCCCTTCCTCCACAGACACTGCTGCAGGGCAACAATATAGAGAACTCCATCAATGTAGCCAAGTTGTCAGCACAGAGACCGTATACCTGGCCGCAATGTGTCATGCTAGCTAGAAACAAATTTGAAAAATACTTCAACCACAAGGTGAGTAAGTGAGTGTAGATTTGACTGGTTTTAACAGGTTCAGTTTTGTCCTTGCTGTGTCAGGGTGGCCCTGTGGTGTGGACTGTGGATGTGTACTACTTTGATGAGCCCTAGAGACGTAGGATGTTTGTAGCAAGTGCAATCCGACTCTCAATGAGTGGATAGTGGCAGCTGAGTTTGCACAGTGGGTGTCGGCACCTGACTGCGAATGTGGCACACCCATGCCCCTGAACATTGGACAATAGTGGGCAATATCACACATAGGGGCATGGACAGAGGTGAAACTCTTTTCGCAAATTTCATGATGAATTTTTGCTTTATGCTGATTTCCATGCTAGTATCAGCTGTTTAATTGTTGTGTAAAGAATATCCCAACTTTCAGATTATCACTTATGTCTATATATTTCAAAACTAACAACAGGTCATGGTCAGATTCTATACAAATAGACATTTAAAGCCATGACCCTCCACAAGTGACTGTTTATAGGCTACCTAGTGCGTGCCCAGCATCCCATGCTTCCAGTTGACTATGGAGGATCGGATGGTTACAGTGTGTGACTGTGTGGCCAGAGGTCCTGATGTCCTGATGGTATGAATCAGTATACCGGTACTCGTGTAGTCAGCCACTGAATTGAGGAGCCGTTGTGTTGTACATTTCAGGCCAAGCAGCTTCTGCATGCCTTCCCTTTAGACACCAAGCTGCAGGACGGAAGTAAGTGCACTAGCTTCATTACAGGGGCCTGGATTTCTCAGTTGATATTACCAATGGTCTCTTTATCTCTGGTGGAATGATAACACTTAACACTGATCCTATCATTAAAGTAGCTACTCCCTTATTGTGAATGCCTGGAATGTGTGGTTCAGTGACTATACATGAAGGTTCTGGTTGCAGGTCCATTCTGGCAATCCCCCAAACGACCACCATCACCTCTGGAATTCCACCCAGAAGATGAAGAGTAAGTTCCCCTATATGAGGTACAAGTTATAGAAGTACAATTTTTGGTATTTTTTGAGTGGAGTCCCATCCAGGAATCGAACCAACTCAGCCATCAAGGATTCCTCAAAATTGGAAGTCCGACAACTGGTAGTCTAGCTCACGTACATTGTGTACCCACCTAGTAAGTGTAACTTGACATGGCTCCATGGCTGAAAGCGATGGAGAGATAATGCCTTTTAGAAAGTGGACAAATATTTGAGATAACACTTTCTAAGTAAAGTACGAACATATTATATGTTCTATCTGTCCACTTTCTGAAAGGCAATGTAATTTCAGACACAAAACTGTTTGGTAACCTGTAATTGAAGGTAAATCTTGCTGAGACAGATTTGAAATGCTTATCTTTAGAAGCTGAGTTTACATTTTGAGGTCATTTTAAGACCTGAGTTGCTCTGTTGGGTGTACACTGTGTAGATGTTTGTGACTTGTGTTTACAGTCACGTGACGTACGTGTCCAGTATGGCACGCTTGCTGGCCGACATCATGGGGGTGCCATGGAGGAGAGAGGTACTGGACCATTTGTGGCAACCGTAAATCACATATCTGTGTACACAATCCTTGGGCACATATTGCTACAGTTTTTACACACTTCAATTCTATCTTTTAACATATCCATGGGTTGTGGAAATCTAAAATTGTTCCCATTCATAGAAAATACACTCAAGATCAACTAGTACAGTTAAGGGCTACTTGTACAGATTTCGATGCTATTTTCCTTTCTTGTTACAAATAGCTCTGTTTTGGACCAAATCAACTTGTACATAACTTGAGAATTATGATGTTGTGTGTGTATGATGCAAAAGACTGAGAATTATTAATATCATTAAAGATTTAGGTTTTGATGTCCCAAAAGGATTAAAGTATATGACATTGACTGATCTCGCTAACAATCGTTACTGGTTCACCATTCACCCTGATCACTATTGCAGGATTTGGAAGCTGCCAACATTCTGCCACTGATTGCCTGTGTTACAGTCCCACCATTCAGTCCATCCAACAAGGTTATAGGAGTTGTCTCCCTTCAACTGTTTTCACCCTGCTTCATAAGTTCAACTGAACAATACATACAGTCAAAATTCTTATTAAAGCAAACTCATTTAAACTTTTTTATGTGCCAATAATGTAGCTTATTTATATTTGAATGAATTCTGGAACTACCTCTAAACCATGACTAAAACAAAGTGCTCATGGCAGGGATATTTATGAGAAAAAATCCTCATTTGATCAAAATTTTAAAACAGAAGTATGCATTGGATTCACAGTGTAGTGTATGCCTTACTTTCACTGCAGTAATAGCAAACTAAGGATTAAACACTTTTCTCTTTATTGATCCAAGTGAAATACAAGTTGCTTTTACGAAGCTGAATAAAACCTGAGTTATAATTATAACAACAACCTGCCTTATGATTAAAGTAATGGCTTGTCACAATGAGGACCCTTTCTTGGAATCTCACTGTGTCACATGGTAGGAATATAGGTAAATGTGACTCACCCCACATCACCTCTTGTTTTGTTGTGTTCAGAGGATTGAGACTGATGAGAGTGCAGACAAGTCAGCCCCTGTTGACGACTCAAGTGAGGATGAGATAGTGCAGGCAGGTCAGAGGTTAAAGGGCGTATGTCGGGCTGGCAAGGTCAAAGTGGGTGAGAAATTGCTGAGTCACATCTCAGTTAAAATGTTCAATGTTTACTCGTTGTGTCAGATTTGTTTACTTTGTTTGATTTAATGATAACAGCAATTGCTGATTCATTTTGTGAGATGATGGCTTTGCTAAAGTTCAATATATAGACAACACCTGTCCTACTCATGCAGCCTGCACCATGTAATTGCATGATTTATTTTGCAGCTCTGTGCAGCATGCACCCTATAGAGTTCGAGAAGGATGATGACAGTAACAGCCACATCGACTTCATATCTACCTCAGCCGTGAGTACCTTCGGATGTTAGTTCCGTCAGGTTGTGCTTTAATCAACCGTTTAGAGAAATTGATGTGGGAAACATTTGCATCAGTCATCATTTACATTTCATTGATATTACTGAAAAGTAAATAATGCAGTGTGTAAAATATGCAGCAAAAAGGTCAAATTTCGGATTGTTTATCAAGAAAACCATAGTTATTTATGTAGGGAATGTTATTTAATGTGGCAGTCCCGTACAGTGCAGGCATAGCTCCCATAGAGATCATGTGATGAGGCCATCAGTGTTCTGTGCTTGTAATGTACCGAAGGGATTCAGACATGCCATGCAATTCATGAATATCGCTGTCGCTGGGTGACCAACTGTGATGACTTTCCTTTAAATTATTTTCCTTTAAATTATATATAGTTTTATCAGGTTTGGAAAGTAAATCACAGCTAGAGCCTTCAGTAGTCGAATACATAAGTATTTCCATATTTGTCTTGTAGAACCTCCGTGCACAGAGCTACAGTATAGAGACTGCAGACAGACTGAAGATTAAGCGTATAGCTGGGAGGATTGTGCCAGCCATTGCCACCACCACTGCCGCTGTGTCAGGTCTCGTTTCTATAGAACTACTCAAACTCATAGAGAGGCCGGGCATAGAGAAGTACAAGAACTGTTTCCTCAACCTTGCCCTCCCCGTCATACTCCTCTCCGAACCAGGACCCGTGGAAAGGACAGTCATCAGGTGACCACACAAATAGTTCATTGTATCATGGTTACACACGTCATGGCTTGACATGGGATGTATTGAGGTGTATCTGACACGGGATGTATTGATTTGTATCTGACACGGGAGGTTTTGAGGTGCAGTTTCTGACACAGGAGGTATTGAGGTGCAGTATCTGACACAGGAGGTATTGAGGTGCAGTATCTGACACAGGAGGTATTGAGGTGTATCTGACACAGGAGTTATTGAGGTGCAGTATCTGACACATGAGTTATTGAGGTGCAGTATCTGACACAGGAGGTTTTGAGGTGCAGTATCGGACACGGGAGGTATTGAGGTGCAGTATCTGACACAGGAGGTTTGAGGTGCAGTATCTGACACAGGAGTTATTGAGGTGCAGTATCTGACACAGGAGGTATTGAGGTGCAGTGTCTGACACTGGAGGTATTGAGGTGCAGTATCTGACACTGGAGGTGTTGAGGTGCAGTATCTGACACAGGAGGTATTGAGGTGCAGTATCTGACACAGGAGGTATTGAGGTGCAGTGTCTGACACAGGAGGTATTGAGGTGCAGTATCTGACACAGGAGGTATTGAGGTACAGTATCTGACACAGGAGGTATTGAGGTGTATCTGACACAGGAGTTATTGAGGTGCAGTATCTGACACATGAGTTATTGAGGTGCAGTATCTGACACAGGAGGTTTTGAGGTGCAGTATCGGACACGGGAGGTATTGAGGTGCAGTATCTGACACAGGAGGTTTGAGGTGCAGTATCTGACACAGGAGTTATTGAGGTGCAGTATCTGACACAGGAGGTATTGAGGTGCAGTGTCTGACACTGGAGGTATTGAGGTGCAGTATCTGACACTGGAGGTGTTGAGGTGCAGTATCTGACATAGGAGGTATTGAGGTGCAGTATCTGACACACGAGGTATTGAGGTGCAGTGTCTGACACAGGAGGTATTGAGGTGCAGTATCTGACACAGGGGGTATTGAGGTGCAGTATCTGACACAGGAGGTATTGAGGTGCAGTGTCTGACACAGGAGATATTGAGGTGCAGTATCTGACACACGAGGTATTGAGGTGCAGTATCTGACACACGAGGTATTGAGGTGCAGTATCTGACACAGGAGGTATTGAGGTGCAGTGTCTCACCCTAGAAGTATTGAGGTGCAGTATCTGACACAGGAGGTATTGAGATGCAGTATCTGACACTGGAGGTGTTGAGGTGTATCTGACACGGGATGTATTGATTTGTATCTGACACAGGAGGTTTTGAGGTGCAGTATCTGACCCAGGAGGTATTGAGGTGCAGTATCTGACACAGGAGGTATTGAGGTGCAGTATCTGACACAGGAGGTATTGAGGTGCAGTATCTGACACAGGAGGTATTGAGGTGTATCTGACACAGGAGTTATTGAGGTGCAGTATCTGACACATGAGTTATTGAGGTGCAGTATCTGACACAGGAGGTTTTGAGGTGCAGTATCGGACACGGGAGGTATTGAGGTGCAGTATCTGACACAGGAGGTTTGAGGTGCAGTATCTGACACAGGAGTTATTGAGGTGCAGTATCTGACACAGGAGGTATTGAGGTGCAGTGTCTGACACTGGAGGTATTGAGGTGCAGTATCTGACACTGGAGGTGTTGAGGTGCAGTATCTGACACAGGAGGTATTGAGGTGCAGTATCTGACACAGGAGGTATTGAGGTGCAGTGTCTGACACAGGAGGTATTGAGGTGCAGTATCTGACACAGGAGGTATTGAGGTACAGTATCTGACACAGGAGGTATTGAGGTGTATCTGACACAGGAGTTATTGAGGTGCAGTATCTGACACATGAGTTATTGAGGTGCAGTATCTGACACAGGAGGTTTTGAGGTGCAGTATCGGACACGGGAGGTATTGAGGTGCAGTATCTGACACAGGAGGTTTGAGGTGCAGTATCTGACACAGGAGTTATTGAGGTGCAGTATCTGACACAGGAGGTATTGAGGTGCAGTGTCTGACACTGGAGGTATTGAGGTGCAGTATCTGACACTGGAGGTGTTGAGGTGCAGTATCTGACATAGGAGGTATTGAGGTGCAGTATCTGACACACGAGGTATTGAGGTGCAGTGTCTGACACAGGAGGTATTGAGGTGCAGTATCTGACACAGGGGGTATTGAGGTGCAGTATCTGACACAGGAGGTATTGAGGTGCAGTGTCTGACACAGGAGATATTGAGGTGCAGTATCTGACACACGAGGTATTGAGGTGCAGTATCTGACACACGAGGTATTGAGGTGCAGTATCTGACACAGGAGGTATTGAGGTGCAGTGTCTCACCCTAGAAGTATTGAGGTGCAGTATCTGACACAGGAGGTATTGAGATGCAGTATCTGACACTGGAGGTGTTGAGGTGTATCTGACACGGGATGTATTGATTTGTATCTGACACAGGAGGTTTTGAGGTGCAGTATCTGACCCAGGAGGTATTGAGGTGCAGTATCTGACACAGGAGGTATTGAGGTGCAGTATCTGACACATGAGGTATTGAGGTGCAGTATCTGACACAGGAGATATTGAGGTGCAGTATCTGACACAGGAGGTATTGAGGTGCAGTATCTGACACTGGAGGTATTGAGGTGCAGTGTCTGACACAGGAGATATTGAGGTGCAGTGTCTGACACAGGAGGTATTGAGGTGCAGTATCTGACACAGGAGGTATTGAGGTGCAGTTTCTGACACAGGAGTTATTGAGGTGCAGTATCTGCCACAGGAGGTTTTGAGGTGCAGTATCTGACACAGGAAGTATTGAGGTGCAGTATCTGACACAGGAGGTATTGAGGTGCAGTATCTGACACTGGAGGTATTGAGGTGCAGTATCTGACACATGAGGTATTGAGGTGCAGTATCTGACACAGGAGGTATTAAGGTGCAGTATCTGACACATGAGATATTGAGGTGCAGTATCTGACACAGGAGGTATTGAGGTGTATCTGACACAGATGGTATTGAGGTGCAGTATCTGACACTGGAGGTGTTGAGGTGCAGTGTCTGACACAGGAGGTATTGAGATGCAGTATCTGACATAGGAGGTATTGAGGTGCAGTGTCTGACACAGGAGGTATTGAGGTGCAGTGTCTGACACAGGAGATATTGAGGTGCAGTATCTGACACAGGAGGTATTGAGGTGCAGTATCTGACACACGAGGTATTGAGGTGCAGTATCTGACACAGGAGGTATTGAGGTGCAGTGTCTCACCCTAGAAGTATTGAGGTGCAGTATCTGACACAGGAGGTATTCAGATGCAGTATCTGACACTGGAGGTGTTCAGGTGTATCTGACAGGGGATGTATTGATTTGTATCTGACACAGGAGGTTTTGAGGTGCAGTATCTGACCCAGGAGGTATTGAGGTGCAGTATCCGACACAGGAGGTATTGAGGTGCAGTATCTGACACATGAGTTATTGAGGTGCAGTATCTGACACAGGAGATATTGAGGTGCAGTATCTGACACAGGAGGTATTGAGGTGCAGTGTCTGACACAGGAGATATTGAGGTGCAGTGTCTGACACAGGAGGTATTGAGGTGCAGTATCTGACACAGGAGGTATTGAGGTGCAGTGTCTGACACAGGAGGTATTGAGGTGCAGTGTCTGACACATGAGATATTGAGGTGCAGTGTCTGACACAGGAGGTATTGAGATGTATCTGACACAGGGGGTATTGAGGTGCAGTTTCTGACCCAGGAGGTATTGAGGTGCAGTGTCTGACACAGGAGGTATTGAGATGTAGTATCTGACCCAGGAGGTATTGAGGTGCAGTATCTGACACAGGAGGTATTGAGGTGCAGTATCTGACACATGAGGTATTGAGGTGCAGTATCTGACACAGGAGATATTGAGGTGCAGTATCGGACACAGGAGGTATTGAGGTGCAGTATCTGACACAGGAGGTATTGAGGTGCAGTGTCTGACACAGGAGATATTGAGGTGCAGTGTCTGACACAGGAGGTATTGAGGTGCAGTATCTGACACAGGAGGTATTGAGATGCAGTATCTGACACTGGAGGTGTTGAGGTGTATCTGACACGGGATGTATTGATTTGTATCTGACACAGGAGGTTTTGAGGTGCAGTATCTGACCCAGGAGGTATTGAGGTGCAGTATCTGACACAGGAGGTATTGAGGTGCAGTATCTGACACATGAGGTATTGAGGTGCAGTATCTGACACAGGAGATATTGAGGTGCAGTATCTGACACAGGAGGTATTGAGGTGCAGTATCTGACACTGGAGGTATTGAGGTGCAGTGTCTGACACAGGAGATATTGAGGTGCAGTGTCTGACACAGGAGGTATTGAGGTGCAGTATCTGACACAGGAGGTATTGAGGTGCAGTTTCTGACACAGGAGTTATTGAGGTGCAGTATCTGCCACGGGAGGTTTTGAGGTGCAGTATCTGACACAGGAAGTATTGAGGTGCAGTATCTGACACAGGAGGTATTGAGGTGCAGTATCTGACACTGGAGGTATTGAGGTGCAGTATCTGACACATGAGGTATTGAGGTGCAGTATCTGACACAGGAGGTATTAAGGTGCAGTATCTGACACATGAGATATTGAGGTGCAGTATCTGACACACGAGGTATTGAGGTGCAGTATCTGACACAGGAGGTATTGAGGTGCAGTGTCTCACCCTAGAAGTATTGAGGTGCAGTATCTGACACAGGAGGTATTCAGATGCAGTATCTGACACTGGAGGTGTTCAGGTGTATCTGACAGGGGATGTATTGATTTGTATCTGACACAGGAGGTTTTGAGGTGCAGTATCTGACCCAGGAGGTATTGAGGTGCAGTATCCGACACAGGAGGTATTGAGGTGCAGTATCTGACACATGAGGTATTGAGGTGCAGTATCTGACACAGGACATATTGAGGTGCAGTATCTGACACAGGAGATATTGAGGTGCAGTATCTGACACAGGAGGTATTGAGGTGCAGTGTCTGACACAGGAGATATTGAGGTGCAGTGTCTGACACAGGAGGTATTGAGGTGCAGTATCTGACACAGGAGGTATTGAGGTGCAGTGTCTGACACAGGAGGTATTGAGGTGCAGTGTCTGACACATGAGATATTGAGGTGCAGTGTCTGACACAGGAGGTATTGAGATGTATCTGACACAGGGGGTATTGAGGTGCAGTTTCTGACACAGGAGGTATTGAGGTGCAGTGTCTGACACAGGAGGTATTGAGATGTAGTATCTGACACATGAGGTATTGAGGTGCAGTATCTGACACAGGAGATATTGAGGTGCAGTATCGGACACAGGAGGTATTGAGGTGCAGTATCTGACACAGGAGGTATTGAGGTGCAGTGTCTGACACAGGAGATATTGAGGTGCAGTGTCTGACACAGGAGGTATTGAGGTGCAGTATCTGACACAGGAGGTATTGAGGTGCAGTTTCTGACACAGGAGTTATTGAGGTGCAGTATCTGCCACAGGAGGTTTTGAGGTGCAGTATCTGACACAGGAAGTATTGAGGTGCAGTATCTGACACATGAGGTATTGAGGTGCAGTATCTGACACTGGAGGTATTGAGGTGCAGTATCTGACACAGGAGGTATTGAGGTGCAGTATCTGACACAGGAGGTATTGAGGTGCAGTATCTGACACTGAAGGTGTTGAGGTGCAGTGTCTGACACAGGAGATATTGAGGTGCAGTATCTGACATAGGAGGTCTTGAGGTGCAGTGTCTGACACAGGAGGTATTGAGATGTATCTGACACAGGAGGTATTGAGGTGCAGTATCTGACACAGGAGATATTGAGGTGCAGTATCTGACACAGGAGGTATTGAGATGCAGTATCTGACACAGTTGATATTGAGGTGCAGTATCTGACACAGGAGGTATTGAGGTGTAGTATCTGACACAGGAGATATTGAGGTGCAGTATCTGACACAGGAGATATTGAGGTGCAGTATCTGACACAGGAGTTATTGAGGTGCAGTATCTGACACAGGAGGTTTTGAGGTGCAGTATCTGACACAGGAGGTATTGAGGTGCAGTATCTGACACATGAGGTATTGAGGTGCAGTATCTGACACAGGAGATATTGAGGTGCAGTATCTGACACAGGAGGTATTGAGGTGTATCTGACACAGATGGTATTGAGGTGCAGTATCTGACACTGGAGGTGTTGAGGTGCAGTGTCTGACACAGGAGGTATTGAGATGCAGTATCTGACACAGGAGGTATTGAGGTGCAGTGTCTGACACAGGAGGTATTGAGGTGCAGTATCTGACACAGGAGGTATTGAGGTGCAGTGTCTGACACAGGAGGTATTGAGATGTATCTGACACAGGGGGTATTGAGGTGCAGTATCTGACACATGAGGTATTGAGGTGCAGTGTCTGACACAGGAGGTATTGAGATGTATCTGACACAGGAGGTATTGAGGTGCAGTATCTGACACAGGAGGTATTGAGGTGCAGTGTCTGACACAGGGGGTATTGAGATGTAGTATCTGACACAGGAGGTATTGAGGTGCAGTATCTGACACAGGAGGTATTGAGGTGCAGTATCTGACACAGGAGGTATTGAGGTGCAGTGTCTGACACAGGAGGTATTGAGATGTATCTGACACAGGAGGTATTGAGGTGCAGTATCTGACACAGGAGGTATTGAGGTGCAGTATCTGACACAGGAGGTATTGAGGTGCAGTGTCTGACACTGGAGGTGGTGCTATGGAAATATTCCTGTTTATATGCAACATGTGCCAGTGTCCTGTTGGATGTGTACATGACACTTGTGGTATTTCAGGGAGGGTGTGTCCTTCACCATGTGGGACAAGTGGGAGGTCTGGGGCAACAAGGACTTCACGCTTCAGCAGTTCCTTCACTACTTCAAGGTGAGTGAGAGAGTGAGTTGGGTTTAACGCCGCTTTCAGTTATAGTGTTCCAGTTATATCGCAGCGTGTCAGCTTAATGTGGGAGTAAAGCCCAAAGTGATGTCAGGTCAGGTCAGACATTTACCACTTTGGTGAAACGCACGAGCATGGGTATGGTGCTGACTGGTATGGTAGTTAAGTTGATGTAAAATAGCTGCCGAGGTGTGTCCTGTGGCTGGATCAGGATAAGTTGATTGTGGGTTCGAATCCCAGATTCTGGTCTGTCAGCCATAATAATTATGCATTAGTGATAAACATCCTTGACCTGTACTATCACATTGGGCTTTCCAACCTTGCTGGGGGGACACGTTGTGTACCCTGATACACAGCAGGGTACTGATAAAAGTAGTGTTAAACCAAACTCACTCACTTTTCTGCTGTCATTACTTTGCTTTAGTATACTTACCAAGGAAAGCACTAAGATCAGAGCTACACTTACTAAAGATACAAGCCTGCTATTATGTGCTTACTGAATAATGTGTGGCTCTAGGCTGCAGTAATCCTGTGTATGGAGCCTGGAGGCTACAGTGATCCTGTGTATGGAGCCTGGAGGCTACAGTGATCCTGTGCATGGATCCTGGAGGCTGCAGTGATCCTGTGCATGGATCCTGGAGGCTGCAGTGATCCTGTGCATGGATCCTGGAGGCTGCAGTGATCCTGTGCATGGATCCTGGCGTCTGCAGTGATCCTGTGCATGGATCCTGGAGGCTGCAGTGATCCTGTGCATGGATCCTAGAGGCTGCAGTGATCCTGTGCATGGAGGAGCTGCGGAGGATGGAGAGACTGGGGACAGAAACACTGTTCTTGATGTCAGACATATCCTGTCCGGGTGCTTGTCAATATTTACAACACAGAATGACCATACAACCAGAAATGTTTTCTTTCGTTCCAGGAGACATATGGTTTTGAGGGTTCCTCTGTGGTTCACGGGGTGAAGATGGTCTACATGCCCATCATGCCTGCCCACAGCAAGCGCCTCAACATGACGTGAGTACCAGCAGCAGTCTTGTTGTCAGTACCGTGTCAGCAGCAGGGCTAATCTTTTTTTTTTTAGTTTAAAACCAACAACCAAAACCCCTGTCCTGTTTTAAACAATGGTGCTTGCTGTTACCCTGTCTGGTGCTCAGCATTCAGGGGATAAAGCGGACTGGCCGGCTCAGAGTCAGTATAATGTGCTTGAGTGTGTTGTATCCATGTTAAAATACAGCATGGTTAGTCAGTGGCCATGGGCTGGCATTATAAAACCAGCATCACTGCGACAAGCAGCGACAAACAACCGTGCATGCACATCACTATGTAAGTGAAATAATCTTAAACCTGACATTAATCCCAACATTAAACCCCATTTCACCTCACCTCACCTCACCTCACCTTGCCTCACCTCACCTCACCTCACCTCACCTTGCCTTGCCTCACCTCACCTCGCCTACAAAACACAAGAATTGGAAAGATGGACATCTGCTATGATAACACTGGAGAACAAGAACACCTTGCGGATCTGACAAGCATTCATGTTTTGGGGAGATGAGTCACTTGGAAATGTAACTACAGCAGATATTTGCATATTTAAGGTGGGTGTTGATAAGGAATATACCAGACATTTCTTCATTACAGCATGGTGAAACTGCTGAAGCCATCGGCCACCCAGAAGTATGTTGACCTAGTCGTGTCCTTCGATGATGATAATGATGAAGATGTCCCTGGACCACCTGTCAGATACTACTTTGGATTGTGATCCTGGCACAGCCTCAGTAGGCTTGTTGACAGGCTCCTTAAAAATTGTGACCATACGTGACCAGCGTGGGATTACTGTGACCGGTGTGTGACCAGTAGGGGTGTCAGCATATGTCTACTGCATGATACGCTACATATCGCTATACAGTACTTGCGTTATTATTCAATACATATTGTGAAATATATTTTGGGCTGTTTTGGCATGAATTCTTCATGTGTCCCAACTGACAAGAGATTGTTGCTATGAACTATTTTGCATTTAACTCACAATATTTATTTTGGCTCCTTGTGTTTCATGACAGACAGTAAAGTTGACCTAAGTAACTGTCAGGCTTGGTGGGCAGTTGCAACCTCGTACATATTACTTTTTCAAAATTGATACAGAATTAAACTTTGAATGGATACACAGGTAGGTGTATAATGTATTGCATCATCAAGGGAAGTTTGTGATGCATAGATACATCAGTGACTGATGACACCCCTAGTGACAAGTGAACACAGCGTCTGACTGACCAGTGTGTGCATGGGTGTAACTCCCAAGTGTTGGGGGATTCTGGGTACAGAGAGCAGGAGCTAGATGGTGACTGCTACACTCACAGGGCCTATTACATGAAACAAATGGATAGAAACCTTGAAAAGAAACATTGAGATTGTTAATATTTCTGTCAACATTATTTTCAATTTCATCTATGGTTAACAAAATGCAAATCAGGATTTCAAATCCCAATTTATTTTAGATTTTCATCCTTGGTTAGACAGCACCAAACTCCATGCTCATTGGTTTCACTGAAGTGGTAACATCACTTTGAACTTTCCAGATTTTGAATGTAATCAAAACAACATTCACACCCTGACTCACTCATTCACTAATTTGAACAATCTGCTACCCCAATCTTGGTGGGCGAGCATTTGGACTTTCACCCTGCACAGGATCTCATCAGTCAAGTCGTCTGTATCATCTAAACATGATAATAATGATTATTTGATTCTGTGATATTTGTCTTAAAGAAGATGGATGTTTTGTGAGTGATGTATGTTATTGTTACAGAGTTTTTGTTGTTTTATTGACCTGTTGACACCGAGAGGATCATGCAAACAAAGTCTCACGATGACCTGCTTTTGATTATCAGGAAATAAACATAATAAAAAATATAATATAGCTTAAAAACATTCTCAATGGACATTTCCAGAAAATGCCCTTAATTGGAGTGGATGAATGTTCCACAATGTGTAGGTTGAAGGTTTTTGTGTGCTATATTTGATCTATTGTTGTTATCCACCAAACCTGGACTGAATGTGACAACAGCCTCATTGTCCATATAGCCCATCTTCCCAGGGCAAGGGTGTTTACCGACTGTAAGAGTCCCGTCTCCACCATTGCCGAACTGGGCTGGTATTATGGAGTTATATTTTGGCTGTACTAATGAGTCTATGCATAGTCCAATCAAAATCGCGTATTGAAAATTGACATCTGTTTCGTTAATTGCTGTGCAGATTTCAGTCGATAACAGGATCTACAAAACATGTACCGCCAACTAGGCATCAACTGATATTTTCCAAATCTTTTCATGTTTTTAATCTAGATGCTCACATGATTTGATGCACTTTGTGAAGTAAGACCCGTTTAGATTTTGATTATCGATCAGATCGCCTTGAATGGGCACTGCCATTTTGTTTGAAGCAAATGCAAGTGATATGAGAGGTGGAATATGATCAGTCAATACGAGGGACATAGAAGGGACATGTAATAGCCACTGGTGGCACTATGATCGAGCCCAGAACCTAAAGCCTAGTTCGACAAGGCTGGAAACTGGACTTTTACAGAGAGTTAACTCCCTTGCCTCAGGAAGATGTAGGCATATAGCATGTCATATAGAATGTAAATTTTAGAATTATATCATAATTTAAGTCAGTTGTACAGAACTTTTTGTGTGGATCCAGATTTATATTGTAATTCTTCCAGGTAACAAGATTAAACAGACAGATCACATAAACAACTGCACTCAAGTCATATGACAGTTTAGATACACCTCTCAAACCCAGCTATCTGGAATTTTATACTTCTTTCCTAGTCACAAAAAGTCGACAGTTTGCCATGTCCCCTGTATCTCGAGATATCGGAGTCTACTGCAGTTTCAACTTGTGTTTTGTGTGCAAGCCATATTTGTTGATTTCATATTTTTCAATAAATGTCATGAATATATATATACATGTTTTATTCATCACACTCACAAGTACTTTTAAAATATTCCATTTCAAAATAGTAAGCTTGTCTAAATCATGTTTGTGGAATTGCCAAGGTTTATTGTGGTGCAAGTGACGGTACTATTTTCTATGAGTATACTTGATGTGTTTAAATGCAGGCATGTTACATCTGAGATTAGGACAGTGGATGTCATATTGATATCATATTGATAGGATGTATTTCTCTTTGTGATATGATATATTCTTTAATAAATATCTTATTAAGCTCTGCTCTAACGTCAACCTGGAACCTTCTCTGCAGTATCAGCACCAGTTCGTACAGCTTGTGATGCTGGCCTATCAGTCACACGCCACCTTCAAGACTCTGTTATCACTGTCATATAGTCTGTGAGTGCCCCATATAGCCATTGCTATTTTTAGGTCCTTCATGAGTCACAAAGATTAATATTTATGCTCAGATTGAAATTTGAAATAAACCACTTTTGCTACTTAGACAAACAGTCGGACATTTGTTAGTCTAAGGAAACTATAACGGCAGAGCGGATGCGTGCACTGGTGATGAAAGCTACAACCTCATTGGTCAGATCAAGTGTGAATAGTTGAGTGTTTTGTTCGGTAAAACTACCAGTGTTGATATTCTGCTTCCCATGAGGTGAAACAAGTTAAGAATATCTGGGACATAGCATGAAGAGGTTCTGTTACAAATACAGCCATCACCACAGTGTCCACTGTGCTGACCACAATGTGATGTCTGTCCATACATCAAAATGTGGAATGTTTTGGCATTTCTTATGGTGTCAGTATTTATATATACTGCAGTATGGACAAGAGAATTGACAAACAAGGTAAGCCTGAGTATTGACTGTAAAACTGTGGAGATAATACATTAAAGAGTCTTCTGAATAATTATGCATGAACCACAAGGCTTAGCCCTTTGATCCATGTATTTTGGAAACATGCTAGATCTGTGGAAGAAAGTCAAGGGGCACAGGTGGTCATATAGTGCAGTGCAATGGGCATATGCGCTGATCCTGGGTTTGTCAGCACCATAACCATGCTCAATCTGTGATATTACTGATAGTCAGTTCAAAGCAGTACCTCCATCTCACTCTAAGAAAATTACTTTTTCCTGGTCAGTGTTGTGTGTTAGGGATGAGTTCATGAAATTGTATCTAATATGTTTAGTCAATACTTTTTATCTAAACCAAATTTCTGGCCAAAAAAATAATGCCTTCAGTACAAGTTTCTGATTATCTTATTGTTATATATTCAATCAGTGATAGACTGTGTAAGCTGGTACTACCGGTATCTTGAATTCTTTCTGTCCTTTTCTGTCAGAATCTGCTTTTGCAGACTTTAAGGATGGATGCCTCCTTGTATGGTTTTGTACTGCAATGATTGTTGTAAAAAAATATATATCTAAACTGATTGCTCTCTTGTGGTATTTGGCCCTGCACCCTACAGCCTGAACAACACACTACAGCCTGAACAACACACAACAGCCTGAACAACACACAACAGCCTGAACAACACAGAACAGCCTGAACAACAGACAACAGCCTGGACAACACAACTGCCTGAACTACAGACCACAGGTCAAACAACAAAATACAGCCTGAACAACAGACCACAGGTTGAACAACACACCACAGCCTGAACAACACACAACAGCCTGAACAACAGACCACAGGTTGAACAACACACAGCAGCCTGAACTACAGACCACAGGTCAAACAACACAATACAGCCTGAACAACACTCTACAGCCTGAACTACAGACCACAGGTTGAACATCACAATTAAGCCTGAACAACACTCTACAGCCTGAACTACAGACCACAGGTTGAACAACACACTACAGCCTGAACTACAGACCACAGGTTGAACAACACTCTACAGCCTGAACTACAGACCACAGGTTGAACAACACACAACACCCTGAATTACAGACCACAGGTTGAACAACACACTACAGCCTGAACAACACACAACAGCCTGAACAACAGACCACAGGTTGAACAACACACAACAGCCTGAACAACACACAACAGCCTGAACAACAGACCACAGGTTGAACTACAGACCACAGGTTGAACAACACACTACAGCCTGAACTACAGACCACAGGTTGAACAACACACTACAGCCTGAACTACAGACCACAGGTTGAACAACACACAACAGCCTGAACTACATACCGCAGGTTGAACAACACACTACAGCCTGAACAACACACAACAGCCTGAACTACAGACCACAGGTTGAACAACACACAACAGCCTGTACAACACACAACAGCCTGAACAACAGACCTAGGGTTGAATTACACACTACAGCCTGAACTACAGACCACAGGTTGAACAACACACAACAGCCTGAACAACACACTACACCCTGAACTACAGACCTAGGGTTGAACTACACACTACAGCCTGAACTACAGACCACAGGTTGAACAGCACACAACAGCCTGTACTACAGACCTAGGGTCGAACAACACTCTACAGCCTGAACTACAGACCACAGGTTGAACAACACTCTACAGCCTGAACTACAGACCATAGGTTGAACAACACACTACAGCCTGAACTACAGACCACAGGTTGAACAACACACTACAGCCTGAACTACAGACGGCAGGTTGAACAACACACTACAGCCTGAACTACAGACCACAGGTTGAACAACACACAACAGCCTGAACAACTCACAACAGCCTGAACTACAGACCACAGGTTGAACAACACACAACAGCCTGAACAACACACAACAGCCTGAACTACAGACCACAGGTTGAACAACACACAACAGCCTGAACAACAGACCTAGGGTTGAACAACACACTACAGCCTGAACAATATACCGCAGGTTGAACAACACACAACAGCCTGAACTACAGAACACAGGTTGAACAACACACAACAGCCTGGATAACACACAACAGCCTGAACAACAGACCAAATTTTGAACAACACACTACAGCCTGAACTACAGACCACAGGTTGAACAACACACTACAGCCTGAACTACAGACCACAGGTTGAACAACACATAACAGCCTGAACTAAAGACCACAGGTTGAACAACATACTACAGCCTGAACTACAGACCACAGATTTAACTACACACAACAGCCTGAACTACAGACCTAGGGTTGAACAACACACTACAGCCTGAACAACACACAACAGCCTGAACTACAGACCACAGGTTGAACAACACACAACAGCCTGAACAACACACAACAGCCTGAACAACACACAGCAGCCTGAACAGACCTAGGGTTGAATTACACACTACAGCCTGAACTACAGACCACAGGTTGAACAACACACAACAGCCTGAACAACACACTACACCCTGAACAACAGACCTAGGGTTGAACTACACACTACAGCCTGAACTACAGACCACAGGTTGAACAACACACAACAGCCTGTACTACAGACCTAGGCTCGAACAACACTCTACAGCCTGAACTACAGACCACAGGTTGGACAACATACTACAGCCTGAACTACAGACCACAGATTTAACTACACACAACAGCCTGAACTACAGACCACAGGTTGAAAAACACACAACAGCCTGAACTACAGACGGCAGGTTGAACAACACACTACAGCCTGAACTACAGACCACAGGTTGAACAACACACAACAGCCTGAACAACTCACAACAGCCTGAACAACAGACCACAGGTTGAACAACACACAACAGCCTGAACAACACACAACAGCCTGAACAACAGACCTAGGGTTGAACAACACACTACAGCCTGAACAATAGACCGCAGGTTGAACAACACACAACAGCCTGGATAACACACAACAGCCTGAACAACAGACCACATTTTGAACAACACACTACAGCCTGAACTACAGACCACAGGTTGAACAACACACTACAGCCTGAACTACAGACCACAGGTTGAACAACACACAACAGCCTGAACTACAGACCGCAGGTTGAACAACACACTACAGCCTGGATAACACACAACAGCCTGAACAACAGACCACAGGTTGAACAACACACTACAGCCTGAACTACAGACCACAGGTTGAACTACAGACCACAGGTTGAACAACACACTACAGCCTGAACTACAGACCGCAGGTTGAACAACACACTACAGCCTGAATAACACACAACAGCCTGAACTACAGACCACAGGTTGAACAACATACAACAGCCTGAACTACAGACCTAGGGTTGAACAACACTCTACAGCCTGAACAACACTCTACAGCCTGAACTACAGACCACAGGTTGAACAACACACTACAGCCTGAACTACAGACCACAGGTTGAACAACACACTACAGCCTGAACTACAGACGGCAGGTTGAACAACACACTACAGCCTGAACTACAGACCACAGGTTGAACAACAGACAACAGCCTGAACAACTCACAACAGCCTGAACTACAGACCACAGGTTGAACAACACACAACCGCCTGAACAACACACAACAGCCTGAACAACAGACCACAGGTTGAACAACACACCACAGCCTGAACTACAGACCACAGGTTGAACAACACACAACAGCCTGAACTACAGACCACAGGTTGAACAACACACAACAGCCTGAACAACACACAACAGCCTGAACAACACACAATAGCCTGAACAACAGACCACAGGTTGAACAACACACTACAGCCTGAACTACAGACCACAGGTTGAACAACACACTACAGCCTGAACTACAGACCACAGGTTGAACAACACTCTACAGCCTGAACTACAGACCACAGGTTGAACAACACACAACAGCCTGAACTACAGACCACAGGTTGAACAACACAAAACAGCCTGTACTACAGACCACAGGTTGAACTGCACACTGAAGCCTGAACTACAGACCACAGGTTGAACAACACACAACAGCCTGAACTACAGACCACAGGTTGAACAACACACTACAGCCTGTTCTACAGACCACAGGTTGAACAACACACTACAGCCTGAACTACGGACCACAGGTTGAACAACACACTACAGCCTGAACTACAGACCACAGGTTGAACAACACACAACAGCCTGAACTACAGACCACAGGTTGAACTACACACTACAGCCTGAACTACAGACCACAGGTTTAACTAGACACTACAGCCTGAACAACAGACCACAGATTGAACAACACACAACAGCCTGAATAACAGACCGCAGCCTGAACAACACACAACAGCCTGAACTACAGACCACAGGTTGAACAACACAAAACAGCCTGTACTACAGACCACAGGTTGAACTGCACACTGAAGCCTGAACTACAGACCACAGGTTGAACAACACACAACAGCCTGAACTACAGACCACAGGTTGAACAACACACTACAGCCTGTTCTACAGACCACAGGTTGAACAACACACTACAGCCTGAACTACGGACCACAGGTTGAACAACACACTACAGCCTGAACTACAGACGGCAGGTTGAACAACACACTACAGCCTGAACTACAGACCACAGGTTGAACAACACACAACAGCCTGAACAACTCACAACAGCCTGAACTACAGACCACAGGTTGAACAACACACAACAGCCTGAACAACACACAACAGCCTGAACTACAGACCACAGGTTGAACAACACACAACAGCCTGAACAACATACCTAGGGTTGAACAACACACTACAGCCTGAACAATATACCGCAGGTTGAACAACACACAACAGCCTGAACTACAGAACACAGGTTGAACAACACACAACAGCCTGGATAACACACAACAGCCTGAACAACAGACCAAATTTTGAACAACACACTACAGCCTGAACTACAGACCACAGGTTGAACAACACACTACAGCCTGAACTACAGACCACAGGTTGAACAACACATAACAGCCTGAACTAAAGACCACAGGTTGAACAACATACTACAGCCTGAACTACAGACCACAGATTTAACTACACACAACAGCCTGAACTACAGACCTAGGGTTGAACAACACACTACAGCCTGAACAACACACAACAGCCTGAACTACAGACCACAGGTTGAACAACACACAACAGCCTGAACAACACACAACAGCCTGAACAACACACAGCAGCCTGAACAGACCTAGGGTTGAATTACACACTACAGCCTGAACTACAGACCACAGGTTGAACAACACACAACAGCCTGAACAACACACTACACCCTGAACAACAGACCTAGGGTTGAACTACACACTACAGCCTGAACTACAGACCACAGGTTGAACAACACACAACAGCCTGTACTACAGACCTAGGCTCGAACAACACTCTACAGCCTGAACTACAGACCACAGGTTGGACAACATACTACAGCCTGAACTACAGACCACAGATTTAACTACACACAACAGCCTGAACTACAGACCACAGGTTGAAAAACACACAACAGCCTGAACTACAGACGGCAGGTTGAACAACACACTACAGCCTGAACTACAGACCACAGGTTGAACAACACACAACAGCCTGAACTACAGACCACAGGTTGAACTACACACTACAGCCTGAACTACAGACCACAGGTTTAACTAGACACTACAGCCTGAACAACAGACCACAGATTGAACAACACACAACAGCCTGAATAACAGACCGCAGCCTGAACAACACACAACAGCCTGAACTACGGACCACAGGTTGAACAACATACTACAGCGTGAACTACAGACCACAGGTTGAACAACACACAACAGCCTGAACTACAGACCACAGGTTGAACAACACACTACAGCCTGTACTACAGACCACAGGTTGAACAACACTCTACAGCCTGAACTACAGACCACAGGTTGAACAACACACAACAGCCTGAACAACACACAACAGCCTGGATAACACACAACAGCCTGAACAACAGACCACATTTTGAACAACACACAACAGCCTGAACTACAGACCACAGGTTGAACAACACACTGCAGCCTGAACTACAGACCGCAGGTTGAACAACACACAACAGCCTGAACTACAGACCTAGGGTCGAACACACAACAGCCTGAACTACAGACCACAGGTTGAACAACACTCTACAGCTAAAAGAAACACAGCACCAGCTGCAGTGATTAAATGGCTTCAGCAGCCCAGACTGAAACAGCATAACATCAAAATGGCAGCAATTTATTGCAATTTTATGCTTTCACAGTTGTTTGTTTAGTGTAACTTATTCTGATTTTTGCTACCACGTTGCCTGTACATTGATAATGGTGCTGTGTATGCATGGTTACAGATGTCAGATCGTGGACCTGGTTTTAGGAGGGCCTACTAGAACTGTAATGTTAAGACATGAGTAAAATGTAAAAATCACGACAGTTATGAGGCCCAAGTATTCAAAAGGCTAAAGACCAATTATAATAATTGCTCTTTTCAACATATGTATGTTTGGACTTCATCAGTATTCAAACTTTGGAGATACTTGTGAAGGTTTTCAGGAAGCATTTTCCTTATACATGAACAAGACTCAAGTCTTTGATACAAGCCTATTTGCATTGTGAATTTGCTCATTGTTAGATTTTATTTCCAAGTTCCCAAATAATTTTTTCATCCTGAATTTTGCTTTTCTTCTTACCTGATCAAGTCAAAGTGATGGAAAGGAAAAAAGCCTCTTCATCAGTCAAAGGAACATCACATAACATGCATAACAGTTTAAAACCTTTCCCGAACTCTGAAATTTAAGGTAGGCCAAAAAGGGCCAAATCATGCAGACATGTCCTTTCATGCAAATTTGACATTCAGTGTTTCTTCACAGGTTCTGGCGCTAGTTTTATTGTAGTCAAAGATCCAAATCTTGTAGTAACACAATTCGGTGAGTGTGCCGTACCTACCTGCTAAGTGCGTGTCAAATATGTGCCAATCTTAACAGCCGTAAAGGTAAATTAAAAGCCAAACCAGTATTGGTACATGGAATGCCCAGTGCCACTTCACAAGCATGCCACAGCAGGTCTCCAAGTAACCTACTATGATGTTTTGGAATATGTGGAATGTCTTCAAACAAATGAACAAGAGTTTGCCATTTTCATATTGTATTTATTGCAGTGTTTCCACATATGCTTCCATAAGATTAAAACAAATATGAGACAAAATTCTGTATTTACAAGGGTACACCTAGTACCCAGTCTATGTACACCAGAACAAGTTTATATACATCAACTCTTCATCTGCCGGAAACAGGTCATGTTTCAATCTCACTGTTAAAAGCCCTTCTGTAGACGATAGCTTTGTATGTGTGGTTAGTCTGGTGGGTCTTCCTTCAAACAAACAACACTGTTTAAAGTAATTATGAGTGACTGAGTTTTTACACCATTTGTAGCAATATCACGGCGGGGAACGCCACAAATGGTCTTCACACACTGTACCCATGTAGTGTACCCAGTTACTCGATGTGATGAGTGAACGCTTATACCACACTGCTACCTTGTGTATAGGACCCGTTACCTATCAGTTGTGTGTATCGGCATGTTACACAGCCAGCTACAGTCAAGAGTAAAACAGGACGTAACAACACTAACTACACATGTTTACACAACGAAACCAAGTCAACTGAATGAAGGTAGACAGGCCACTGATATATTTACAAGGGCAAATCCAGCATTCTTAAAAGGGAGGGGTCCAAAATATCAAAGTTCACTCTCAGATAATGTTAGTGCCTGTAACATACCCGACCCCTTTTGGATCTACCTATGATTTACTTTATTCATCGTGTTGCGGTGCATATTACAGAAGATATTTGTTTGCATTGTCCCAGAGACCATAAAATAGTTATGTTATGATCTCTGATTGTACAGGGTATACTCAGTTAAAGGTAATACACACACTACATGAAGGTATTGTAAGCCTTTATATGTAGGTTACATGGAGCAAATTCTCTCGATGGGCTGAAATACACGCCTTCAGGCACTCGCTGGGTGGTGGTGATGGCATCATGAAAAGGCTTTCCTCAAACCTGCTTTACAGATATCTTTTTCCAAAACTTCGGGTAGTTGAATGGAGAAACTAATTCTTTTAAAAAACATTTCATCACAACCAGTTGCTACCTGATCCTCAGTTTAGTCTGCTCTGATGACAAGCTGGTGCTTGTGAACAATTATCACTTTTTACACTTTTACATCTTGAAAACACAAAGCACACTCTAATGCATAGTTGATTACAAAAGTTCTTCTTTTTTAACCATTTTTTCACCTAAATGTTGGTTTTAAGGGATTTCAACATAATTGCGCTCAACTCATCATTTTGTATGTTTAACCACAATGTCACAGGTGTGAAAATACCATGACACAATATGTACGATCACTTTGAGGGACTCTTGCTGAACCATTCAACTGTCAATGATGCAATGTCCTATTTTGGCCAGCCCTTTGAGGACTTCCTGTTTTTTCATCAGTGCATCACACTCCCAGTTCAAGGAGGACCTCTTCTTAACAGACCTCAGGACCACCTGTGCTGGCATCACACATTGTTTTCTTAGGTCTGCCTTTTGTCACTGGGGAAACTCAAGATATAATCACAGACCTTTTTCAGATGGAGGTTATACGAGATAATATGCTATAGCTTGCATACATTGTACTTGTGTTCCAGCAGAAGTGTCTAGAACTATATACGGGTTTGCAATATAGTCAGATAAAATAGGTTTCTGCAAGGAGATCATTGATGAGATGATCTGCATCCATCCATTTGTATTGAGGCTGTGTACCAGGTGTTTGAGTACACTGAATGGGGCAACTGTCCGTGCAGACTACAAGCACCCCGCCGCTGTGCCTTGAGAAGGTCCAACCATCAGTTACAACTAATCTAGAGGTTCATAGAGGACCTCATCATACTCCTCCTCCTCGGGGGCTTGTGACACAGCTGGTGCGGGTACACCTGACATCCTCTTCACTGGACTAGTTGGTAATTTTACTCCATCAGAGAACAGCTGTTCAAGACGTGCCTTGATTCCTTCCTTGTCAGTAGCCCCTATTGTAGTACAAGAACATATATACAGTATAGTACACAAGGACACAATTTTTTCAACTCGTGTGATGAGCTGCTGCATGTTGAAGGACTCTGTAGGAGAAAATGCCAGTGAAATGTATTGTTATTGTCAATGAATTTTGTTTAAATCTGCAGTTAGTAATATTCCGCCTTTCTGTAGGGGTAAGATGACCTACAGTCAGCCAGGCCACACATTGTGACCATCTAATCCTCATTTGTCAGCTCTTATGATGGGGTCCTCGGAACCTACTCTGTGACAGATTTGTTTGTAGATTGTTTAACATTGCTGTCAGTAATATTCCAGCTAGATGATAGACTCAGGGACAGGTAAACCAGTGGTTGCAATAATGAGCAACTACGTACAAAGCTGTTGGGGTCGGTGACACGCAATCAACAAATTCACCGAGCCTACACCAAGTTCTACACATGAAATTCTAAGAACCATTGTTCGTGATTATTATACCCCACCACTAAATGGAGTTTGTCTGTCCGTTTGTCCGTCTGCTTCTCAAAGGGGACAAATTTTCTCAAAAACTATTTAGTCAGAGAAATGAAATCTTACACACTGATGTTACTGTTCATGATCTCAAATGAGTTCGAAAATATATGTTGTAAATTCATTTTTTTACAGAGTTATGGCCCTTGTTCCATGCTTTTCAACTTACTGCATTTGAACCTAAAAGTCTTATTTGCTGCCTACAAAATTAAAACTGAAAAGAAATCCTGAATTGCAAAAGGCACCAGTTCAACACATGCCTGATGTGTCTACAAAGTCTACAAAGTCTACAATGTCTACAATGTCTACAAAGTCTACAATGTCTACAAAGTCTACAATGTCTACAAAGTCTACAAAGTCTACAATGTCTACAAAGTCTACAAAGTCTACAATGTCTACAAAGTCTACAAAGTCTACAAAGTCTACAAAGTCTACAATGTCTACAAAGTCTACAATGTCTACAAAGAAATATTAAACCACTTATGAGTTATGTTTCGGGAATGAAACTTGACGGAAGAACAGCATGAACCAATTTCTATATCCCTCTAAAAACTTCATTTTGATGGGGAATAACAATATATATACATGCACAAAAGGTAAATAAGGTGTGTAATAGATGGCTGCCGTTTTGTTAATAGGTTCTGAATGCTGTGAGCACTATAGACACCATTACTGGGAATATCCATGCAAAATGTCAGCTTAACAGGCTTTGTGGTATCCTAAAACTATGTGGAAAGTACACACCACAGTTACAGAAACATAATGTCACTGGTTTACTTGGTTTGGCCAGTACCACGTTGCTATGGAACTTGACATTGATACATTTGAATCGTGTTGCAGCAAGGATCAAATCTTAACGAATGATTTTGTACCTCTAACTCAACCATACCAGCCAACACAGGATGGAGCTTCACAGTCTAACCTGGAATGTCCACAAGCTCTGCAGCAGGAGATTACTTGTATAGAGGCCTGTACTCACCAGATTCATTGACACCGCCATCAGAGGGTGTGTCAGCAAATGATACACTCTTTCCATCTGAAAGTTGGAGAGCAACAGCATCATCATAGTATTCGTCATCCACAGTGCTGTCTGACTCCGAGTAGGAGCGCTGACTAGGTGCGTTGGCCTGTATAGGCTGGTACTGCTGGTCTTGTGCTGTACTAGTGCTGTAACTACGCTGAGGTACTTGTTGGCGGTGAGACAGGCGCGATTTGTTAGGGTTAACCAATGCTCCATGAGATGTTAGTGGTGCTGTTAGAAAACAAGTTTAAAGCAGTGCAGTGCTCAGTTGTGAATTGCAGTGTGATGAGAAGAAAATGTGGTTAGTCACTAGCTATCATTTACTTTTTTCTCATTCATGTTTGAAAACCATTGTTCAGAAAAAAAAAATATGTTTCACATGGACAGTACAGGGTATACACTGGATATCACATGGACAGTACATGGTATATACTAGATATCACATGGACATTAGAGAGTATACACTAGATATCACATGTACAGTACAGGGTATACACAAGATATCACATGGACAGTACAGAGTGTACACTGGATATCACATGGGCAGTACAGAGTGTACACTAGATATCACATGGACAGTACATGGTATACACAAGATATCACAGGGACAGTACAGAGTATACACTAGATATCACATGGAAAGTACAGGGTATACACAAGATATCACATGGACAGTACAGAGTGTACACTGGATATCACATGGACAGTACAGAGTGTACACTGGATATCACATGGACTGTACAGAGTATACACTTGATATCACATGGGCAGTTCAGACTGTACACTGGATATCACAAGGACAGTACAGAGTATACACTGGATATCACTTGGACAGTACAGAGTATACACTAGATATCACATGGACAGTATAGGGAAAACACTCAATATCACATGAACAGTACAGAGTATACACTAGATATCACATGGACAGTACAGCGTATAGGCTAGATATCACATGGACAGTACAGCGTATAGGCTAGATATCACATGGACAGTACAGAGTATACGCTAGATATCACATGGACAGTACAGAGTGTCCACTGGATATCACATGGACAATACAGGGTATACTCTAGAGGTGAGGTGAGGTGAGGTGAAATGGGGTTAAACGTCGCGTCCAAGATTATTGCACTTATATAGCGACGTGCATGGACGTGTGTGTGTTTGTGTGGCTGTTTGTACTAGTCCGGACTGATGCCGATTTATAGTGCTAGCTCACTGAGATACCATGCAGCAGTTTAACATGAATACCCCACTCAGACACAGTTTACTGACTCCGAGCCGACCAGTCCTAGTTTTAGCCCTTAATGCCCCGCGCCAGACAGGGTAACAACAAGTACCATCTTTTAACGTCTTTTGGTATGATGCAGCCGGGGATCGAACCCCGGACCTTCCGCTCTCCGGGCAGACGCTCTACCATTAGACCACGGAGGCGGTCGTATACACTAGATATCACATGGACAGTACAGGGTATACACTAGATATCACATGGACAAAACAGGGAATACTCTGGATATTGCATACACTAGATATCAAAGGGACAGTATAGGCAAAACATTCGATATCACATGGATAGTACAGGGAATACACTGGATATCACATACACTGATATCACATGGACTATCCTGCATCTGATGAGGCAAGTAAATCATTCACCATCCTGCATCTGATGAGGCAAGTAAATCATTCACCATTCTGCATCTGATGAGGCACGTGAATCATTCATCATCCTGCATCTGATAAATGGAATGTGCATCATTCAACATCCTGCATCTGATGAGGCAAGTGAATCATTCACCATCCTGCATCTGATAAATGGAACGTGAATAATTCACATATCCTGCATCTGATGAGACAAGTGAATCATTCACCATCCTGCATCTGATGAGACTAGTGAATCATTCACCATCCTGATAAAGGGCATGTGAATCATTCACCATCCTGCACCTGATGAGGCAAGTGAATCATTCACAATCCTGCACCTGATGAGGCATGTGAATCATTCACCATCCTGCATCTGATGAGACTAGTGAATCATTCACCATCCTGCACCTGATGAGGCATGTGAATCATTCACCATCCTGCACCTGATAAAGGGCATGCGTATCATTCACTAACCCGCACTTGATGAGGCAAGAGAAAGTGAATAATTCACCTCCCTGCACCTGATAAAGGGCAGGTGAATCATTCACCTCCTTGCACCTGATGAGGCATGTGAATCAGTCACCTCCCTGCACCTGATAAAGAGCATGTGAATCATTCACCTCCCTGCACCTGATGAGGCATGTGAATCATTCACCATCCTGCACCTGATAAAGGGCATGTGAATCATTCACCATCCTGCACCTGATGAGGCAAGTGAATCATTCACAATCCTGCACCTGATGAGGCATGTGAATCATTCACCATCCTGCATCTGATGAGACTAGTGAATCATTCACCATCCTGCACCTGATGAGGCATGTGAATCATTCAACATCCCGCATCTGATAAAGGGCATGCGTATCATTCACTATCCTGCACTTGATGAGGCAAGTGAAAGTGAATCATTCACCTCCCTGCCCCTGATAAAGGGCAGGTGAATCATTCACCTCCTTGCACCTGATGAGGCATGTGAATCATTCACCATCCTGTACCTGATGAGGCATGTGAATCATTCACCATCCTGCACCTGATAAAGGGCATGTGAATCATTCACCACCCTGCACCTGATGAGGCATGTGAATCATTCACCTCCCTGCACCTGATAAAGAGCATGTGAATCATTCACCTCCTTGCACCTGATGAGGCAAGTGAATCATTCACCATCCTGCACCTGATGAGGCATGTGAATCATTCAACATCCCGCATCTGATAAAGGGCATGCGTATCATTCACTAACCTGCACTTGATGAGGCAAGAGAAAGTGAATAATTCACCTCCCTGCCCCTGATAAAGGGCAGGTGAATCATTCACCTCCTTGCACCTGATGAGGCATGTGAATCATTCACCATCCTGCACCTGATAAAGGGCATGTGAATCATTCACCACCCTGCACCTGATGAGGCATGTGAATCATTCACCTCCCTGCACCTGATAAAGAGCATGTGAATCATTCACCTCCTTGCACCTGATGAGGCAAGTGAATCATTCACCATCCTGCACCTGATGAGGCATGTGAATCATTCAACATCCCGCATCTGATAAAGGGCATGCGTATCATTCACTAACCTGCACTTGATGAGGCAAGAGAAAGTGAATAATTCACCTCCCTGCACCTGATAAAGGGCAGGTGAATCATTCACCTCCTTGCACCTGATGAGGCAAGTGAATCATTCACCATCCTGCACCTGATGAGGCAAGTGAATCATTCACCAACCTGCACCTGATGAGGCATGTGAATCAGTCACCTCCCTGCACCTGATAAAGAGCATGTGAATCATTCACCTCCCTGCACCCGATGAGGCATGTGAATCATTCACCATCCTGCACCTGATAAAGGGCATGTGAATCATTCACCATACTGCACCTGATGAGGCAAGTGAATCATTCACAATCCTGCACCTGATGAGGCATGTGAATCAGTCACCTCCCTGCAACTGATAAAGAGCATGTGAATCATTCACCTCCCTGCACCTGACGAGGCATGTGAATCATTCACCATCCTGCACCTGATAAAGGGCATGTGAATCATTCACCATCCTGCACCTGATGAGGCAAGTGAATCATTCACCAACCTGCACCTGATGAGGCATGTGAATCAGTCACCTCCCTGCACCTGATAAAGAGCATGTGAATCATTCACCTCCTTGCACCTGATGAGGCATGTGAATCATTCACCATCCTGCACCTGATGAGGCATGTGAATCATTCACCTCCCTGCACTTGATAAAGAGCATGTGAATCATTTACCTCCTTGCACCTGATGAGGCAAGTGAATCATTCACCATCCTGCACCTGATGAGGCAAGTGAATCATTCACCATCATGCACCTGATGAGGCATGTGAATCATTCACCTCCCTGCACCTGATAAAGAGCATGTGAATCATTAACCTCCTTGCACCTGATGAGGCATTTGAATCATTCACCATCCTGCACCTGATAAAGGGCATGTGAATCATTCACCATCCTGCACCTGATGAGGCAAGTGAATCATTCACCTCCCTGCACCTGATGAGGCATGTGAATAATTCACCTCCCTGCACCTGATAAAGAGCATGTGAATCATTCACCTCCTTGCACCTGATGAGGCAAGTGAATCATTCACCATCCTGCACCTGATGAGGCATGTGAATCATTCACCATCCTCCACCTGATAAATGGCATGTGAATCATTCAGCTCCTTGCACCTGATGAGGCAAGTGAATCATTCACCTCCCTGCACCTGATGAGGCATGTGAATCATTCACCATCCTGTATCTGATAAAGGGCATGTGAATCTTTCACCTCCTTGCACCTGATGAGGCATGTGAATCATTCACCATCCTGCACCTGATAAAGGGCATGTGAATCATTCACCTCCCTGCGCCTGATGAGGCATGTGAATCATTCACCATCCTGCACCTGATGAGGCATGTGAATCATTCACCTCCCTGCACCTGATGAGGCATGTGAATCATTCACCTCCCTGCACCTGATGAGGCATGTGAATCATTCACCATCCTGCACCTGATGAGGCATGTGAATCATTCACCTCCCTGCACCTGATAAAGAGCATGTGAATCATTCACCTCCTTGCACCTGATGAGGCATGTGAATCATTCACCATCCTGCACCTGATGAGGCAAGTGAATCATTCACCATCCTGCACCTGATGAGGCATGTGAATCATTCACCTCCCTGCACCTGATAAAGAGCATGTGAATCATTCACCTCCCTGCACCTGATGAGGCATGTGAATCATTCACCATCCTGCACCTGATAAAGGGCATGTGAATCATTCACCATCCTGCACCTGATGAGGCAAGTGAATCATTCACCAACCTGCACCTGATGAGGCATGTGAATCATTCACCTCCCTGCACCTGATAAAGACCATGTGAATCATTCACCTCCTTGCACCTGATGAGGCATGTGAATCATTCACCTCCCTGCACCTGATGAGGCATGTGAATCATTCACCTCCCTGCACCTGATAAAGAGCATGTGAATCATTTACCTCCTTGCACCTGATGAGGCAAGTGAATCATTCACCATCCTGCACCTGATGAGGCATGTGAATCATTCACCATCCTGCACCTGATGAGGCATGTGAATCATTCACCTCCCTGCACCTGATAAAGAGCATGTGAATCATTAACCTCCTTGCACCTGATGAGGCATGTGAATCATTCACCATCCTGCACCTGATAAAGGGCATGTGAATCATTCACCATCCTGCACCTGATGAGGCAAGTGAATCATTCACCATCCTGCACCTGATGAGGCATGTGAATCATTCACCATCCTCCACCTGATAAATGGCATGTGAATCATTCAGCTCCTTGCACCTGATGAGGCAAGTGAATCATTCACCTCCCTGCACCTGATGAGGCATGTGAATCATTCACCATCCTGTATCTGATAAAGGGCATGTGAATCATTCACCTCCCTGCACCTGATGAGGCATGTGAATCATTCACCATCCTGCATCTGATAAAGGGCATGTGAATCATTCACCTCCCTGCACCTGATGAGGCATGTGAATCATTCACCATCCTGCACCTGATGAGGCATGTGAATCATTCACCTCCCTGCACCTGATGAGGCATGTGAATCATTCACCTCCCTGCACCTGATGAGGCATGTGAATCATTCACCTCCCTGCACCTGATGAGACATGTGAATCATTCACCTCCCTGCACCTGATGAGGCATGTGAATCATTCACCATCCTGCACCTGATAAAGAGCATGTGAATCAGTCACCTCCCTGCACCTGATGAGGCATGTGAATCATTCACCATCCTGCACCTGATAAAGAGCATGTGAATCAGGCACCTCCCTGCACCTGATGAGGCAAGTGAATCATTCACCTCCCTGCACCTGATGAGGCATGTGAATCATTCACCTCCCTGCACCTGATAAAGAGCATGTGAATCATTCACCTCTCTGCACCTGATGAGGCAAGTGAATCATTCACCTCCCTGCACCTGATGAGGCATGTGAATCATTCACCTCCTTGCACCTGATAAATGGCATGTGAATCATTCACCTCCCTGCACCTGATGAGGCATGTGAATCATTCACCTCCCTGCACCTGATGAGGCAAGTGAATCATTCACCATCCTGCACCTGATGAGGCATGTGAATCATTCACCTCCCTGCACCTGATAAAGAGCATGTGAATCAATCACCTCCCTGCACCTGATGAGGCAAGTGAATCATTCACCTCCCTGCACCTGATAAAGAGCATGTGAATCATTCACCTCCCTGCACCTGATGAAGAAGCAACATGCCTCAAGCCATGTGTAAAGCACCCATGAAGATCAGAGTTAGAAATGGTCTATAGCAATCCATTCTTCTCAAACTGGCTGCATAATTGACTAAATTGCGTGTATTGATGCTCATGATGTCAGTCACTGGATTGTCTGTTCCAGACTCGATTATTTACAGACTGTCATCATAAAGAGAGGTTGTAAACAACAAACAACATGTAAAGAGCATGCACAGCGGTACAGGTAACTGGTGCCCATACAAACCCGACTTAGTGATATTCTTTTTTTAAATTGTCATTGTGGTTCCAGTCAATTAACAAGAAATCAAAAGTGAATTAAGATTACAATTATTTACATGTTGATATAGAAGCATGACCATGTGATTAACAGACAGATACCTTCTGTGAGGTAAGTAAATATACCTACCCTTCTTGTTAGGTCCACCAATGGGTCTTAACTTGGCATTAAGCAGCTGTTGTTGTAACCCAGACATTGGTGTTTCCTCCATGATGTCCTCCTGTTCAGGAGGCTTTGGCAGAGGCCGGTGTGGTGTCTGGGTGGGCGACACAAGGGCGTTGCCTTGGTATGGCGCCCGACTGGGCGACACAAGGTTGGGACTCTCATTGGGCACTGGCACTGCAAAAGTAGAGTGGACCAGTATGTTGGACACCTGACATCACTGTGTGACTTATGTCCAGGCAAAGATAACAAAACATCCTTCAAACCATAAATAAATCCTGCTACACATATTCACAAGATAACAAATGGACGCTTAAGTAAAACTGCATATTCATTTAGATCAATGTTAGAACTATGATGCTTTTTCAATATTTTTCAACCTATAGTAAATATTGTATACAATGTATACTAACAGAAAAGAAATAACTGTGCTTCATATAAAGTCCATTAAAATAAATTATTCTGAATCTAAATAATGCATCAACCAAGTCACCCGATCCTGTTAGTCGCCTCTTATGACAAGCATGGTCGTCCTTTACGACAAGTATGGGTTGCTGAAGACCTGTTCTAACCCGCATCTTCAACATTTTAGATAACTGTTGGAAAATTCACAATACTGTGTGATTTTGTTCAAGAAACTACAAAAATAACCAAAAATGAATTACAGAAAAGAAGATATCTGGTCACATATCTGCAGTATAAACAAAAGGATAATTGATTGTTAGAAAGAGAATTTTTGTACTTTCATAAAATCCTGGGCCCTGTTTCACAAAGCGATCACAGCGATACGAGTATCGTAACTTGTATACTTTAAAAACACTTCAAATACATCATTGGATCGCTACAATCAATTTGTGACAGGCTCCAGGATTAGAATATAAAATCAAATAGATGCTGAAAAATCTTGTGTTACATTTTTTCAAACAACAGATTACATCACTCAGGAAGGCTATCATATCAGTATTAATAATGAGCATGCAAAGCTTAAAGATGAGAGGTGGCAGGTTGGGGGCACACACATACGGGGCTCAGTGGAAAGCAGGTTGTGTCTGACAACAGAGTTTGAGTGTGTTGAGACCAGAGTCAGCTGTATGGACAGTATTCATCTGACTTGACAAGTAACTCTGAAGGTTTTCAATGAACCCTTCACTTCTGGCTGGAATTGTTTAGGAGTAGTTGTCAGCTGAGGGAATGTAATTCAAATGTAGTGGCAGAATGCCAGTCAGAAAGTTAGAGACACATCCCTTCATTGAATGAAGATTTAAAAACAATTTAATGTACAAGAACAGAGTTCCAAGTTGTGAGTTCTATTTGATGGCATAAATATTCACTATTCTATTATGGTATGTTCTGAGGTACAAAACCTTCCAAATGGCGTGCTGGTTTTCTTGGGGGAATTAGTCAGCAAAGAGCCAGAGTCACAGGAGACTAATCACAATTTTATTTACAAGAACAATTAACAATGAAAAATTTACAATATCTTAGAATATAGCTGAGGGTGCCACACAGAGTCAGTACAACCCTCTGGGCTGTGGGAGAGAGGTCTGCTTGGTATGAGTGTCAAACCCCTTCTCCCTAACATTTTGCTTCTGTATGTTTTTAACAGAACTTAGAACAATAAAAAGGAATATGATTGGTTGATACACGATGGGGTGTGCATTATGGTTAATGAATGGCTAGACAGAGGGGAACACTTAATCCTGTGAATCCTGTTGGACTGGCACTAATCTTGTTGACATATTTACTGGGTGCTTTGAAAGAGATTATGGTGTCACTATAGATGAGCTTGTATGGGGGCTAATCCTTAATAAGTCTAAATTGAAGTAATTGCTGAATGTTATTCTAATATAGGTGATGACAGATTTACTTAAATAAAATAGTTCAAGGCAATCTATAAGACCATGTAGACATATCTTTTGTCTTATTGGATATTATGTCTGGGAGATGGGATCTTGATACCTTAGGCTAGTTTTTATCTAAAAGCTTTAAATCTATTAAACTATGTAGACATAACTTTTATCTTATTGAATAGTATGTCTAGGAGATGTGTTCTCATTACCTTAGGCTAGCATCTATCTAAAAAAGCTATAACTGAAACTACTGATATTTTATATACCGTATGCATTTTACCTGATGATAAGTATTACTTGCTAAACTATAATTATATGAAATGATGTATAAATATTACACCATGATAACTCATAAAAGCACTTGATGTGGATCTAATTATTATAGGAAAACTTAGTATAAATGTTATACCATGATACTTCCCAGGGAACTGAGTATAAAGTTATTATTATTTCTCTCTCAGAATGTACAAACAACATGTAGACCACAGTTGAAAAAGAAAATAATAAATATTAACTTGCACCATCACAAAATGAAAAATTAAAAAGATGTACTATGAAAAGAATGATTCTGTTGTGTCTGAACCTGTGAGTTCAGTCAATACATCAGAGAGAACAGTAACACAAGAGTGTCACAGGGCATGCGAGGGTGTCACCGGGCATGCAAGGGTGTCACAGGGATTGCAAGGGTGTCACAGGGCATGCAAGGGTGTCACAGGGATTGCGAGGGTGTCACAGGGCATGTAAGGTGGTTACAGGGCATACAAGGTGGTCACAGGGCATGCGAGGGTGTCACAGGGCATGCAAGGTGGTTACAGGGCATACAAGGTGGTAACAGGGCATGCACGGGTGTTACAGGGCATACAAGGTGGTAACAGGGCATGCAAGGTGGTCACAGGGATTGCAAGGGTGTCACAGGGCATGCAAGGGTATCACAGGGCATGCAAGGTGGTCACAGGGCATGCAAGGTGGTAACAGGGCATACAAGGTGGTTACAGGGCATGCACAGGTGTCACAGGGCATGCAAGGGTGTCACAGGGCATGCAAGGTGGTTACAGGGCATACAAGGTGGTTACAGGACATGCACGGGTATCACAGGGCATGCGAGGGTGTCACAGGGCATGCAAGGTGGTTACAGGGCATACAAGGTGGTTACAGGGCATGCAAGGGTGTCACAGGGCATGTAAGGTGGTTACAGGGCATACAAGGTGGTTACAGGGCATACAAGGTGGTTACAGGGCATGCACAGGTGTCACAGGGCATGCGAGGTTGTCACAGGGCATGCAAGGTGGTTACAGGGCATACAAGGTGGTTACAGGGCATGCAAGGTGGTTACAGGGCATGCAAGGGTGTCACAGGGATTGCGAGGGTATCACAGGGCATGCAAGGTGGGTACAGGGCATACAAGGTGGTTACAGGGCATGCACAGGTGTCACAGGGCATGCGAGGGTGTCACAGGGCATGCAAGGTGGTTACAGGGCATACAAGGTGGGTACAGGGCATGCAAGGTGGTTACAGGGCATGCAAGGTGGTTGTAGGGCATGCAAGGGTGTCACAGGGATTGCGAGGGTATCACAGGGCATGCAAGGTGGTTACAGGGCATACAAGTTGGTTACAGGGCAGACGGGGGTGTCACAGGGCATGCAAAGTGGTTACAGGGCATACAAGGTGGTTACAGGGCGTGCGAGGGTGTCACATGGCATGCACTGTGGTCACAGGGCATGCAAGCTGGTTACAGGGCATTCAAGGGTATCACAGAGCATGCAAGGTATATATAATAAAGCCAAGATAGGCACCATGCAAGGAGATCCGTGGGGAGCTCATGTGACAAACCTTGCTTGTTCAGATAGCTGACATCAACTAGCATTCCCAGATTGGGAACTGACTTGGTTCTACTCTGCCATCGAGGGTGTAAGGGTTTAACAGGATCTGAAATTGGGTAAAACACTGGAATTCTTAACAACTCATTGCAAAAAATAATTTCTAATTTGTTCTTTTATAAAGAACAAAAATATCAATACCGGTACTTTATTTCATTACTATCAATGTCAATCATCTGTCACAGGTTAAGTATGTATTTGAAATAAAAAATCTTATATATACACAATCCATTTCTGAAATAAAGCAATTAACATTGCTGTATACAATAAATACAAAAAGATAATATGAATAGCAAGATATAAACTGCTATGTACTGGTGCAGTAATAATATGTGCAGTTAGAGCAATATGATTAAAATACCATAATGAACCAAATTAGCACACTTCGACTGTCTTAATACCACCATACTTAATCATGAGCAGCCATTTCATACTCTGTATCAGTGATGTGCAGTGCAGTGTTGTGTGTAGTTTGGAAAATAAATATAGGAATTTGATGCCAAGTATATCCTTTCTGGATAACTGAACATGAACATGAACTATTCTGTCTTTCCTGTAAATAGCCATGTACATTGATGAACTAATCTGTTTGACCTGTAAATAGCCATGTTCATTGATGAACTAATCTGTTTGACCTGTAAATAGCCTTGTACATTGATGAACTAATCTGTCTGACCTGTAAATAGCCATGAACATGAACTAATGTGTTTGACCTGTAAATAGCCATGTACATTGATGAACTAATGTGTTTGACCTGTAAATAGCCATGAACATGAACTAATGTGTTTGACCTGTAAATAGCCATGAACATGAACTAATGTGTTTGACCTGTAAATAGCCATGAACATGAACTAATGTGTTTGACCTGTAAATAGCCATGTACATTGATGAACTAATCTGTTTGACCTGTAAATAGCCATGTACATTGATGAACTAATCTGTTTGACCTGTAAATAGCCATGTACATTGATGAACTAATCTGTTTGACCTGTAAATAGCCATGTACATTGATGAACTAATGTGTTTGACCTGTAAATAGCCATGTACATTGATGAACTAATGTGTTTGACCTGTAAATAGCCATGAACATGAACTAATGTGTTTGACCTGTAAATAGCCATGAACATGAACTAATGTGTTTGACCTGTAAATAGCCATGAACATGAACTAATGTGTTTGACCTGTAAATAGCCATGTACATTGATGAACTAATCTGTTTGACCTGTAAATAGCCATGTACATTGATGAACTAATCTGTTTGACCTGTAAATAGCCATGAACATGAACTAATGTGTTTGACCTGTAAATAGCCATGTACATTGATGAACTAATCTGTTTGACCTGTAAATAGCCATGTACATTGATGAACTAATCTGTTTGACCTGTAAATAGCCATGTACATTGATGAACTAATCTGTTTGACATATAAATAGCCATGTACATTGATGAACTAATGTGTTTGACCTGTAAATAGCATTGAACATTGATGAACTAATCTGTTTGACCTGTAAATAGCCATGTACATTGATGAACTAATCTGTTTGACCTGTAAATAGCCATGTACATTGATGAACTAATCTGTTTGATCTGTAAATAGCCATGTACATTGATAAACTAATCTGTTTGACCTGTAAATAGCCATGTACATTGATGAACTAATCTGTTTGACCTGTAAATAGCCATGTACATTGATGAACTAATCTGTTTGACCTGTAAATAGCCATGTACATTGATGAACTAATCTGTTTGGCCTGTAAATAGCACTGTACATGATGAACTAATCTGTCTGACCTGTAAATAGCACTGTACATGATGAACTTATCTGTATGACCTGTAAATAGCCCTGTACATGATGAACTAATCTGTCTGACCTGTAAATAGTACTGTACATGATGAACTAATCTGTCTGACCTGTAAATAGTACTGTACATTGATGAACTAATCTGTCTGACCTGTAAATAGTACTGTACATTGATGAACTAATCTGTCTGACCTGTAAATAGTACTGTATGACACATGTAAGTCAGCAGCAGCCCATGTCAAGATTGACAAACACAGTGATCTGTTTGTCCTGTTGATATTCTCACGTGCAACATCATTTGCTCAGTGTCAACTGATGTATGGTTAGGTACAGTGAGTGGTTAGTGTGCAAGCAAGGATCTATCAGAGACTAATCAGATACCAGGACTCTAACACATCCACATTCAAGCCACTGACTAGGTATGGGCAGGTCACTATGAAAGAGTCATCATGTGGACGCTTTTGTCACTGTTGACAATCTAACAGTAATTGAGGCTGCAGATTTTGATAAAACAAACTGATATGAATTAAAAAAATGGAAGGAATGTGGTGATTTATAAGTTGATACAATGAGTTTTCAGAAGATTGCACATCAATTGCCAATCCATAAGTGAAAATCGTGATAAGCGTGAATCCAGTGTTAATTATTACATATAAAATGGTTAAGGATAAATAGCCTCATACCCATGTCCAGGGAAAAAATATGCCCCCAAAATGACATGGTTTGGTAAGTTGCATTCAACTCAGCTACCATTCCCTGGGACAAGATTAATAACCAGATCAAAGAATAAATACATTTAAACCATCAGTACCTCATTAAGGTAGTTAATGTGAAATGTGATGTTAGTATGCATATTAATATTCTCTGTGATTGTAAGTAATCTGTTTATGTTGATCACTTGGTTTACAGTTCACAATTTTAAATTGATAGAATTGGTGGACAAAACAATAACCAAATTACAAAAACATCTTATTTAAATAGATCTCTGAAATGCATTGTGGTAGTCTGAAAAATCAAATAAAAGAAAACATGTTTTAAAACATATGTCAAGAACTATACGTCCTCTCCACAACGTGAAGTGAGACAGAGAAAAGATTACTCTCGAACTTCTTTAGGTTGGAGAAACCATAAACCATGTAGTGTGTGAAAAGTAGTAAGGCTTGTTAGTTGGTCTATGGTGAATACTGTGCTACATCAGCACTACCTTCTCTACTGAAGTCCAGGGTATCTTGCATGTCAGGCTGGCTCTGTCGACGGCCTGGCAATGTAGTCAGAGTGAGTCAGTTTGATTTGACATTGCTTTCAAACAGTATTCAGGTATTTCACAGCGTTTCAGATTGACGTGGGAGGAAAGACCCAAGTGACGCAGATACGTAGCCACACATGGTGATAGTGGCTTCATGTGTTTAGCTTAAGTATCATCAGGTTGTGTTCCTCCATTACAGAATGCACGCCTAGCACAGACCTAACACTCGTTGTCTATTTGACTGCACTTTCTGCACGATTCTTGGGGCAAGAACACACAGAAACCTGATCCTGAAACCTGACATGCTGGTAACTCACCAAAACCTTCATGTCTTACTTGGAAAGTGTGTGCTACAATCTTTTTAAATGTTAAATGGTTTTGAATCCCCAAAATCTTTCCGAATTTGCAATGTTTATGAATATTTAGCTTGCTGTTAGCGGCCATAAAATTTCATAGTCCCATGATGGGATTCAAACCACGGACATTCTGATCCAAGTGGCCAAAGATTATTGATTGTTGGTTGTTTAACGCTCCACTCAGCAATATTCCCACTATATGACGGCGGAATGTAAATAATCAAGTCTGGACCAGATAATCCATTGATTGACATCATGAGCATCGATCCACACAATTGGGTTATGATGACATGCATCAACCAAGTCAGCGAGTCTGACTACCCGAACCCGTTAGTCGCTTTTTACAACAAGCATAGTCGCCATTTACCGCAAGCATGGGCTGCTGAAGACCTTTTCTACCCCGAATCTTCACGCGTTGAATGGCCAAAGAGGTTAACCCCTTCAGCAAGCAGAGAAAGTATCAATATCATCTGTGGGCTGACTCCATGCCCTGAAAATCATCCCCATCAACAGAAGGCTGCATAGTAGGGAACTCCAATGCTACCCTACTGCATCTTCAATGCTACCCTACTGTATCTCCAGTGCTACCCTACTGTATCTCCAGTGCTACCCTACTGTATCTCCAATGCTACCTTACTGTATCTCCAGTGCCACCCTACTGTATCTCCAGTGCTACCCTACTGTATCTCCAGTGCTACCCTACTGCATCTCCAGTGCTACCCTACTGTATCTCCAGTGCTACCCTACTGCATCTTCAATGCTACCCTACTGTATCTCCAGTGCTACCCTACTGTATCTCCAATGCTACCCTACTGTATCTCCAGTGCTACCCTACTGTATCTCCAATGCTACCCTACTGTATCTCCAGTGCTACCCTACTGCATCTTCAATGCTACCCTACTGTATCTCCAGTGCTACCCTACTGTATCTCCAGTGCTACCCTACTGCATCTCCAGTGCTACCCTACTGTATCTCCAGTGCTACCCTACTGCATCTTCAATGCTACCCTACTGTATCTCCAGTGCTACCCTACTGTATCTCCAATGCTACCCTACTGTATCTCCAGTGCTACCCTACTGTATCTCCAATGCTACCCTACTGTATCTCCAGTGCTACCCTACTGTATCTCCAGTGCTACCCTACTGCATCTCCAGTGCTACCCTACTGTATCTCCAGTGCTACCCTACTGTATCTCCAGTGCTACCCTACTGCATCTCCAGTGCTACCCTACTGTATCTCCAGTGCTACCCTACTGTATCTCCAGTGCTACCCTACTGTATCTCCAATGCTACCCTACTGTATCTCCAATGCTACCCTACTGTATCTCCAGTGCTACCCTACTGTATCTCCAGTGCTACCCTTCTGCATCTCCAGTGCTACCCTACTGTATCTCCAGTGCTACCCTACTGTATCTCCAGTGCTACCCTACTGCATCTCCAGTGCTACCCTACTGTATCTCCAGTGCTACCCTACTGTATCTCCAGTGCTACCCTACTGTATCTCCAATGCTACCCTACTGTATCTCCAATGCTACCCTACTGTATCTCCAGTGCTACCCTACTGTATCTCCAGTGCTACCCTACTGTATCTTCAATGCTACCCTACTGCTACCCTACTGTATCTCCAATGCTACCCTACTGCATCTCCAATGCTACCCTACTGTATCTCCAGTGCTACCCTACTGTATCTCCAGTGCTACCCTACTGCATCTCCAGTGCTACCCTACTGCATCTCCAATGCTACCCTACTGCATCTCCAATGCTACCCTACTGTATCTCCAGTGCTACCCTACTGCATCTTCAATGCTACACTACTGTATCTCCAGTGCTACCCTACTGCATCTCCAGTGCTACCCTACTGCTACCCTACTGTATCTCCAGTGCTACCCTACTGCATCTCCAATGCTACCCTACTGCATCTCCAGTGCTACCCTACTGTATCTCCAGTGCTACCCTACTGCATCTCCAGTGCTACCCTACTGCATCTCCAATGCTACCCTACTGCATCTCCAATGCTACCCTACTGCATCTCCAATGCTACCCTACTGTATCTCCAGTGCTACCCTACTGTATCTCCAGTGCTACCCTACTGTATCTCCAGTGCTACCCTACTGCATCTTCAATGCTACCCTACTGTATCTCCAGTGCTACCCTACTGTATCTCCAGTGCTACCCTACTGCATCTCCAGTGCTACCCTACTGCATCTCCAATGCTACCCTACTGTATCTCCAGTGCTACCCTACTGTATCTCCAGTGCTACCCTACTGCTACCCTACTGTATCTCCAGTGCTACCCTACTGCTACCCTACTGTATCTCCAGTGCTACCCTACTGTATCTCCAGTGCTACCCTACTGTATCTCCAGTGCTACCCTACTGTATCTCCAGTGCTACCCTACTGTATCTCCAGTGCTACCCTACTGCATCTCCAGTGCTACCCTACTGTATCTCCAGTGCTACCCTACTGTATCTCCAGTGCTACCCTACTGTATCTCCAGTGCTACCCTACTGTATCTCCAGTGCTACCCTACTGTATCTCCAGTGCTACCCTACTGTATCTCCAGTGCTACCCTACTGTATCTTCAATGCTACCCTACTGCTACCCTACTGTATCTCCAGTGCTACCCTACTGTATGTCCAGTGCTACCCTACTGTATCTCCAGTGCTACCCTACTGCATCTCCAGTGCTACCCTACTGTATCTCCAGTGCTACCCTACTGTATCTCCAGTGCTACCCTACTGCATCTCCAATGCTACCCTACTGTATCTCCAGTGCTACCCTACTGTATCTCCAGTGCTACCCTACTGTATCTCCAATGCTACCCTACTGTATGACTGGTATCACAGTGGTGATATCCTATATTACCTCTATGGCAGGGAGGTGGTGGGGCCGGTCCAAGCTTGCCCACTGGAAACACAGAAATGAACAGATGGCTGACAGTGAAGGTACAAATCAAGGAAAATTAACACAGCAAGCTCATTTAGTGATTCATGGCTGTATATGTACTCAGCAATGCATGAAGTGATTGAAGCAGATAATACACATGAAACTGGCAGAGCTACAATATACCTTTGAAAACAAGTATTATAATGGCTAATTTTTGTCATGACTTTATTACTGTAGTAAGTCTTTGAAACAAAGGTACAAGGCTATTCTAGGGTTCCTAAAATGTAATTGATTATCAAGTTTTGTTGAAATGACTTGACTTAGATTGTGATACTTTTCATCATTGAGAGTGAGACAAGTTTTTTGCTGTCAAAATTCCACTCATTATCGAAATTCAATTCGAAATGTAATGAATCCCTGGTAGGATAAATCACCCTTTGTTCTTCATCACAGAGGTGTGATCAGTTAAAGGAGTAGGTAGGTTTTAGAAAGTCCCTGGTGTGAAAGTGGGGAAGCTCAATGTATGTTGTACACTCCACAGTCAGCATCCTTCCAGCTGTGTCATGGCAGCCTATTGTTAATCAGGGCTAGACAAACCTGGGTTTGATAGCATGAGCAGCAGGCCACACTGAGGCTAACAAACCCTCAAGTTTCAGGTTTAAAACTGAGCATTCAGTATGTTGTAGTGGTGTTGCCAAGACCTGCGTTAAATTAGCTGACTGGGTCTATTGTCCTTACCTTCATCTTTTTCACTGCTGCCACGACGATGGTGACCTATCACAAGATAAAGTTCAGTATACAGGCTGAGTATATCAATTCGGGTGTTGTTCATATTAAAGTTGCGAGACCAGACTTGTATGAGAATGGTATCATTGTCTACAGCATATTCTGATAAAAACTATATTTTGGCTACACAATGTATACAATTTATTTGATATTAATCTTAATCAATAATACCTGTAAATGTGCAAAGCCTAAGTTGCTTTTGTTAAAACACACACACACACACACACACACACACTACACACATACATCACAGACAGACACACAGACACACACACACACACACACAGACACACACACACACACACACACACACACACACACACACACACACACACACATACATATATGAACTTAATATATCCCTGTTGTGAGCTTATGCAATATGTAAAACACTAGACAGACTACCAAACAGACTGGGCCCATCGGGTTAAAATACATCTGTAATAACCAAAAAATTATAAATACCCAAAGTGAATGATAATATATGAGTAAACACTCAATAGGTTAAAATACTGTGTGGAGTGCTGGGGAAGGCAGGTCATGTTCAGGTGCTAAATGATTGTAACTGGGGTTAAGCCCTGTGAACATACACAAATGGTATGTTTATCAATAAAGAGACAGCAATGTCTATGATAAATAACAATTTGATGTGACTAATGATCCCAAGTCGGCCGGAATCAGGAAGTCTCTCGAGCACTACTGTATAAACAAGGAAAACACTCAATAACAATTCAGCAATGCGGCAAATGATTCAATTCAATGTCATGCCATTGCCTGAAAGGGGCACAAAGGGCAACAGATAACCAAATTGTTTGATAGGCATTACTTAGAAGTTGACGGATGACAACTGATGTGAAGGTAGACGTCTTGCTTGACAACGGTATAAGGATCTGTACCGAAACGTGGCTTTTCACAGTATTAAAGAAGTTGTTATCCATAAAATTGTGTCTACCTTGTCAACAGATAACCAGTCAATAATACAATAATAGTGACACACGGAGTCAATGAGAGCCGTCTTTACCTTGTCTGTATGGGTCATGGTGGTCGATAGCCGAATCCAAGTTCTGTATCACATCTGTAAGGAAATGTATTACAGCAAAATTACTCTGAGTGAATGCTACTTTTGACAGTATTACAGCTATAGTACAATGGCTGGACATTTCACTTCAACCTTAGTGTGTTGTCTTTTTTCTTTTTAATCAGCCTGCAGCCTTGATAAGCAAACATTATCATGTAGGTCTGTATGTTATTGAAATACTACTCCTGACTGAGGACATACAATCAATATTTCACTGAGTGAAACATCACTTTATGCCTAAACGACCTACAGTCTCACTCAGTAATTGTTCTTGTTTGACCAATCTCCATAAATAAAACACATGACTTCTCTTGTCAAATAATATATTTATACCTCATCTCGTGACCTGCACCATATGTGCAAATATAAGATAGCTACACGATCGCAAAAAACAATAAAGAACGAAGTGTGGTTTATGTCACAATAAAGCATTGTTCTATCATGACGTCATTTCTGGAGATTTGAACATACGCTTGAAACTTGAGAATGACGTATGTTGGACGACGTTATTTTTTGAGAGGGGAGTGTCTAGTGAGTTGTTTCCCATAGATGTAGCTGAGCAATGCAGATAAACGCGATGGCCAAACGATTGCATCCAAAAGCCGGAAATTTATGACACTCGTCATTGGGAGGAAAGGTACAGGTAATCAACATGAGATTGTGAGAATATGCAGGAAATACCTACATGTGCATTAAATGGACTTGTCCGACATTGCCGAGATCGGATTCTATTGATTCTAAAGAGGCTGTCCATGATGTTGATATCTAATATAAGAAATAAACAACTCGTGGTCGTTTATCGTACAATAAAACATGTGTTTTATTGTTTTATTGTATGATAAACAACTCCCAGTCGTCAGGTATTTCTTAAATATCAGCATCAGGTCAGCATCAGGTTGATGAGATGAAGCTGTTATTTGACAAGATGAGTGAGTGAGTGAGTGAGTATGGTTTTACGCCGCTTTTAGCAATATTCCAGCAATATCACGGCGGGGGACACCAGAAAAGGGCTTCACACATTGTGCCCATGTCGGGAATCGAACCCGGGTCTTCGGCGTGACGAGCGAACGCTTTAACCACTAGGCTACCCGACCGCCCTTTGACAAGATGAGGTATCTGTTCTTTATGTATGTATCGTGCATCTCTCACTTGCTGCTGTCACTCCTTGCTGAACCTGGGCGATGCTGGACCGGGGGCGGGGTGCAGAGCCTGACACTGTTCTGCCTCCATAACTGCTCCCGGGACCACGGCTCTCTGAAATCATTGCACATACTGGCACTTGTTAAGCATTCCTTCCACCTGCCAAGTGACCATTAAGAATACCATTTGTCAATCTATGTCTATCTATTTGGAGCAGTCAATCAGCAGCATCCTAGCGGTTATACAAACATGTAAAGACATAAAGTCATGTTCCTTATCAGTTCAGCAAATAGTGTAAGAGATAATAATATTGTACTGTCACACTCTTCAATGCAAAGAACAAAACCATAGTCATTCAATAGTCCTAAATCATTATTAACCTAATATGAACAGAAGTTGATATTTATTAATGATGATTGAACATTGAGACTATTCTTGAACTTCTTCTGGGTAGGAACAGCACAGCACTTGCAGATTTCTTGAAACTGTTTCACACGAACTGACAGTAACACAACACTTGGTGCTGATCACTGAAATTCTGTCCTGTACATTGCAAACATGCACAAAGGCAAAAGTATTATAAATAAATATGTAACTGAAAGTAAAAACGTAATAGAAGTACATGATGACAGATACTTTAGCCTCTGACTGTATACAGATCAACCAAGGCATGCAAGTGACAGACCTGGAAAGAACTTTTGGGGGCTCCAAGTCGTATGTCCACCTTTCCTTGACTGTAAGCTCCTTGCTGGCTTGACATCAGGCTCCTCATAATCTGCACAAAGGAGTGGACAATGTGAGGCTATATCCACATGCACATCGGCCACAACATCCACATCCACACCAAACCCACACCACACCCGCATCGACACCCACACCCACATCCACAAACCCCAACCACATCAGTCCACAACATAGCACACCTAGCTGCTCATAATCTGGACACAACGATGGACAGTGTGAGGGTATATCTACATGCACATCGGACACAACATCCACACTCACACCACACCCGCATCAACACACACACACACACACACACACACACACACACACACACACAACCCAACCACAGCCACGCCAGACACACATCCACACGCACACCAACAAACCCCAGCCACATCCACACCAGACCCACACCACACCACACACACACCAACACACCCAAACCACATCCACACAAGACCTACACCACACCACACACACACATCCACACACAAACCAACAAACCCCAACCACATCAACACAAGACCCACACCACACCACACACACACCAACAAACCCCAACCACATCCACACCACACCACACATACACATCCACACACATACCAACAAACCCCAACCACATCCACACAAGACCCACACCACACACACAACAACAAACCCCAACCACATCCACACAAGACCCACACCACGCCACACAAACACACACACATCCACACACACACCAACAAACCCCAACCACATCCACACAAGACCCACACCACACACACACACACACACACACACACACACACACACACACACACACACACACACACACACACACACACACACACACACACACACCAACAAACCCCAACCACACCCACACAAGACCCATAGTTATAATTTGTAGAAAGCTGTTATTTTTGGTTTGTTCATCAATTTCAATTGAAATTCTTACACCATCCCTTGCAAATGTACGGCTAAAATATATCAACCTTAAGATTAATATACTCAACCGCCAAAGAAACGCAAGTCATGTTTGTTTTTTTGTGACATGCACAAAATGTAATTTGCAAAAATAAATGTATACAAACGTAAAGAGACGCATAGAAGAAACACTGTTCACTATTTACATCATTCAGTTTGACCACGTCGCAAGAACGCAGTCGTTACGTCTCGTTTAATGTTTTTGCACGTGCAGCGCAAATCACATGCAAACATCCGTGCATTTCCCCCCATGTCCATCCTTTAAAAACATTTAAAAAATGTTATCAAATGTTTTCTCTGTTATTTATCAGTTCTTAATATTATCTACACATATTTTTATGGCCCGCATTTTATGTACAACTTGAAGTTCTCTTTGCGGTTGAGTATACTTAAATCACATCGAAGTATCATCCAGTAGTACGTACTTACTTAAAGCAATACGAAGTAAAGATGATGTCATCAATGGTAATTATGATGAGGATATTAATGAGGTGGGGTAAAGATCTTCAGAGAAAAGCTAAAATGAAGCCGACTTACTAGATGACCACAGATGAAGAATGTACTATATTTGATAATTTGACACTTTGATAATATGGTTTTGTGTTCTTAAATGAGAGTGCCAAAAAGACGAGAAACATGCTATTAGTGTTATTACAATCCATATTTCCTGCCATGGAAGCCATTTTGGTTTTTTTAAAATCAGAACCATATTTCACAGAGAAATTTGAGTATATGAAAAAACAACAGTATGTCCAATGGTTACATGAAGGAAACAACTGATTGCAATGAACTGTAGCTAGTGTCAAATGCAGTATGCTGTGTTGATATGTAAATCCGCAACAGAGAAGACATCAAAGTAGGAAAGAAAGTACACGTGAACAGTGGCAAAACACAGTGAAGGTGAGCTACAAATGGTCATCAGTGGGGAAATTATAAATGGGGTTGGCACTGATGACCCAGTGAAAGTCCAAGAAGCATGACCCCCGGAGAGAAAGAATAACTTGGCAACAACAGATCACCCCCTCCTCTATAAAGGTTACCCTGAACCATTGCCTCCATCTAATGCCTCTACACATGCATCCAGGTCGACCTGGCTCTATAACCTTACCTTCAGCTTGATATTCCTCCCCACTGTCAGGATTAGTCTTTTCTGAGGGGTAAAAGACACAGTAAGATTTAAACATCATCAGCTAGATTTGATGGGCTCCAACTTAAGTTTGAACATTTTAATATACAAATACAATTAACAAAAGCAGATAAACAACTACGCCAATGTTACAGGTATCTTTTTAAAGAACTTCATCCATTAACGAAATCTGAGAAGCCATTCTGATAAGCCAATGCTCACTTCTATCACCTGTTGTCCTACATGGAACTGAGGATCTATTCTGTGATGAATTTCCCAATAACAGTTCATGTCTATAAAAAACACTAATAACATACACATCAAGTGGTTTAGAGAAAATGATATTTTCAAAATCATAATAATTAAATAATGTATTTCAGTTAACATTTACTTATGCTTTACATTTTGAACAGATAATGGATGATACCTTGATGAGATTGGACATGATGAATAAAAAATTAAAGGGTACAGAGTCATTCAAAAACCTTCAATTATTATTAATTTGTCTAACCACATTCTAAATGTGCCATGTATATATCAAGACGAATCGTAGCTGCATACCAGAAATCACAGCTGTCCTGAAGATACTTGATTATCCAATGTATGATATCTCCATTCATTATGATGTATGTCCTCACCCATTTACCTCCATAGATAGTTTTTTGGTAAGTTCAATTCCAATGAAACAACAATAAACATAGTTGTACTGTCACGTTAAACTCATGTGCCACAGAAATTCTAATGATAAACGCAATAGAGATAGCTTGTCACACAGACATGGAAACAAATATATCCAATACAGCCCATGCAAGTCTGTACTAGATGGCAAGTCTAGATTACAGCAGTACCTGAAAATGAAGAGAGTCAGCGGGGTCCTTTTTATTATATTATATAATATTATATTAAGATATTTTAACAACTGGTTTTTCTGTAAGATATTTTCTTTTCAGATTATATATGTACATATAATAAAGACTAAGATGGAGACAGTGTCATAGCTGAATAAACCAAGCTATGGTCTTCTGGTATTGTATTGGTCGTGGCACCAGGGGTTGTGCATGTCCCTTATATATTGCTTCTTGAATCTGTTGATTGTGGGTTCATATCCAACATAATTCAGCGTCCTTATTGTCAATGAGGCGATCATGGTGAGATCTACAATCTGCATCACTTTTGGCTTTCCTCACTCATTTAGCTGTATGTCGGTTAAACGTAGTGTGAAACACAATTGACCAACATGCCTGAACAATATTCCTATTGATTACGATTAACACAAATGTATGAGTGAGTTTCTATGACAGTGATCTTCACGTACTGCTTTCAATGCGAGTCTGGTAGTCTGGTGCCTCCAGTCCCAGAGCCTTGAGGTCATTAGTGATGAGGGGTCGGGTCACTGCTGCCCCTGACATGGTCACAAAGTAGTCCATCACCTCGGACAGGCACAGGATCGACTTGTGCTGAAATAACACCAGAGATAGAAGTATAGTTTATCCAAAGTGTGCCACAGGGAGCTCATAAACATGTTTACACATGTCCTTTTGGATTTAAGTGTGCCAACAAGAAGACATGACATCTTTGTCCAGTTCACTTGTACAAAAATACATTTTCGTCTTGCTTGCTATAGTAAACATCACAAGGATTTCTAAGTGTGCCCTTAAGGCACCGTCAACTATTTTTCACCAAGCTGTTATGAATTTAGTTGTGATATTCACCCTTCTAAAACAACTAAATCTGATTTTAACACACTTCATAAATTAGTGCCAGAGAAAGAACTATCTGTCTCGACTGCAAATAATTGTTGGGCCTTGTTTTGGTGATGTGTTTCAGTGAGTGAACAGTAATATGAACGCCCCAAGTCAGAATAGTTCCACATCACTCCGACATGTCTTTGTGCACATACACATACATGTTGGTCCATGTTTCGCTAATGAATTACTACGTGTGAATTGCATTTACTGCTGCCGTCATTAATATACAGCAATACCATAACAGCCTGCGACTTTTGGCAAGACAAACCAGTGGTTGATAATACGAGCAATCCACACGTGGCGCATGATGAGACACCATCAGCCAGGTTAGACATTGTGCACACTGCAATCCTCATTCTCGTCAGTCCTTACAAGAAGCACAGTGGTCCTGGGGACATGTTCTGGAGTTGCCACATAGCTGACGTATAAGACATCAGCACAATGTATTGTACTCACTGCATTTTCCACATTGATCTTGAAGCCTTCAGCGATGCGGATCACTTCAAAGTGGTTGTATGGATTCCCTCTGACAAACAGAATGTATTTTCTAGCATTCACAATGTATGGTGACAAAACAAAGTCAGGTGACACTACTGAGAGTGAGTGAGTGAGTATAGTTGTAGGCCGCATTTAGCAATGTTTCAGCATCATCACGGCGTTCACACATTGCACCCATGTGGGGGTTCTCCTGCAGGAACATGTCGGATATGTACCTAGAATGTTCCATCTCATCTCTCCTACAGGAACATGTGACACATGTACCTGGCATGTTGACCCGTGAAGATCCGGGGTAGAATAGGTCTTCAGCAACCCGTGCTTGCTATAAAAAGCGACTATCCTTGTCGTAAGAGGCGACTAACGGGATAGGGTGGTCAGGCTCTCTGAATTGGTTGATGCATGTCATCGATCCCAATTGCGGGGACTGATGCTCATGATATTAATCACTGGATTGTCTGATCCAGACTCGATTATTTACAGACCGCCGTCATATAGCTGGACTATTGCTGAGTGCGGCGTTAAACAACAAACCAACCAACCATCCTAGCATGTTACATCTCATCTCTCCTACAGGAACATGTTACATATGTACCTGGCATGTTCCATCTTCTTTGTAATGACATAACTCCCTGTGTCTCGGAATGTAATGCTCTCCCTCATTAGAGTGTTGCCATAGTTGCAGCCACTGGTAAGGATCTTCTCAGCAATATCTCGTGTGATACCCGCAAAGAACCATCTACACACACAATTGGGAATAAAACAATACTGTTCATAGAACGTTAACAATATGACAACAGTGTTGATGGCAATATCTTACATTTAGATATTTTCACCATATCTTAAATTACGATATATTCACCAAAACGTCTTTGCTAAATTATTTATTTTATTATTACTCTTGGTTGTCAGGCCTTAATAGATGAAAGCATTAAGTTCTGCTTTCAGTGCAAATAAAACATTATCGTAATATCGAAAAAATAATTTATCTAACCATCTGCCTGCACATTGAGAGGTATCTCTTGGGAGGAAACGTAAATGAAATAATTGATTAGACTTATTGTACAATCTTTAAAAGTTTAATCGAAAGAAGAATATCAATATTCTGTTTTCAAAGTAACAAAGAGATTGATTTATCCATGTGGGGCATTTCTGCCCCATGTCTTCCCAAGACACATGTCGATTAGTTGTGTGGATACTTCTAGACCAACTTACGTTGGTGTTTCGCTGCTGTCTGGGTCCCTCCAGAATCTGTGTCGCTGAAACATCAGGAAATACTTTAGTTATAACTACTTCAATGTCAAATTTAAAGCACCTACTTTTACTTGTTATTGTAAATTCACATTAACCCAATTGAAAAACCATGCATGACATCGTTCATAAATACACATTTCATGCCAATTGTATAGTTCAATTCGGAGGTGTGTGGTTTTCACATGCAGTCACAAGACCAGATTTATTAACACACCAGAGCTTAGCCACAGTGGCTAAACATATTATTAAATGCAGTGAGATAATACAAATACATATGTATGGAAAAGATCATTAAAAAGTATTTCATTTTGCTTTTCAACGCAGACTTATTTGAAATTTAAAACATGTAAAGAGAGTAACTAAAGTCTCATTTATTTAAACTAAATAAACTTTTGTTTTGTAGCTCCAATGATTTCAACATTCTCTGCTCTACTCAGTTTTTGAGAGAGTTATGATTATTTGACTGAACCATATCCTAAAAAATCAAAAACATTAAGAATTGCTTCAGAGCAAACGAAAACCTACATTTCTTTTCGAGAGAGAATGAAAATGATAAACAGAATAGGCCCTAAGGGCATACTGAAACGACCTAAACCACTGAACAGCTTATGTTAGTAAACAATAGATGATAATCTCTCTTCTGAAACGACCTAAACCATTGAACAGCTAATGTTAGTAAACATATGACAATCTCTCCTCTGAAACGACCTAAATCACTGAACAGCTTATGTTAGTAAACACATGACAATCTCTCTTCTGAAACGACTTAAACCACTGAAGAGCTTATGTTAGTAAACACATGACAATTTCTCTTCGGCAACGACCTAAACCATTGAACAACTTATGTTAGTAAACACATGATAATCTCTATACTGAAACGACCTTAACCATTGAACAGCTTATGACAGTAAACATATGATAATCTTTATACTCAAACGACTTAAACCATTGTACAGCTTATGTTAGTAAACATGTGACAATATCTCTTCAGTGGATTAGGTCGTTTCAGAATAGAGATTGTCATATGTTTACTAACATAAGCTGTTCAATGGTTTAAGTCATTTCAGAAGAGATATTGTCACATGTTTACTAACATAAGCTGTTCAGTGGTTTAGGTCGTTTGAGTATAAAGATTATCATATATTTACTGTCATAAGCTGTTCAATGGTTAAGGTCGTTTCAGAATAGAGATTATCATGTGTTTACTAACATAAGTTGTTCAATGGTTTAGGTCGTTTCAGAAGAGAGATTGTCATGTGTTTACTAACATAAGCTGTTCAATGGTTTAGGTCGTTTCAGAAGAGATATTGTCATATGTTTATTAACATAAGCTGTTCAGTGGTTTAGGTCGTTTGAGTTTAAAGATTTTCATTTCATTTTACTGTCATAAGCTATTCAATGGTTTAAATCGTTTCAGAATAGAGATTGTCATATGTTTACTAACACAAGCTGTTCAATGGTTTAAGTCGTTTGCGTATAAAGATTGTCATATGTTTACTGTTATAAGCTGTTCAATGGTTAAGGTCGTTTCAGTATAGAGATTATCATGTGTTTACTAACATAAGCTGTTCAATGGTTTAGGTCGTTTCAGAATAGAGATTGTCATATGTTTACTAACATAAGCTGTTCAGTGGTTTAGGTCGTTTCAGAAGAAAGATTGACATATGTTTACTAACATAAGCTGTTAAATGGTTTAGGTCGTTTCAGAAGAGAGATTGTCATATGTTTACTAACATAAGCTGTTCAGTGGTTTAGGTCGTTTCAGAAGAGAGATTGTCATGTGTTTACTGACATAAGCTGTTCAGTGGTTTAGGTCGTTTCAGAAGAGAGATTGTCATATGTTTATTAACATAAATTGTTCAGTGGTTTAGGTCGTTTGAGTATAAAGATTTTCATATGTTTACTCTCATAAGCTGTTCAATGGTTTAGGTCGTTTCAGAATAGAGATTGTCATATGTTTACTAACACAAGCTGTTCAATGGTTTAAGTCGTTTGCGTATAAAGATTGTCATATGTTAACTGTTATAAGCTGTTCAATGGTTAAGGTCGTTTCAGTATAGAGATTATCATGTGTTTACTAACATAAGCTGTTCAATGGTTTAGGTCGTTTCAGAAAAGAGATTGTCATGTGTTTACTCACATAAGCTGTCCAATGGTTTAGGTCGTTTCAGAAGAGAGATTGTCATATGTTTACTAACATAAGATGTTCAGTGGTTTAGGTCGTTTCAGTATAGAGATTGTCATATGTTTACTAACATAAGCTGTTCAGTGGTTTAGGTCGTTTCAAGATAGAGATTGTCATATGTTTACTAACATAAGCTGTTCAGTAGTTTATGTCGTTACAGAAATGACCTAAACCACTGAACAGCTTATGTTAGTAAACACATGATAATCTCTATACTGGATCTGCACTCTTACCGTTGATTAACTCATGGCCAGTGTTATTTGGACTATACTCCCGGATCTTCAAAAGCGATGTTAGCACTAAAAGGACACTCAAGTCTGTATGCAATGGTATAGCGTCTTATATTGACTATCAAGACTGAGGAAAGGGTGAAAACCTTGGCCAATTATGCTAATGATTGTTGGCTATTGGTATTTGCTGTTTGGAAATATTCATCAAACTACTAGTTATTCCCCTTATCTACAGTTGTCTCGTTTCACATGTTATAGCTATCGTTTACATTGTAAGGCATGCAGCCGTCTTGCCATACTGTTTGTTAGATCCTTGACACGAAAACTATACAAACAAGTTCATATGACTGGTTTTCACTGCAACGATCGTTTGTAAAGCCGTGATCCATTGTTTTGAAATAGGTCTGTATGTCACAGACATAAATTATGTTTGCTGCAACTCCTGGAAGCGAGCCAGCACCGGCCCCAAGGAGAAACAAGCAGCAACAAAGTTGCACCACTGCACACACGACTAATGCTCTACAGCTGTCATGTTAACCTTATTCATGAGGGGATCCATCAATTCTGCTAGACATATTTTAACAAGAAATATGTTTTAAATATGTGGCTCCTTGTCTATATTCTAATTTATATCTTCCTCCTATGGTGGGGGCCGTGTTATTAATTCATGCGACCAGGAATAAAATACATACCAACTATTAAATTGTTTCAAGACTTACTATTTTCATGTTTTTGATAAATTATGGTCACATGTGTATGGGCATAGCCCTTCCAATGCAATATACAACACGTCTCATGTTACCTCCACCACCTCTTTCCCCCAAACGAGTCTCACTTTAGCCAATCTCACACCACTTTACCCCATCTCACCCCATTTTACCCCATCCATCCCACTTTACTCAATTTCACCTTACTTTACCAATCCCATTCCACTTTACCGCTTCCCCTCCCTTTACCGCCATCTTACCCCACTTTACCGCTTCCCCTCCCTTTACCGCCATCTTACCCCACTTTACCGCTCCCCCTCCCTTTACCGCCATCTTACCCCACTTTACCGCTTCCCCTCCCTTTACCGCCATCTTACCCCACTTTACCGCTTCCCCTCCCTTTACCACCATCTTACCCCACTTTACCGCTTCCCCTCCCTTTACCGCCATCTTACCCCACTTTACCGCTTCCCCTCCCTTTACCGCACTCTTACCCCACTTTACCGCTTCCCCTCCCTTTAACGCCATCTTGCCCCACTTTACCGCTTCCCCTCCCTTTACCGCCATCTTACCCCACTTTACCGCTTCCCCTACCTTTAACGCCAACTTACCCCACTTTACCGCTTCCCAACCCTTTACCGCCATCTTACCCCACTTTACCGCTTCCCCTCCCTTTACCGCCATCTTACCCCACTTTACCGCTTCCCCTCCTCTTAATCCTATCTCACCCCTCTGATACCCCTTCCACCCACTTTCCACAAGTCCAACACCTTCTCAGCTTCAACCGTCATTCAACATCCAATTGCTGAATATATTTGAAAGAAAATTCGTTATCTGTTAATGTCTACTTCTAATGTAAGAATAATAAAAAACCTTGCCATGTACATTTTCTTAGGATATAACCAAACTATGATCTGTATTTCTTAAATTCTGTACATCACGTTTTCACTGTGCACAGATTGATCAATTGTATGCTGTGAAATTTGGCTGATCGCCTACATCCTTACGGAATAAACAACGTATTACATCCAACTCTATTCATTTGGACAGCATCACTTTCAAATTTCTATGCCTTATCTTCGATGGCATTAACTCCTACTGCCCATGTCACAGTTCAGGAAAAGGTAAAGGTCTTACCTGTTTCCCATTCATACTGCGTTTGTTCTAAAGCACTTCACTGTCCGTTTTAGTAATGGAACAGTTTGACCATGTAATCTGCCTCATGCCACTGAGCCATCAATACCCCTCGAACAACGTCTTAAGAATGAATACTACATGCTCAGTCGTGTATGTATGCATGTATGTATGTGTATAGTGTTTAGCGACCTAAAATGGATTCAGAAAAAATACACAATAAGCAGTTAAGTTAAGAAACGTATTTCAATTACCCACGCAAACAATGGTATCACGCATGAATACCCATCCAACAACGTGAACAGGGAAGTTACATCACAACAGACATGCAGTGTTTACGCTGCTAGACTCACTATCATTGGTCCTCCGTTGTCCAGCAACAGGTTTGATTGGTTGTCGGGGAAGATAGAGGTTATGCTGTTGTCTGGGGAGGAGAAGCCTGTGCCAACGCTGCTGCTGTCCGGGGGTATCCGGGAGGAGGAGATGGGAAGGGGGGGATTCTGGGACTTGCACCTCACGCGCTGTATGTCGTCCCGAATCTTGTGGATCTGACCCGGTAGAAGGTCAAGACTATCAGAAACATCACCCTTCAAAGAGGAAAATGTAGACATCTTTAACAACATGTACTATGACATGAATCCTGCCTAACTGGCTTCAAACTAGTTATTTGGTCAAACTTCTCGGCATATCCTGATCACAGTTTACACAATAGGACTGTCACTTTACTTTTACTGATGTGGGGCGGTCGGGTAGCCTAGTGGTTAAAGCGTTCGCTCGTCACGCTGAAGACCCGGGTTCGATTCCCGACATGGGTACCTTGCGTGAAGCCCATTTCTGGTGTCCCTCGCCGTGATATTGCTGAAATATTGCTAAAAGCGGCGTAAAACCATACTCACTCACTCACTTACTGAGATATTTATAAGGAAACTGAGAAACATGACCATGATGCATGTAATAGGGCAATATAGTCTACAACAATATGGCTACAACACCTACAAGCTGCATGAAAGCTCCATCAGCAACCCTCAAAGTGGGACTATTTCCTAAGTAGCCACTATGTAATCAATAGCAAATCATATAAATTCCCACTACAGATTGATGTGTCAGTAACATTGCTTGGTCAGAGCAGGTTATTTCATGGGGTGGGAGTTAGGTTTTGAAGACAAAAATCCAAAGAATAGTGACTGGGGTTGGTGTTTGGAATAATTGTTATTGAGTGATTTCGACATCGGGTAGACCCTGCGGCAAATAAAGAATATTCACCAGTTAGAGATTTGCATATTCTCCCATAATTGTGCCACTACAAACCACTACCCTTTCACAAGTTGGGTTAACTTTTCACACCTATTATGAGTATATTACGCTTTAAAGCACAACATGAGCTTAGGATTTGTTTCTATATGTTTTTGTTTATTTAAACAGAGACATATTTATTGTACACACATCACACAGATCACGTGAGCCACTCCAGGCGCTTATGTCTCATGTACATACGTTCTGCAAGACTAAATTCCACTTGGTGACCCTCCCATCACCTTGTGCACACAACATTTCTACAACCTGTTTGGATACATCTATTGTAAACCCCTGGGTCTTTCTCCTGTGTAAAACATTTCTCTTCTCGGGAGAAGGTTAGGCAGGCCATGTTTAGAAACTTGTCTATTAAATAAAACCGAGAAGCACCTTTACCAGTCTAAAATGTTGTACACGTCAGTTGTGTTACCAATCTGTGGACATGTGCCGGTGCCATCACTTGTTCCCCCGGGGAAATATGTTTGATCGGGAACTATTTCATGGACTATGTCCACCTTGAAAGCCCAGGTGTAAATGTTCCGTGCGAGAGGCCTGGCTTTCATATACACAGTTCTATGCCCCCTTTCAACAAGATTTCTGCATTTTTATATGATATGTATTTGGACTGGAACCAAAGACAATGGTGGAGAACTAGGCTAATGATCACTCATTAGCTCCGATCCCGTTAGTCACCTCTAGCGACAAGCATAGTCGCCTCTTACGACTAGCATAGTCGCCGCATACGACAAGTATAGTCGCCTCTTCCTACAAGCATAGTCGCCTCTTACGACAAGCATGCGTTGGTGAAGACCTATTCTAACCCGGATCTTCAAGAATCCCATCAATCACAGAGATACACAAGTGCTCAGTTTTTATTTGAAGTAAATGTGTTGGGTTTCTTTCTTTATGATGTTCATACTTGTGGATGTTGAATATTATTAGTAGTAGTATCAGCAGTATCATTATTGTTGTTGTTGTTATTATTATGTGACGTAAACTCCTTCCTTAACATGTTGACTCAGACAGAGACGGGGAAATCAATGTGAAGTCTCGAGACTAATCAACATGAATGACTTGAAACCCAACTGGTGGATGGTTCCTCCACTTGTATATTGATATCGTGTATTAACTAATTTCCCGTTCAAACTGTACAATAAGGAAGTGTGTAGTTTTCTACAGGTTGATTTATAATAATTTTATTAACAGATTTTCGCCCACAAATCACATGGTTGTGGTCTTATCAGCTTAGCTATTTTCAACAAATTTGTTGTTGGCCTTATGTCGAATAAGGCGATAGCTGTGATTCACGTTTAGTGGGTTCGAGTCCCAGAGAACGTAGCTGGTTCGATCCCCGGCCACGTCATACCCAAATACGTTAAAAGAGAGAACTTGTTCTTATCGTAGCGGTCGACTTTGAGGGGCTAAAACAAGAACTGGTCAGAATACTGTGTCTTACTAGAGTATTCATGCTAAACTGCGACATGGTATCTCAGTGGGCTAGCACTTTAAAATCGGCAAAGTCCGCACTAGCACAAGCAAGCAAGCACGCACACGCACACGGACACGCACACGCACACGCGTCGCCAATTATCTTAAATGCGACGTTAAACCCCATTTCACCTCAAATCCCAGATGTTGGCCAATTGTGATGTTTTGTAACATCTATGATCTGCATTATTTCGTGTGTTTATTTGTTTGTTTGTTGCCACGTCGAAGACATGTGTGTCCCCGCCGTGTTATTGCTGGAACATTGCTAAAAGACACGTAAATCCATACTCACTCACTCAGTGAACCATATCACACTTACAAAATCCTTATCCCACGTGTGTGCATTGTGTTGACAGTACCAATATTGATATACAACTGCCCAACTAACTCAGTTCCTTACCTGTGCCAGTCCAACAATATACGCCTTCCATAGCTCCCGTTCACTAAACTTGGTAGTCTGAAAAGATACCATATACGTGTTACATATATCGTTATAGCTAAGGTTCAATAAAACCAGGCCAGACCAACGTAATTACTTGTTTTACAGATTTCTGTCATAAAACAACATGAAGGCAGGAGGGGAAAACAGAAATAAAAGTCGCTGATTATTATTTATTTATTTTTCATATCAATGACTATATTACTGCATTGTGACTATTATCATATTTTCCTCGGTGTGTAGATGCTCTTATTTCACATCAGGTGTAGTCTGAGTGAGCAGGGGAGTAGAAACGGTAAAGATGTCACAAATTGTGATTGAAGGTTACAAGACAGTTAAATGTTGTTTTGTACATTCTAAGTAATTATTTTTAATGATTATAAAGGCATTGTTTTTGTGGTTGAATCTGCACCTGTGGAAACCAGTATTTTATTGACCATTTGTTACTAGCACATTGCATACACAATTTCATGTTACCAAACGTAATGCAAATGTTAATTTTATAAAAATCTTTTTATTATTTCAACTGAATAAGTTTACATATTCCAGAAAGGTTCTTAACTGTAGTACTGCACAGATTACACACGGACCATAGAATGGCAGCAACACATTTTTTAATGTCTTCCACTGACTCTGATGTAGCTAGTACCCATTGATACAAAATGCCTATACTTTTATTCATACAACCATTGACTGCCTCCGTGGTCTAATGGTAGAGCGTCCGCCCGGAGAGCGAATGGTCCGGTGTTCGATCCCCGGCCGCGTCATACCAAAAGACGTTAAAAGATGGTACTTGTTGTTACCCTGTCTGGCGCTCGGCATTAAGGGGCTGAAACAAGGACTGGTCGGCTCGGAATAAAGTATGCTGTGTCTGAGTGGGGTATTCATGTTAAACTGCGGCATAGTATCTCAGTGAGCTAGCACTATAAATCGGCATCAGTCCGGACTAGTACAAGCAGCCAGACAAACACGCACACGTCCATGCACGTCGCTATATAAGTGCAATAACCTTGGACGCGAAGTTAAACCCAATTTCACCTCACCTCACCTCACCTCATACAACCATTGACACGATATATCTGCGTGAATTATTCAGGAAGAACCACCCTTGATCAAGGGTCCCCGGGTTGAACCACATCATCTACCCCAACTTCCTGGATGCACTGAGGTAAGTAACGTCACAAAGTAACGTATATAAGTAGGTTGATCCGCTACTTCCTGGTCCATGTCCCAGCAACAAACGGGGGCATCTCCATATTCACGTCTAGTGACTGGAGCACTGGTATAAAGCCCTCTGTGTAATGCGTGCACTTGCAGGGTAACTGAGCGGACCTGTATTCGCCTGCCTGTAGGGATTTACCCGGAAAATAGGTCACCATTTAGGTCTCAGCTTTCTGCCAGCCCAAGGAAATACAATGTTTCAGTTTGACAGGGGAAGCAAAGCACTTTTTGAGGAATCAACATGATATATTTTGTTTCAGCAAGTCCAGTGACCAATTATTTTCTTGAACTAGTCATTTATAACACAAAACTATGGCTCATCCAGAATATCAAATGGTCGGTGCATAAAGAAAGATTAGGTGGTCAGACCTTAGGACGTCATCTTGACCTGTGCTGTAGATTGATGCTCATACTTTCAGTCTTCTGGAGAATTGCCGACTGTTACACAACCTTTACTTACTCACTCCATACACTTAGTTTACATATCAACAAACCCGTGTACCCTTTGTAACACTACCTGTTGTACCCTTTGTAACACTACCTGTTGTACCCTTTGTACACTACCTGCTGTACCCTTTTTAACACTACCTGTTGCACCCTTTGTAACATTACCTGTTGTAACCTTTGTAACACTACATGTTGTACCCTTTGTAACATTACCTGTTGTACCCTTTGTAACACTACCTGTTGTACCCTTTGTGACACTACCTTGTTGTAACCTTTGTAACACTACATGTTGTACCCTTTGTAACATTACCTGTTGTACCCTTTGTAACACTACATGTTGTACCCTTTGTAACACTACCTGTTGTACCCTTTGTAACACTACCTGTTGTACCCTTTGTAACATTACATGTTGTACCCTTTGTAACACTACCTGTTGTACCCTTTGTAACATTACCTGTTGTACCCTTTGTAACACTACCTGTTATACCAGTATAATACTGTCTGGCGCACCATGTATAATTCTGTTTATTTATCCACCTGTAACACTACCTGTTGCACCGACCCGTGAAGATTCTAGGTAGAATAGGTCTTCAGCAACCCATGCTTGCCGTAAAAGGCGACCGTGCTTGTCTAGTCTGTCTTACAGACCCTGATACAAATATATATCAAATACAGCTCATGCAAGTCTATAATGTTTGGCAAGTCTAGATCACTTCAGTATCAGGATGAAGAGAGTCACTGGGCTCCTTTTTATTATATTTTTATTAAGATAACTGAACAACTGTTTTTTTTATGTACGATATGTTCATTTCAGAGACTAGATTTTAGTCTAGTGCTTGTCGTAAGAGGCGACTAACGGGATCGGGTGATCAGGCTCGCTGACTTGGTTGATACAAGTCATCGTTTCCCAGTTGCGTGGATCGATGCTTATATTGATTTTTGTAGTAACAGCAACGTTGCACTATGTAGCCTATACTTGTACTTGTAAATATGTAACTTTGCCTACCGACAATGACTGTAAAAGAAGTACTATTCTTAAAATATTAGCTTCCGCGGTGATGCGGCCGTCAAATCGGTTGTTTCAAACCGAGGGGGTTTATAGTGATTTCATTATTTTTAAAATTCCTGGTAGAATAAAAAATAAATCACATAATCTATAACTCTGTATGTTTTATGTAAATGCAGCTTGCTTGAACATGTCTTAATATCAATATATTAACTTTGAAAATCTAAATAGTTTTAGGATTGTCGGTTACATAGCGCAAGCAACAAAACCAAACAGGTTCGTGGGTTTTAACCAAGGTTTAGGTGACGTTTGATAACTTGGTGGTTAAAGCGTCTCGCCAAACTAATGGGTTGGATTCCCCACATCGGTAAAGTGAGCGCAGCCCGTCACTCACTCACTCAAAGTAGTTAACAGTCAGTCAGTGGTTGTGTCAGTTTTGATTTTCTTCATAAATACAATCAACAACCGCCCTGCTATGACCGAAACAGTTAAACACGGTAGCTACTCGTACACCAATGCCTCGTCAGGTGAGGTACACCGACAGGCTGTTGGATTACAAACTGTAGGCAGGACATATCGGATAGTTAAAGCGAACCAGTACGTAGCTACGATTTCGCAGCTTTCCATCCTGAACTTTCAACATGGTACTCACTCTAAACTTGTTGAGACGTTTAGTGGTGTACAGGTCGAACCTGTAGCCCTTCTTCTCATCACTCTCCCCTGACCTGAACCTGGTGTCCGAGCCAAGCTGAAGCACGCCGATATGCTGCAACACAGGAACAACCCAGATCGTTTATAACCACTTGAATGTGATGCATCGCCTGGAAGTGTCCAGTATAAAACTTCTTTCGACAATATTCAAAGGCAAACGTTATTGTGTCGTTAAGTTTTGTCATTTATAAACCTCTATATGAATTTTTGGATTTGAAGAATTCGAAGAAACACAACCAAGTAATAGACGTCACTAGTATTGCATGTTTTGGGCAAGAAATGACGAATATTCGGGAGGTTGGTCGTGAGTTCGATTCCTAGATTCCCACTGAGTATGGTCATTGGTCTGTCCTCACGATGATACCCCTGCTCGGTGGTTTCACAATTGTGATAAAGGTCTAAACGAAGTGTTCATGTTAATTTGATTTATTCCGAAACGTGCTGTAGTGAGATTGTTCAGCATTTCAAAAAGATGATATGCACGAATGACCCTAGCTGATTCCTTGTGAATTGCCACACGCAATGTCATGCATGTACTTCTTACTCTTCTTATTCAAATCAAATTAACGCATTGTATACTTGTTACTTATGCATGACCATGGCTCAATGAAAAGGAAAATTATCTCTTGAGAACAATATTATTGTCTCTGAGTGAATTAGGTACCACGCCGCTTTTAAAAATATGAACGACTTGCCTGCTTACTGTGCGAGCAATGCACATACATACCATATTTTAACGTCAATAAAATATACATTGAATAGACCTTAAGAATTCTATATGCAAAGAATAACTTATCCCCAGGAACCCCACTTTGAACGATTACTTGACTGTAACTTCGAAAAGATTCAACCTGTTTAATACCCGCGAAATTATATGTGGATTTGGTTTGTCTTTAATAGTTGCACTTGTTGCAAATGTAGTTAATACATAATTCATGTTGCTGTTTCTTGTGCTTCCTCTTAGTGAAAGGTTCATTAAATTGTACTGTGATGTTATTGGGTTGCACCTGACCCAATTGACTCTTCACGTGAATTCCATTTGCATTTATTATCCTGGTAAACAATTGTTATACTGGCGTGTTCGATTTAAAAAAAAACCATTTACAATACGCCACAAGTTACTGAAAGCACCGGATCAGCGAATTCGATTTTGCAAACCGATAAAAACGTATTAACATGTGCATTAGAAACACATGGTCGGCATTAAAACCTAATTCACTCACTTACGCATTCATTCATAGATACCCACGTATTTTATATTTCCACGTGTGTACAATGTGCAAAGATCTAGCTACGTCCTTCCACGTGTGTACAATGTGCCAAGATATAGCTACGTCCTTCCACGTGTGTACAATGTGCAAAGATCTAGCTCAGTCCTTCCACGTTTGTACAATGTGCAAAGATCTAGCTCTATCCTTCCACGTTTGTACAATGTGCCAAGATCTAGCCACGTCCTTCCACGTGTGTACAATGTGCAAATATCTAGCTCTGTCCTTTCACGTGTGTACAATGTGCCAAGATCTAGCTCCGTCCTTCCATGTGTGTACAATGTGCAAAGATCTAGCTACGTCCTTCCACGTGTATATAATGTGCAAAGATCTAGCTACGTCCTTCCACGTGTATACAATGTGTAAATATTTAGCTCCGTCCTTCCACGTGTGTACAATGTGCAAATATCTAGCTCTGTCCTTCCACGTGTATACAATTTTTTAATATCCAGATCCGTCCTTCCACGTGTGTACAATGTGCAAAGATCTAGCTCCGTCCTTCCACGTGTGTACAATGTGCCAAGATCTAGCTACGTCCTTCTACGTGTGTACAATGTGCCAAGATCTAGCTCCGTCCTTCCACGTGTGTACACTGTGCCAAGATCTAGCTACGTCCTACCACGTGTGTACAATGTGCCAAGATCTAGCCACGTCCTTCCACGTGTGTACAATGTGCAAAGATCTAGCTCTGTCCTACCACGTGTGTACAATGTGCCAAGATTTAGCTCCGTCCTTCCACGTGTGTACAATGTGCCAAGATCTAGCTCCACCCTTTCACGTGTGTACAATGTGCCAAGGTCTAGCTCCGTCCTTCCACGTTTGTACAATGTGCCAAAATCTAGCTCCGTCCTTCCACGTGTGTACAATGTGCCAAGATATACGTAGCTCCGTCCTTCCAAGTGTGTACAATGTGCCAAGATCTACGTAGATCCGTCCGTCCACGTGTGTACAATGTGCCAAGATCTACGTAGATCCGTCCTTCCAAGTGTGTACAATTTGCCAAGATCTACGTAGATCCGTCCTTCCACGTGTGTACAATGTGCCAAGATCTACGTAGATCCGTCCTTCCACGTGTGTACAATGTGCCAAGATCTAGCTCCGTCCTTCCACGTGTGTACAATGTGCCAAGATCTAGCTCCGTCCTTCCACGTGTGTACAATGTGTGAAGCCCATTTCTGGTGTCCCTCATTGTTGTATTTCTTGACTGGTGGCAAAAAAGGCAGTACAGTCTATGTCGAGCTATGGTAGTTACGACAGTCGTAGCACCACGATTGCTACGTAATACGTCTTGTGATGTAATACTTACATTTTCTCTGCTTGTATCCTGGCCTTTGAAGATGTAAAAGGTGAATTCCTTGATGACGCACCAATACTGGACCCACTTGGAATCCTGGAAGAAACAAACATCCTTGAGAATACACAGTAAGCGCAAAACCTAGAGTAAACTAATGCAAGCAGTTTCAAAATGTCCCGCAACCTTCAAGTATCCACACGTGGACTCTCTTGTTTCCTTTGACCAGACACTATTATGTACAAGTCGTTGGTTATAGATGGGATATCGCTGACTGTGGGGTTAGACAACACTTACTTACTCACTAAATAAAAAAAAATTAAATCAAGATAAGATTTCACTGCTGAATCCATTTACTCCCTATAGTAGGGTGGCAATGTTCGAAAACCTGTCACAATGTTTGGGTAGTAAAATATTGTGCCATCAGGTAAGGTAAGTGGGGCTGTTTTAGGTTGATTGTTGACTGTGTAACGTCAGGTAGATGACAGAGGACAGGCTGGTCTACACATCACATTCTTTACACTATTGAGGACACGGCTCATTGTCGCATCCGTCCATGTAAAGTATCACCACATTTGATACAACGTATGTGACATATTGTGCTCTCGAAACATCGTTAACTAAAGCTAAGTGCAGATTTTGATGTCTAAAGATGAAACTAAAAAGCGTCCTCTTCGATGAAATTCAAGAACAATATCCAAAAGAGTATCTGTTGAAATAAATTGCTAAAAACGCGTCAATGTATGTGTGTCAGTGGAGAAAACCACACGTTCTTGTACTGACAATGTCAAGGCTCTCCTCTGTGGCTTAAACAATGTAGAGCCTCATTTATCTTAGTTGATTATATGTCTGATGTTTCTGATGACCCCCACATTGCTACTCATCCGTATTCCCGCCGCGGGTAATAGTTTGGTGGATCAGTACTTATGCAGAGGGGAATGTCCGCGTAACTCTCCATTCCTTAAGAGTGATGAAGCAGAGACCCCTCTGTGGCCGATGCCCATTATTTTTAAGGAATGGAAAGATATTAGGATATTCCCCTACTTAAAACACATCCCTACTTTTACACTTTGACAAAACATTTTCTTATGCTAATTTTTGAAAAATGAACCAGAACTCTGTGTAGCCTATATTTATACTGTGTGAGTCGCCCTTGCGGTGATGCACGGAGAATACGTTCTCTGCCGCTGTTGCACGTGCACCAAACTCCGTCGCGAGCTCATATTTGCAATGCATGGTACACGTCTCGTCATTATTTCATGAGGTCCTAAACTGGTATAATTGTATAAATCGCCTGCACGTTGAACATGCATGCAAACAGGAATGATAGGACATATAGAGCCCTGAACAAGGATATATATGTTTACCTGTGTTTTTTTCTTGTTAAAGGTTTATCTAATTGCTTTAGATGGGAGCTTTATTATAGGTAACCCATTGTAACAAAACACTATATACATATTTTTTTAGCTTTTAGGATTATGCAACTATTTGAAAATATTTAATACTTTATTTCACATCATGCTATCATGTGTCGCCGTAACTGAGGTCGACAATTCAGAATTCAATCGATGCAGTTTCGAACTCAGCTGGTGACACATGTTTTCGACAAAATTTGAATCATTCCTTTGACAAAATATAAAAAATAGTCTGTTTCAAGTGTAAATTAATTGAAATGTTGGTGCAACATGGACAAACAACTCCATTCCTTATGAATAATGGCGCATTTAAACAATACCATGACGTCATAGATGTGTTTTAATCAAGGCCCTCGCCTGTCTCGTAATCTATGATTAATGATAAACAGTATAAAGCCAGCAGATTAAAAGTTCATTGCAGGATATACAATTAAATTCATAAGACTTTGGTGACATCCTTAAAGATATTTCTTGTCCAGCGAATCCTACTTCACAAAGTTTCACAAAAGCTGATGAGGAGCTTTCGTTTATGTCACGTTGACTGCTTTCTCAGTATCATCTCATTTGAATACCAACGGCAGAGATATCGTTCATTTTCAGAGTAAAATATGACGATTAGAGCTGTTATTTCTTAAAATGAACTGTAAATTCCCATGAAAAGAGTGGTTAGTCGGAAGGGTATAAATCTAAAACAGAGCAACGTTCACGTTGATAGCATGACCACGGGGACACAGCCGTTTGGTTAGTTACACAATACCAGGTATAGTCGTCAATCATTTGAACATCAAGGTGAGGTGATCTACAAGAACAACATTCACCGGTCTCAAGAGTATTTGAATAATGTCAGAATGGAACCATACATCAGTGCCATACATGCATTCTGCCCAATGGCATATGTTGATTATTTCTATTACCAACACGTATAGACATATGTAGACATATATGTGAATCATACACATATTCCAGTTACGAGTAAGATCACACTAGGGTATGCCAGTATGTCACGGGGCATTGTTCCCGGAAGAGGCCATTGCTCCCACTCATAGAAGACACGTTGATTTATAGGCCACCTTGTAGTATTCTCAGCAATAATACAACATCTATGCTAATAAACACTGTATCTATGGGTAATAATTCACTCCCTCACAAGAGTCTGTGTCACCTCGAAGACACTTCAAGGAGATTCAGCTGGCAGGTTTATCAACGCAACACTTCCAATACTCGACCCCAGTCAACTGGCCGAGCTGGCTGATATCATATCACGATGTGTTATAAAGTCTCCCTACTTGACAGGCGGGTATCCTGTAATTTTCTCATACTCACTAATTCTGCATGTTTGCTCTTCTCACGGACGTCACCGCTAGAGATGAAAAGGGTGACTAATGTGTATTCCCATTGACGGAATCATAAAACTCAAATGGAGTTTGCTTCACCCGGTACGAAACAGATCGTGTTTTAGATGTATGCGGCATAAACAACGACGTGTTTCCGTTTGAAGCAAACCCGGGGTCAGTTGTACACCCTTAGAGTTGTACAGAACCGCTTGGTGGTGCTGGGTACAGCATGTCAGTCCAACCAAAGTAGGACGACGGTAAGTGAGTGAGTGGGTGATTTGTTGAAACGCCGCTTTGAATAATATCTTGGATTGTAACGTCGTGTCCTTTTGATGTGGAGGAAAAGCCTTAAGTGGCACCGATCTTTGAAGTTTACCACCTTGTATGATTATAGCATTATAGCCGACCGAGTCTCGACAACCCCACTTCGCGCTCGGCATTAAGGGGCCAAAAAAGGACTGGTCGGCTCGGAGTGAGTGTACTGTCTTTGATAGGGGTATTCATTTTAAACTGCGGCATGGAATCTCAGTTTGCTAGCACTACAAAATCAGCATCAGGGGACTAGTACAAGCAGCCACATACACACGTGCATGCACGTCGCTATATAAGCGCAGTAACCTTGAATGCGACGTCAACCTCATTTCACCTCACCTCACCTCACCTCACCTCACCTCACCTCACCTCACCTCACCTTGCCTCGCCTCGCCTCGCCTCGCCTCGCCTCGCCTTGCTGCCAATAGCAAGGTGAGGTGAGGTGAGGCGAGGCGAGGTGAGGCAAGGTGAGGTGAGGCGAGGCGAGGCGAGGCGAGGCGAGGTGAGGTGAGGTGAGGTGAGGTGAGGCGAGGCGAGGCGAGATGAGATGAGATGAGGTGAGGTGAGGCGAGGCGAGGCGAAGGAACTCGGGGGCAGTGAAAGTATGGAGTCGACGTTTTTGACAAGATGGTTAAAAAATATAGACGGCCTCCTCAAGACATCTTGTGATAACACTATTATACGTGGATGACGTATACACACTGGGTTGCTGCTCAACTCTCATTGTGTATACTAATGGTATATGGTGTGTGAAGGAGTGGTGACACACTGTCTCTCTGTAATAATACCAGGCAACACATCGTGGGACGGCAACAAAACACAGATGGCGAAATGAATATGGGTATAGCCAGGCATTGAAAATACAGTGATTATCAAGACATTACTAGGATATTACAGTCTACAAAAATGTTTATCCAATGCAAGACAGACAGCTCAAGAACTCGCCTGAACATGTGTGTACAATGACAATGATGGTGCGATGGGTTTTCAGTTAGAATCGATTCTAGAGCTGTAAGGTCACCGGCATCCGTGCGTGAAATAAGTGGACAGTAAGGATAGTTTCTTAGTGAAGATAGCGGTGAAGAATAAGAAGGGTTTTAATTTAACTTCATACCTGACGCAGCGTAACATTGTACGCATAGATATGCTGGCTGTACGCTTGTGGTAATGTATTGTCGGTGTAATCGGGGGATAAATAATGGACGTTCGACAGGAGTAAAGTCTGGAAGTTAATTTAAGGTACCGACGTTTACTATTATAGCTAAAGATGGAGCGGGATACTTTATAGCGGAGGACAGTCGTTTTGGCCATTACATTAGGCCTGAAACGGTTACCCAGGTACTCGGTCGAACATAACTACTCGAAAACACGGAGATTTATCTCCCTTGTTCAGCTTAATTATCTCCCTTTCTTAGCAGCCATGGGGTTCAAGTACTATTAGACTGGTACCATGGCCTAGCACCAGTATCATGACATGGTAGCAGTCGAACTACCCCTCAACAGTGTGGCAATTCTTCGACCTGTCAGAAGATAAAACAAAACTTAATGCAGAATTTGTTCAATTCAATTCTCTGTTAAGGATGAGTTGTGTCCACAGTAAGGACCCATCTGAAACTGATTCATTGGAAACTACTGCACTCTGTAATCTCCTTGTAACTTTTCGGCGGCAAGATTCAATCAATCGCCTTTTCTTGGTCGACAGATAAGGTAGATTCAACTGGCTGTATAAAGTTTAATATATTTCAGATTTGTTCTTGAGGGTTCCCATCTAGTATCAACTCCAAAACAACAATATACTGAACACCTAATCAGATACATCTGATCGTTGAAAAGTGACAATGCCCCTGTACACCCTGAGGAGGCTCCGGCAACTCTGTTATTTGCGCGCGGGTACTTGAGCTACCCATGCCAGTCCTCGTTACATAAGAACCTTGTAGTGGTGTGGTGCATTTAATATTTCGGTGTCATCATTTTCGCGTAGACGTTCGTAACTGTAGGGTTGATAATACGTGATAAGAATACGCATGGACAAAACTGT